GTCGACAACGAAGCATGTATTATAGAGAAAGAAAACGTTTGCAGGTTCGAGATTGGGCAAGATAAAAAAAAAAGTACTACAGCCAGTATGTCGCGTGCAGAACAAGGAGAAAGAGCGAGAGGGAGAGGGAGAGGGAGAGAGAGAGAGACAGACAGAGAGTAAGCTCAATTCATTGTGATGTCATGCTGGAAAAAAATTCTGCTTTTTTTGTTTTTCTTCTACAGCCAAGATCTCTTATATTAAAAAAAATGGGGTTGGCGGGTGAATGAAAGATTATTATTAATGCTTCAACTCACACTTGTAGTCAAGCGCTTGTGTTTCTGTTAGAATTATGATGAAATGAACTAGCACTTGCATGGAAAAGGGTGGAGAAGAAAACTTCGTTGACATTGCCATCCGTAGTTGTAAAGTATGTCACATCCAATCAAAATTTAGACGAAGATTGATTGGTAGACAACGATGTGATGTCCGACACATGAAAAAAAATAAGAAGAAAAGAAGGCATTGAGTAATATATCCTTAAATATAATTTTCATCGATCATTACGAGGATTGGTTTATTCTAAATATAAAAGCTAACTGAATCTTTCATTACACTTTTTCTCTATCAATCAACTCAAACAAAAGATGAAATATGTGTGCATGTAATGTTTGAAGCTAATTTCTTTTTTTTTCTTTCTCTTGACATTTGTACTTAACAAGAGATTACTTCTGTAATACAGAGATTCAAAGCGTTTCCAATGATTTTTGTCTTGGTGTTTTTCGTCTATTGTATTTTTCGAGATAAATCAGTCTTGCTGACATCTGGTAAATTGATGGATACATTGAACATAACTTTTCTTTTTTTTTATTTATTCAAAAAGTCGAGTAATTTCATTTTTTTATGTTCTCCTTTTTTTGACAAAGAGCAACTATAACAGCAATAAAAAAAGTTTTTTTTCTTCAATCTTGCTGTCATGCGGCGCCGTTTGTATTCCCGAGAGAATTTCCACAGCCCATCAATCTTATGCTAAGCATAGTTCGTTTGTTCAGTATGCATGTGTGTCTGTGTGTGTGTGTGTGTGTGTGTGTATGCTTAAAAAAAGAAGAAAGAAGCAGTGGCAAGCGGCATGTTTTTTAAGGATGCTCTATAGTAATATTCTTCATTTGTTCCACATACATACACACGCATACACATATACAATTTCTAGTTGTACGAGCTATGTGTTCCAGATCAATAGAAGATTCCAATGAGCGTACAATAACATTGAAATTAGTTATTATACAAGCATAAACATATTATTTTTTTGAACAGTTCTTGACTACAATCAAGCATCGTTCATTCCCGCTGACTTTGACTAATTAAGAAAAAAGCAAAATCCATCTAATTCAGTCTCTCACTTCAGTCCATCACTCGAGCGTTGATTTAGTGTTGATCGTTTTTCGCACACACTTTGAATTAATGGAATTTAGCACTTACTCTTCTCGTAACAAGCACTTGCCTCTACTGATCTATTCAAGCGTACTTTGATCTTCTTCAATTTTCTTTTCTTTTCTTTATTCACCGTTTGTCGTGCATCGATAAACCATATCATGTTCAAACACATTCATCTCTATGTAATCTGTAAGAAAAAGCGAGCAAGTCTCCTATTCTCACATTTATGCATCTCTATTGTATTCGTATATAAATGTGTGTGTATAGTCAAAAAATTATCGCTCGGTATGCGTCGTCGCGTTTTGATGATCTCATCATAAGAGAAAAGAAAAAGACAATCTAAAGAGCGAGAAGGTGAACTCAATCACTTTGCGTTCACATCTTTTTATTGTAATTGAGATCAGCAAAAAAAGAAAGAAAAGAGTATGATGATTGATAGTGGATACAGACGACAGATCAGAAATGCTCACAAAACAAGTGAACCTATGATTATTGCCATTTGATTATGCACACACCGCATTCTCCCACATCACACCAAAGTATATAGCGGTATATGCGGCCCACTCAATTGATTATGCATATTTTTTTTTTATTCATTTGAATTTTTCTTTTCACACGTCATGCGGAACACAAATCCACTTGATTCTGACCAGTTGTCTACATAAACAGATATTTGTCTTGCCATTATCCATAGTATGTGCGAGCGTGTGGGTGTGCCGACATTTTTTCTTTTTTCAAGAAAAAGGTGTCGATCAATATAATACGCTGAGAAAGTCAGGTTTGCGTGTGCGGCTAGGATGGACTTTATCTTTTCTTTTCTTTGTTTGGCTATCTGTCTTGGCTGGCACTAATTGTAGGAATACACAAATGAGCACTGACATATGCACGCGCGAATACTGGTCAACAAATTTAGCTGCCTTTGATGTGACAAATCTGATTTGGATTAATCGAAACGAATATTTCCCTTTTCTCATGTGACAAAAAAAAAATAAAAGAAAAGAAGAAAGAATTTATCAATGAATAACATACAGTAAGTAGACGGAAATGAACAGAAATCGACTTAATTTTTCTCGAGTATGAATTTAAATAAACTAATATTTGATTCTCATGTGGCTTATCAACGTTGTTATTTTTAACTTAAATAGATTTTATTTAAAAGAAATAATAAAAATTTAAGATATAAAGTATATTGATATAAATAAATAATGAATAAATTTTAATTAAAAATCAAAATGCAACATGAGGATTGATGAGTAAACGAGGAAAAAGATACCAAGAGTCTGTTCTGTTGATTTTCGACCACAAAAAAAAGAAAGCCCAAGAAAACGAATTATTTTAGGCGTTAAAAGTTTGCTCAAGCTTTTTGTGATTTATTCTGATGAGTTCAAAATGTTGACATGTACTTGACATTGAAATCAGAATGAATAAGTCTATATCAACTTGAATAAACGAAATAATAAACGATCCTATGCAGCAACAAGTATTAGAAATGGTAACACTTATTACATTGACTGTTTCATTGAATTGCAAGCATACTTGAATGATGAAGTGCCAAAAGTATTTCTTTTCACAATCGATATGAAAACAAGTCCTTAAAAATATTCATTAAATGGATAGTTTTACGCGAAAGATACAATAGAAAAGAAAGAATTTTTTCAAATTGTTACTCCAAGAGTTTAAACCTACTACAACTACTACTTTGTTTTATGCTTTTAATTTTTTTCTCAAGTAATGACTCTAAAAAGAAAAGGCATTACACATTTGTTGGTATTGTTCACAATTTTTCTCAAACTAGTTCCATTCATCGTTTCTTGATCAACAATCAACAAGTAGTTAAAATACTGCTCATTTTCAAATATCTCATGAATTTAATATTACCTATTCTATTTATGTTGTATTATCAGTTTTTCTGGTCTTGGTCTCGGCAATTCTAACTACTCTATTGTACGTTTACTATTGAGAGATAAATGTTTTAGAATGTTTTCGTCACACATTTTAAAGACTTTATTAATATTCGTATTTTTATATTTCGCTACTAAAACTGTAATTCAGGTCAACTTCACTGTATTCCATCTACATTTCAGTTGTACTTCGAACTACGAAAGTTTTAGTTTCTTCCTCTTCAAGGAATCTGAACTGATTTTGCACATATCTAAGAATGAGCCATTTTCATTTTTATTTCATCTAACAGAAAAACCTAAGTTAATATTCAAAAGTGGTCTCAATAGAATTTTTCATGTCAAATTCATTCGGTGAAATAGTAATAAAATGTTCATTAGTGTTTGATATGATGGAATTGTGATCATTACAAAATAACTGAATACATTACTTTTTAAAATAGTCTTACTTCTCTGTAATCGTTTTCAAATTAGAATTATCTGTGATTAATTAACCTGAATACATTGAACAATCATTATTTTTAACAAAAACTAATTTACACACAACATATATTGATCACAACAATAGTCAATCGTTTGTATTTGAATATTCTATTGAGATTTATTTGTCGTGTTTAATACGAAAAAAAAGACCCACATAGATACTAAACTTACTGTTTTAATCCTATCCAGTATGCCTAAATGAAAACTTATCATGCTAAAAACTCTCGAACAAGAATTATGCTTTGGAGTGAAAAATTAAAGATTTTAATACTTTATTACAAATATTTTTGAGATTTTCTTTATTTGAACACAAGTTAAAATAGCTGTTTTTTATATGGCTCAATAGTTGAATGATATATTATCAATTACCTAAACTTACCATCGTGGATTTCATACGTTTATATGATGCAATCATTACTTATGTTTCTGCGAATGTTTATGTCACCCACGCTGACAAAATTTTTCAAACATGCCTTTAAACGCACCAAGAAGGACCAAAAATCGAAAAAAAGTGGACGAGTTCGGATGACAGTCGAAGTTCCAGACTGTGAGCGAAAAACGCTCAATTTTCACCCTTTCTGAGCGTTTAAACGCGCTTTCAGTCAAAAAACACGTTTAAATCCATAAAAAAGAGAAAAAGTGGTCGTTTTTTTCATACTCGAGAACCTTAATTATAATCACATCATGGATAACGACTATGAGACAAAAGATCACTTTTTCTCCTTTTATTCTTTGCATTTAAACGCTTTATTTGGCTGAAAGCGCGTTTAAACGTTCAAGAAAGGTGAAAACTGGGCGCTTTTCGCTCACAGTCGGAAACCCTGACTGTCATCCTAATACGTCCACTGTTTTTCGATTTTTGGTCCTTTTTGGTGCGTTTAAACGCGTGTTTGAAAAATTTTGTCAGCTTGGGCAGTGATAGCTTGATAATTATTTCTTTTTGTTCTCATTGCTTGATAATAGACTATATTTATCTATGACCTTGTATTGCACTCTACATAACTTGACTCTAGTACAGAATAGTACAGAAATAGATGTTACTATTTCTTTTTTAGTCAAACTTTTTAGCAAGATCAATGCCTATATGAACGTTGTATTTGTTAAGTTTTGTTTGTTACACAATGTTTTAAAAGTTATAGTAAAGACAAAATAAGATGGAAAGACAAATAATCAATGAAACATTAAAGTCGAATCAATTTTATTTTATTACGGCTTCTTCACTTGCTTTTTTCGCAAATCTTGATCCATCATTTGCAATAGAATCGTTGAATTGTCTGAATTTCTTTCAATACGTTTAACTAAATCATACATGTATTTCAATGCTGTGGTTTGTTCTTCAAGCATTTGACTTTCAATAAAATGAACAGTTGGATAATCTTTTTCAATGTGGGCTGCTAAACGTACTTCAATAAGATTATCATATACTTGTCGTTCCATATATTCAGCTGCCTGTATCATTTTTGTAAGATCTTCCATTGTTGCCGCTGTTTCATCAACTTTGACATCATAGAAAAGCAATTCACGATTGCGAACATTATAAAAATCGAGTAGTTTTTTGCCATGAGCACGTTCTTCTATAGCTGAATCAAAGAAAAAGTCTGCAAAACCATGATAAACTCCACGCGTAGCTAAACGATGAGCAAATGTTAAATAGGTATTGGAAGCAAGGAACTCCTTGTGCACTTGAACTTCATATAGTTTTTTTAAATCTCCACCAAATATCAATGGTGAAAACAATAGAACAATGATAGTGCTGATAAACACGGATGATGAAACCATGTTGAAAATAATGAATACTTATGTAAAATGAAATTTTTTTAAACTAACAAAGCACTGATAACTCTTATCTTGTTTTTCTTTTCGTCAAGACGTCTTTTGTCCAACGTACATTTTACTTGCACAATCATATGATATTCAAGAGAAATGAAAAGAAATAAAAAGGAGAAAGGAAAGAAGCCAAATCATTTAGTATTTCGAAAACAAAAAGCAAAGAAAAACAGATAAAACACAGTTTATCTAAGCACTGGCAACTAAATCAGTATAAGAGCCTAATTGTTCATATGAAAGTTCATATTTTGTCATTTCATTTAAACCACAATCGTCAATAGCAACATATTTCTTTGGAATACTTGTTCCTTTGAATATTTCCATTTCACCTAATTCATACACGAAATCCTGCAAAAACAAAAAACAAATTATGAGTGATGATGTTCACAGGCAAAATAATTCTTCATTTTTTTTTACCATTCCTGAAATGACTCGTCCAAAAGCAACATGATGACCATCCAACCATCGAGCAGGTACAAGTGTTATAAACCATTGCGATCCATTTGTATCTTTTCCATAATTGGCCATCGATACCCAGCCAGGTGAACGATGACTCAAAATAAAATTTTCATCAATAAATTTATCACCATAAATACTTTTGCCTATTAAAAAGAAGACAAATTTATGTGAAAATTGGCTTTGACAATGCAAATCTTTTTTATTATTTACCTCCAGTACCATCTCCATGTGTAAAATCACCGGTTTGAATAACAAAATCACGAACTATACGATGAAAAGGTGTACCTTTATATAAATACTGTTCCTAAATAGTCAATTTACACGCTAAGAATATTTATCTTGATTTATTATTTGCAATACTTACAGATCCTCGCCGAAGACCTTTAGTTATTGTAATGAAATTGGTAACTGTCATAGGACAAATGTCACCGAATAAAGCAATAACAATTCTTTCTGTTCTAATGGGTACAGATGATATTTTGTTTTCTCGTATTGATATGTTAAACCATGCTTCGTGTGTCACATAGAATTTTTCCACTTGATCATTATCATAGTATGACGCATCATGAGCATTGCTAACAATTATATGTTGAGCGAATGAAAATGAAAATACAACAAAGATCACCAACATTTCAATTTCTAGTAATTATTTATTCAATAAACTATCTGACAGATAAATACATTCACATAAAATATAGATGCTAACTTACTTTATTCTACGTTGCCGAACAAATACATAAGAGAAATTGCTTGGCTCAAACTAATTTATACTCTGTGAAATTTTTGACAACGTGGCAATTATCAAGATGATACCACCCTACTATCCTCAAGAGTCTACTTAAATCTGAAGTATCTCGACCTTCACTAGAAGTGAAATACCAATATGATAGATTAATTTCTTGTACTTTAATTAAAAGCAACGCTCGATTATAATCAATATGACTCTCATACTTAACCTCGATAGTAAAAATGATTCTATTGAATGTTGTTTAGTTCTAGTTTGTTGCTTTATTACTTGTCGTTTGTTCTAATTTTCATAAAATTCCTATATATTTTTTTTAAAATCTCATTCATTGCGTTTGATATAATGTAACAACCAAATTTCTCAATAGACGCAAATATGAATCTTAATAGATATAATGATGACACTCTTTTGAGATCCTGGCTTTTCAATCACACGATCTCACGTAAAATATCATCACTTTTAAATAAACATACATGCACTGTATCAACAAAGAGAAAAAAAAATATGCGAAGGAGAAAAAAAAAGAGACAATCATAGAACGGGATAAACATTCAAATAAACAATAAAAATTAAGTTTCAAATCAATAGAAGACCGATGACCGTTACTCTCAATAAAGAAGAAAAAACTGCGAGCGAATACGCGTCGGTCCATGTAGGTGTATGTATATGAAACGAAAAGAACATACCATTAAACAATCAAACAGAAAATGAAAAATAAAATAACAGTTTTCTGTCAAAAAAAAGAAGCATCATGTACGTAGTAATTAAATGATTGTTGATGAATGAGATTACGTTTCTTAGACAAAGATGGTGATCATTTCATTTTTATTTCATGATGTACTGTCCCACCAACTTTGGTCTGCTTGACGATTAACATTACTACCTGTAGTTTGTTGATGAAAACGATCGTAACCAGCAGCACCACCTGATTGATGATCACCACTCCACATGTTTCCACCGGCAGCATTATTCGAACTATTCCATTGCTGTTGTTGTTGATGATGATTATTATATCCACTTGTTGCGCTACCCGATCGATTACTAGCACTAGCACCTCGACTATTACGTAATTGTCCATGATTACGATAATCACGGGCACCAAAAGCACCAGCTCTGGAGAACATATAACAGACAAAAAATTTATATTTACGAAATCGATGATGTCCTCTACTCACCGGCGACTAGTACCGTAATTTCTTCTAGAATAATTATCTTTTTTCGTTTCTCTTGCAATACCTTCCAGCCATTCGGGTACTTCTTGATGTGATTCAGTTAGAATATCAAGCAAATCTGTAGCAATATTACGATTTTTTTCGTTAAAAAATGATGTTGCTTGACCTAAACTCGGACAACTATGAATTATAATAGGCTTCTTAACATGATGTCAATGTTTCCTTACCTGTCATACCAGCACGACCAGTTCGCCCAATACGATGAACGTATTCATCGATGTCCGATGGTAAATCGAAATTAATGACATGCTTTACATGTCTAAAATAAATCCAAGAATAATTACATAAAGAGATCTTTCAAAAATCAAATATGGATCTTAACAAGGAACAAATAACTATATCAGATCAAAGTTTTTCTAACAGTTTGAGTGAGATTATTAAAAATAAAAGCATAGATTTTTTGATAAAACGTATTAAAATACATAAATCAAAATAATAAAAAATCAAATAATGAATTAAATCGCAATCTAATTCAGTTCGCATTCATGATAAATTCTATTTAACTCATCGTATTGCCTCAAAAGGGTGTCGCGAAGTTTTAATCCTATACAGTATACAATCTCGTCATAAACGCTCAATCTATTGTAAGAATCCTTCGAACTAAAAAGCATAAAGAGATCGAATACAATGCGATATTTGTTTTTTTTTCAGCTGTTTCTAATTTACTTAAATATTTTTCTTTCATCAGAATCATTACTTGGTATTATATTATCTTTAGAGGATGAACATCAAAATAGCCTTACGGAATATCAAGACCTCGAGCAGCTACACTTGTTGCTACGAGAATAGGTGTACGACCAGTTTTAAAGGATTTCAGTGCTTCTTCACGTTGAGCTTGTGATCGATCACCATGAATACTGTTCACTGAATATTGATGGTTAAAAAGAAAGTCTTCCAGTACATCAGCTCCTCGTTTTGTCTCGACAAACACCAATGTTAATGATTCTAAATAATCGTTACAATCATTGATAAGAAAAACAAAATGAGAACTTGATTTCATTACCAGATTGAATGTTCAATAAATCAAGTAGAAATGAACGCTTTTCAGCTTCTTCAACCCATACAATTTTTTGTGTTATATTCTGTGATGTTGAACCCACACGACCAATAGCCAAAAATACGTAGTCATGAAGAAAATCTCTTGCTAGTTCCTAATTTTTAAATCATATTCATATTTAAGAAATAAATATTTTTATATAAACAAACAATATTAGCACACCTGAATTTGTTTCGGAAAAGTAGCTGAAAACATCAGTGTTATTCGTTGGCCTGTGGCAGGCATATCTGACCGTTCGACAATCTCACGAATTTGAGGCTAAAAATATTCGAAGAAAAATTTATTATTCAATATATAATACTTACTAAATTTCTTACCTCAAAGCCCATATCCAACTAAAACATCATATAAATTCATTTTATTAAAAAGAAAACACAATATAAAATGTTTTCACTTACCATGCGGTCAGCTTCATCGAGGACTAAATACCTACAAATTGAAAAAGAAAATGTTGAAGAGTCACTGACGAAAGAAACATGAATAGAATCATACCGGACATTCGCTAATCCAATACGACCTCGTTGTATTAAATCATTCAGACGACCGGGTGTAGCTACTAATACATGAGTACCTTTCTCTAAATCTCGTGCCTGAAAGCCAATATCAGCTCCACCATAGACAACACAAGAACGAACCATTGATCGATAAGAAAACTGAATAAGAATAAAAACAAGTAAGCTTCATTTTTTTCTTTCTTTTTCATATCTGAAGAAAAACTACTTTTCGTGCTTCATCATAAATTTGTGACGCTAATTCACGTGTCGGTGCCAAAACAAGACACAATGGATATTGCTTACGATTATTATTCATAGTAGTTTGAGGATTACGCACAGGTCCTTCTTGAAAGATCATGTGTAATATGGGAAGAAGAAATGCAGCCGTTTTGCCAGAACCTAAATGAAAATATCATAACAAGTTTTTAGGTATATCGAAATTTTTGTTTTTTGCATAATAATTGTTTTTAATCCAGTTTTAATATATATGTATCTTACCAGTTTGTGCACAAGCCATTAGATCACGTCGAAGTAAAATAGTTGGTATAGCATAACGTTGTACAGGTGTTGGCTTGCCATAATTAGATAAATTAACATTATTTTTGATAATGTCACCGAACTTACAATCATCAAACTAAGAAACGATACAATCAAATAATATTTATTACCATCACATAATGGAAATACAAACTGTATCAATCGGTTGATGATCCATATGTGATGCTTCAACAGGAATATCATCGTAAAGCTCAAAATTGATACCAGTAGGATGATCACCAAATAGTTCTCTAAAGAAAAACCAAAATCAATTAAATACATTAAAAATTCTTCTACTATATCATCTTTTAATTTCAATCATTACCTTTCAAGATTAGGATTTGGTGGTAAAGGAGTATTCCAATCAGTACCAGTTATATCACCTGATTGTCCACCAACATGTGAATGATATGGTTTATGAGCAGTACGATCACGCCGACCATAGTTATTATCACGTTGTCCTCCATAGCTATTATTATTGTTATCACGACCACTTCTATTCTTATTATTACCAGAAAAACCACTTGCACCACGTTGATAAGCAGTGTTACCACTACTATTATGATATGACGTTTCTCTGTCAGCTCGAATAGCATCCCAACGGCCGCCTGTTGTGTGTTGAGAAGATGCCTGATTAAGAACACCACTCGGATCTTGATGGTTATAAGTCTGTTGAATTTGTGACATGTCATTAAATCTAGTTTAATTATAAATTGGATATGATCAATGAAATAATAGTCTTACGATCGATTCGGCAATTGTATTTGATGTTGAAGAGGCTGACCATAACCTCGAGTATCAAGTGGCTGTGGAGGATTCATCGGACGTGGTATTTGTCCGATCTGTTGATAAGAATTTGACATAGGTTGATGATAGATTTGTGTTGGTAGAGGCGCCATTTGTGGCTGACCATAGTATGACTGTTGTGGAGGAAGAGAAGGATGATGATGATGATGAAGAGTATTACCAGCACCGAAATTACTACTATAGTTTTGTTGTGGAGGTGGTGGACCAGTATTCATCGATCCTCCATAACCACCAGTCATACTGCCATTATTGCCATAATTACCACTAGGAAAATAATAATAGACTATCAATAGAATGAAAATTTCCATTAATTTATGTTACTTCGGCATATTCATTCGATGTTGCATATGGGGAGGTCGATAGACTTGTGTGGACGAACTTTGTGGAGGTAGTGGTGGTTGCTGCTTGAGAGGAGGAGGTCCTCCACCACGACTATATCCACCAACATAGGTATTATCATTGTTACCTTGTTCACTATTGTTGCTTTGAAATCTTGAATTTTCAAAAGAACCGACGTATATTGGTTGTTGTGTCGGTTTAGTATCTTGACTAAAGCAAAAACGATTTAATTAGTACGAACGACTCCTATTTTAACATAGAATAAAATAAATACTTACTCATTGATCATCGTATATTATTGCTTGTTGTTTTTGGTAAGTTTAATTAAGAGAAGGGATGGTTTCGGTGTCGAGTTTATTTTTCTTAAAATTCTAAAAGAAATAGTTATTAACAGATGAACTAAAATCTTAGTTAACATCGATAAAATTTTCAAAGAAAATAATTAAATTCTGCCAAATGATAAAGACTTAATTATAGATATCTGTTAATTGGCATTTGAAATCATACACAGTTGAATTAACTAGTATTCCCTCTCTTTTCAAATCTCATTTGTTTGTTTATTGTATGTTTTTCCTCTTTCTCTCTATGTCTCTCTTTCTTTCATCATCTCAACATCTTTGTCATCTGCCAATGTAACAGAGAATTTAAAAAAAATAAAAACTGTCGAACTACTTGGATATTTTTGAAATATTAACCAATTATTATACGTTTCTTTGATTCCTTAAAACAAAAGAAAAATATATGAGCAGAAGAAAACAGAAAACAATGTCTGATAGAGGACGCTACGAATCGAACATTACGATGTGGTTCATACATGTGATATTGCTATAGTATAGTTATTATTATTATCATTAATTGATTATCTTCATTAACTAGATAAACATTGAAATAACGATAAATCGTTTTAATACAATTTGATTTTTACTTGTCTATGTAATTGATCAGAATATTGAATATTATTATTTTTAATTTTCATTATCAAAGTATGTTTTTTAGTTATTGCGTGAATTAGTTTATTAAATAATTTGATCTTTATTCACCGGTAGCATTCTTTAAAGTTGATGACTGTTTAAATACAATAAAAAACAAAGAAAAAGGTTGAAGAAAACAAAAAAAAGACTGTATTATATAGATAAAAACTTATGCGTACAAGAAAAAAAATATTATAGACAAAAATCGACTTTATTGAATTTAAAATAAGCCAGATCTGTTAAAAATCGAAAATATCTCGCCATGTAAAATATATGGTTGGAAAAAAAAGTTAATTTTATAGTTCATTGAATAAATTTTATTCATTTGGATTGAAATTATTTTTTTGAAGTAAAGGCTGTTGCTCACTATTATTTGTTGCTGTTTCATTTGGATTTTGACGACGTACTTCATCAAATAATGTGGATGCTGTCGTTAAATTTGATAATGAAGAAAATGTAAGTGTGTCATCACCATTGTTTTGTGTTGCTGTTACCTTTTGAGATGGTGGTGGAGAATTTAATGAGAATATATCTTTCACATGAGTAATAGTTCGCGTTGATGATTCGATCACGCCAAACGTACTTTCATTTGACGTAATACCAGATCGAGCGAGAGGAATCAAAAATTTGACGTTTTTTGGTGCCGAAACAATAGATACACCTTCATTAGGAACAGTACATATTTCATCGTTAGGATTTGTTGCTGAATTCTGTGACATTAAATGATTGAGTGCGGCACCAAGTACACTATTGTCAGTATAAAATTGATATTCATTGAAAGAATCATTTTTAGGTAAAGTTGAATGTTGATTATTATTGATTGTTGATGAAGGTTGCGATTGGCGCTGAAAATGAAAACGTCTGTAACAAGAAAAAGTTGAATGTAACCTTCAGTATTTATATGCACAAAACAAAAACTCACCTTTCTTCTTCTCGTTTTGTTTCAATCCAATTATTAAATAATACCCAATCACCAAATCTCATTGAAAGAATCTTTAGAGAAACAAAAATATGTTAATAAACAAAGATGAAATTATGTTTTCAATGTTTTTATACTTGTTTAAGTTCTTCAAGCTCACATGTTACTAAAACTCGACCACTTATATTATATTCATTGATATCATGAATATAAGCTGGTATCATTGATGATTTCAAACCAGTAATACCATTTTTTAAACAGTCACATACATCATTGACTGACATTTCACTCAATGGTGGTGATAAATCTAACTATTATTTCGAATGAAAAATTTTCAACATATAAATACAGTAAGTATTTTATTGTAGAAAGTGTAAAATTTACTTTGACATTTGAAGACGGATCCGATATTGTTGAAAGTTTCTGATTAATCAATGATTGTGTCATAGTTGGTGATGCAAATGATATTGATGATGTTCTACGATGACTATCGTCATCATCGGCATGTTTTTTCATTGACACTTGATTATATAAACGATGTGATAGAAAATCAAATGAAGAACCTTGCTGATTTCCTATAGAGTAAGAAAACGAAATAGATGAATCGATTTGATAGATTTTCTCTTAATACCAATATAATCTGGACCACTAACACTGAATCTCGGATGAAGTGTATTCTTGTGTCGTGATGTATACCCTAAGAAACCACCACGTCCATTTAGACTAGAAAAATAGAAGATGAACAATGTCAACTTCATACAATAATCGAATTCATTATAAAAAAAGAAAAATAGGCAAAAAAGAAAACAAACTCTGCCCATACAACATGAGAAATACTCTCAAAATTTTATCACATTACCAATGAGTACAATGACCATGTTCAAAATCTCTGTATAGGAAAAAAATTGAATATAATTATCTAGTATTCAATTTTTCTTATTTTTTTCTATTTTGTTTTAACATACTTTGAATCGCGATGAGAGAAAAATCTCGATGCATCTCCATTAATGAAACCATTTTCATCGGCATTATTCATGAAAAAATAAGCTGCGGAGTCTATTTCAAAAGAACAAAGTACTTAGTATTCCAGCAAGAACCAAACCATTTACCTCGAATGAGCTTATTTAAATATGGATCAAGATTACATGTACAGAGAAGAAATTGTTTTAAATCATTAACATTCAAAACAGGTTCACCATGTTCTATACAATGTTCAAATTTACGTCCATTACGGTCAAGTTCTAAGAGTGGATCATTTGATTTTGGAATGAATGGTTTAATTCTACAAAATAAATTTTCATTTAAATTAGATCATTCATAAACTACAATTATCCATATATATATGTATATATACTTTTCATATAAAATTTTCAATGCAGTATCATCTGAATATTCTTGTTCATGATCTTCATAATAAACAATAATCCATGAAATACGATATGGCCATTGCTCTACTAAATATGACCAACAGCCAAGTCGTTTCCAACTAAATAATACTTGATTAGCACGAAGTAATCGACCAGTCATAGCAATTATATTAATTAGACGTTGAAGAATTCTTGGATTAATATCAAGAAAATAATCAGATTGAAGTAACTGGTGCGTTAATTCTGATGTTGTCACCTGACATCGAAAAAGAAAAGTTAGATGAAAGTGAAACGAAGAAAACTAAATATATGAATCAGACTTGTTTAGTATTTGATAATGTATCTCGTCGTTGTCGACGTCGCTTATTTTTCGGAAGTTTATTAGTTGGTATTGGTTTTGCGCTTACATCTAAGATTGATGCACCATTAGTAAGAGTCTAAAGACAAATTCAATAAGTTATATATGTTGACCAGCAAAACCAAAAAAAATATCAACCAACATTTTGTCTCTTTTTTGGAAAATCATCAGCATCTTTTTTTAATTGTTTGGTTTTACTTGTATTCAATTGCAAATAGATAGGAAGTTGAATAATCGAACGTAAATATTCATGACCATTAACACTCGTATCAAAACATTGGTTTTGAGCTGTTGTTGACGGTACTGCCATTGTTGTTGATAAATCTTGCATCATTTTATGTGGATCGCAAACAATCAATGTGATAAATGGATCGTTTTCTTTTGTTAAAAGTACATGTACTTGCTAAAAAAGAACAGTAAGATAAATCATAGTATACAAAAAACAAACGGATTCATCTTATCAAACTATTTTATTGACTTACATCAAGTATTTGAAGAATACGTTGCTGTTCACATACGTCTAAACCATCAATAAGAACAACAAGACGAGTATTAATATTAAGAAATGCTTCAACCGATTTAATGATATATGATAATTGGCTAACCTGAAAATTAAAAATATTTGTTTCTTAGAAAAAAAAGAAGAAAGCCATTGAAATTTCATTTACTTCTTTTTTTAAGCGATAAAGTGAATTTTCATTAAGTCGTGACGAATGATCAGAAAATTTCATTATTTTTGATTTTGGTGATTTTAATAAGCCCACAAATACTCGTAGACAAGTGGAACAACCAAACAATATCGATAAACTTAATACGCTGACCAGGGAAATATAAGTCACATTGACTGAATGATGAATAGATGGAATTTCTATAATAATTTCAAAAATAATATTTTTCTTTAATATTTTTGTCAGAAAATATTACTATATATCAAAGCAAGAATAGCTAAAGTCAATAGAAGAGCTAATTGTATTGTAATAAACATGAATGCTGGAATGCAACACATATAACGGAATCGATGGCGACTTAAATCTAATTAGAAGATAAGAATGCAAATAATATACCACAGAAAACGTTTTTTCACGGCATACCTTTGGAATGAAGTGCACGACATAGACGTGTTGCTACAAGACCAAATGTTTCTTCAACATTGGTTCCTAGTTCAGCAATCATTCCAGCACTCGCTTTTTCACCTTCAACTGTCGAAACTTTTCCATATTCAGTAAAAATAAATCTACAAAAGAAATGTTTTTTAAATAAAAATAAAAATAAAATTCTTGTCGACTATTCAGCTTACTTCATCTTTTGATAATCAAATGTATCGCTCTTTTTTGAACGACGATGAACATACGGATTCATAAAAAGAACTTGAAGTAGAAATCGTAAGATTTCTAAGCGTTTCTTTATAAATTGTGCTATATTAGCAGTCCATGCATAATCTTTATGACGAAGAAGATATCGAATGAAAAAGAGAAATGTTAAACAAATAATAATCAAAGCAACACCACATGATATGCCAACAATATAATGTATTGAGAAACCAATAATAAGACCGATAATTAATGCTGCAATAACAATAACTGATAGAAGTAAGGGTGAAAAATCAATCGTTGGAAAATCTGAAAAATAGAATAGAAGAAATGAGAAGAAAAAATGATTTTCCCAAATATACCTGTTAATTGTGCGAAACTATGCATTTCGTCTAGAGAAGAAAAATCTAAGATGGGAACACAATGTAAAATGAAGAAAGATACCTTTTAGATGAGTTAATAATGCTGATTTTCCACTACCCCATTTTGCATAAAGACCCTAGATGATTGATAGAAAAAGATCGAAAGATTTTTAAAATTATAAAATTTCTCACCACAGTAATTGGTGTTCGAAGTGATGGTTCACTCAATATTTCGGCTAATGCTGACGAATATAAATCATAACCCAGAATAGAATCATCATTTAAGTTTAATGTTCCTATTTGTGAGCAAAGAAACAAACAAGAAGAAATCATACGTTTTCTATATGTGAAAGATAGAAATGCATACGTTGTCCAAAAATAGTTGTTAAAATACTTTTTTGTAGATTAGCATCAATTTTGTATGGTGTTTCACCACGCTTGTTAGGACGATATAAATATTTTGAATGGCGTGGATTTGAAAGTAAAATATCAGCAATATCTCGACTGCGATTACGTAGAGCAATATGTAAACTATTATCTCCATACTAAACAAAAATTAATTTATTAAATTTGAAAAATATCTTCCAGAGAGAGAGAAAGAGAGAGAGAAATTCTACCCTATCAGTTGATGATAGCCTAGCCCCATATTTGATTAGTTCATAAATAATAGCAACACGTTTTCGTTTCGTAGCTAATAAGAGTGGTGTATCATCATCTTCACCGCCTGGTACTTCAACGTCGGGACTAAATTGAAGTAAACATTTAACGACATCAAGTCGACCTCGTTCAACTGCCCACCAAATCGCTGTTTTATTTTCCTATTTTATTTTTTAAATAGATTAAAATAATCAGCTGCTAAAAGAGAAAACATTGTATTTAAATCAACTTACAGCACCAACAGCATTTATATCAGCATGATTTTCGAGTAGAATAGCGACAGAATCTTCTTTTCCACCTTTGACAGCAAAAAAAAGAACTGGATCACCATTCTAAATCGATAATAGTAAGTCAATTGTTAAAAAATGAAAAGAAAGATCTTAAATATATATATATCATACTTTATCAACTGTATTAACATAAGCATGATGTCGAACAAGTTCAGCAACAACATCAGTTAGACCTTGTGCACATGCATGACTCAATGGTGTTTGCCCATCCTATTGAAATATATCTATGGAATTAGTTTTCTCAAAACCAAACTTACAGTAAAATCTCACCTTATCTTGTACTTTAATGTCAATAGATGTATTTTGAAGTAGACAAAGAGCTGTTTCTCCATGACCTCCTCTTGTCGCAGCCAGAAGAGCTGTCATATTTTTCATTCCGATGTTATTAACAGTAGCATTATATTGTAATAATAGATCAACTACTTGTGTATGACCTGATAGAAAAGAAAGTTTCAAATATTATTCTATGAAATTACTTATCGAAACGTACCACGTCGACTAGCCCAAATTAATGGTGTTGTATCATTCTTATCGCATAGATTAGGTGAAGCACCAGCTTTGAGTAATAATTCTACAATTTCAACATGATTTCGTCCTGAAGCCCAACTTAAACTGGATATGCCATGTTCATCGATGGCATCTACATTCGCCTCACAACTTAATAAATAGTCAACAACTCTTGTATGCCCTTCATAGGATGCCCACATCAAAGCAGTAAATTGCCCCTATTTGAGAAAAATTTAAATCAATATTTCTTTCTATGTTTCAATTATTTGCAACTTACACAATCGCAATGTTCAATTTTTGCACCATATTCAACGAGTGTACGAACATCATCTAAATTTCCATTTTGTGCTGCATTTAATAATGCCGTCCAATTATCCTGAATAGGAAATCATTATTTTGAAGTAATAATTAAAATAATTTCTTCTAACATAAAAATAGTCGTTCTTCAATCAGATACGTTAAAGCATGTTTTATTATAATATTTGTGATGAAAGAATAGAGTTAAAATTTTGTTCATATATTACCCATGTTTGTCAAAAAGTATACATTTTAGTTCAATCCTCTTTTTCATAACAAACAGATTAGACTGAGAATTTGTTTTTTCTTACCACATCCTCTGCGTTTACGTCAGCCTTAGCTTCAAGAAGAAGTTTTATGCATTCTGAATGATTGCATCGAGCAGTTAAGATAAGAGCTGTTTGTTGATCCTAAATGAATCGAACAGAAAATTAAATTGAATTATTTTTCCTCCTAGATAAATCCTACTTCATCACGCGTTTCTAAATCAATTCCATTTTCTATATTTCTTTTAACGGCATCAAAATCTCCATTTTCAGCATCAAGTAAAAATTGACGAAAAACATTGGCCATTCAGATCTATCTGAATCGAAAGAAAATATATATTTTACTGTAGATGTTTGTCAGAAATGTCCAAGTATCAGCGATTTTTTTATTGTACATGAAATTAGAAAAAAATCTCTCCTATCTATTTTATAATTGTTCTTGTGCATGTCGTGTTGTAATGCCAGCCATGTTAAGAATAGCTTCTTCTTCTTCATATGTTCTTTTGACCTACGAAAAAGATTTAAATACGACAAAAACTCATGTCAAAAATATGATTTGCTTTTACTTTGCGAGCTTTTTCAACTTGTTTTGTTTCCCATTGACGCATACTATTCTGTTCGTCAGCACTGTCTCTACCGCCAACACCCCATACATCAATGGCAGCTAAACGGCCTTCACCATTTAAATGTTTTACATTGAAAAAGTCACCATCAATATTCAGAAATGTATGTGCAAGATCACGACCAATAAATAAACCAAGTGTTGATACACCACGTAGTTTTGTATTCATAAAAATAATATTTGGACCCTCTAAAATGAAAGTCAAAATAGAATAGTAAATCATTTAACATATGAGCAAAAATGTTAATTGTTACCCAGAACAGTTTTAAACACAGGTTTCAATTGAAATAAACACGCTTGGATACCACCAAAATGTTTAGGTGATTCTCTATGTAAAATAGTCAAGAGTATTTCAAGAATATGTTCTTTTTCTTAATTTTCTACTTGAATTCTTCGTCACAGCATAAACAAAATAAGTAACCATCTGATACTTCGAATAAAATGATAATTGGTGCTTTGTAGCCAAAAATATGATGTTGAAATCTACAGTAGAATGATTGAAAATTAATTAAATATTGGTTATATCATCATTACTATACCTATTTAAACTTGATCCATCACGATGGCTATCATATAGATGATTCCACATTCGACCATGCTTTTATTTTAAAAATTGAAAAAAGTGAAGAGAAAAATACAAAAATAAAATTACCAAGACTGAAGACATTCGATCCAATAAAGTTGTACAAGAATTATCCGCTGATAAATACGAAATAGGAATATTATGAGTAAATAGCCATACCCAAGTTGGACTAAGAATATTATTCATTTTCATCAATGAGCAATTCTATTGACAAAATGAAACTTAAAATTGTCAGCTTATAATAAAATAATATACCGATGCGGATGCTTCTTGAGATGTCTTCTTACTGGTAGATGATGTTGAATTTGTACGAAACCACGTTTCAAAACCATAAAATAGTGTTGGAAATTGTGCACGTACCCATTGATAAAATTGTTCTTGTTCAATTTCAGATGATTTAGAGGTTCCGATACTGTTCGTCAATGCCGAAAAACATTCATTATCAAACATAGTGGGTTGAAGTAAATTGACATTTTCTTTTAAAGCTTGTTTTAAATCGAACTGACAACAATCATAAAAAAGTTTAGTTAATTCTAAATTTAAAATAAACAAGGAATTGCGTAATTGTTTCATATGAAATCAATGATTTTACCATTTCGTGAAATACTAGTTCGATCGTTCCAAATAAGTTTGATTAAAAGCATTGAAAATTCTTCTGATTTCATTGCAGATGAAAGACTATCAATAATTTCATGATCAGATGATACATTATTTTTTTGTCGAATTATACTCAGAGGAAATTGATCATCGTTACATAACTAAAAGCATTAGAAACATTTATTAGTCGATAAGGTCAAATTCATTGTTTAGGCTCTAATATCTTACAAGAGATAATAATCGAAGAATTTCCTCATATATATGAGGATTTTTGTTTGAAGTCTGTTCAATTTGACTAGCGTTTGAGGGTCTACTACTACTTTGTAATGTATTTCCCATTATAAACTCAAGTATCAACAAATTTATAGATAACAATAAAAAGAAACAAAAAGATCGATAGAGTTTCAAGACAAGTTAAATCTCCAATAAACACATTTGATATTCCAGTCTGAAGAGAATGACAACTCACATTTCACTTTTTTCAAGGACTCGAGTATATGTTGGCTGTTTACAATGTACTACCCAGAAACAGCGAATCTGATAGGGGGCGCCACGTGGCACTGTCATTAGATTCAAATGTATATCCCAAGACAATCATTACGACCAGCGGCGTAACCAGGATTTTTAGACCATTGAGCAAACTTCTATGAAGTCGAAAAAAAACCCATAGGTAAAATTGGCAACATTTTTATTGATAGGCTAAAATTTTTTAACCCAACAAAGTATTGATAGCGTAGAAAAAACACAGAAAGAAAGAAAATGATATTCATTTAACTACACAAAAAAATATGATATTCTTTTAACCTAATATATATATATGAAAAGAATCTCAGCTTTTAAGCTTGTCTCACACTTGTTGAGCTAGACATATTTAATCCTATCTTCAGTTTCTATTTATAACATTTGGCTTCGAAATTCAAACACCAAAATCAAGATGACGATTATATATTTTTACATATAATTTCAATGTTTCGAAGAAAAGTGATAGCTTAATAACGTATTGCCACTGGCAGATCTACCATTACAGTCAACCGGCGAGGACCACCTCTTTTACGAAATTTTTTCGATTTTTCCCAGCAGAAATGACACAGAAAAAAGTCGTACTGCCTCAAATAGGCTTCAAAAACCACTTTTTGATCAGGAGTGCCATCCCTTACTGATTTTCTGGATACGCCACTGTGCATTGGGTCGTTTTCCAGTTCGCATGGCTTAGTATTAACTTTTTAAAATAGGACAAAAGAGAACACCAAAATTGCAAGTGTAAGTGCGCAATTTTATACGTATAAGCATATTTGTGTTTTTTCTTTAGACTTATGTGATGACACATGATAGTGTGTACACTCGTTCCATTAAGTATGAGATGATGCTACCGAAAGCATATCACAATGAACTATCTACACATGTTTGGATGTATCATCCATATGATCGAAATTGTATCGTGTGAAACTATCGAAGTCATCAGAAATCCTAATATACCATCGTTGAGGATTGTCGTAGTGGTTGGTTTAGGAAAATGACAAAAAAAGAAACATAAAGCTGTTTTATACATAAGTTCTCAAAGTTCCAGTTTATTCTTTCAAATGGCCCTACCATCAGGCTACTCTATTAAAGTCATTCGTTTAACGTATCTAACCTTTGATATCATGCTTGCTGACAACAGCATATGACCATCAATTCAAAATTAGACATTTTCAATAAATTTAAGAAGACTATCAGTTTGATCGTAGCTCATGTATACATCGATCCGCTATAAGAAAAGATATCTAACTTACTGATGCAACCAGCTGAGTAACACTGATCATAATTTATGCTCAATATCTGATAAATCAATACTTGTTATCGATGTAGTTGTTTACACAATATTGTATTATAGTTAATTGTAGCAATAGAGTTGGTATTTTATACTCAACGAAATTTCTTTATTAGATCATCAGTTCTATTTAATAATACACAAATAGCAGCTACACAAAAAAAATTGCTTTAAAAAATCGACTAGATTTTTGTTTTCGAAAATATGTTTAAACACAGCAACGGTTATTTGAATTGAATTTGTTATTTACATCGAAAAGGATTATTGCTATGATTTGCTAAGAGAATAGAAGATTTAACATAGGCTTTAAACTTTTCACAAGAAAATAACTCACTTTTGACTATTTTTGGTGAAGATGTTTCTAAATCACTTGATGATAAATCTTTTCTTTTGTTGCTTATTATGTTTTCATTGTCTTGTTGTGTTTCAAGAGTCGAGGTCGAGAAACTAGATTTTTGGCCAACTTCAATATATTCTTGACGAAATTGTGCACTGATATGTCGAGCCATATCTGAAATAACTCGTAAACATTCTACGTATTTAATCCTATGAATTGAATCGTTTTAGAATTACCTATAAAAAGTGTATAATGATTTTTTGCCAGATTTTCAACTAATAGCGTTTGTAATTTCAAAAATATTGTTCGATCTGTTTTATGAATTTTATGATCTTGTAACATATGTGTAAAACGTGCATAGTTGCCATGTGGCATAGCTGCTTTTAACTATAATGAAACAAAATTTTCATTCAAAAACAAGTCAGTTATTCAATTACTTGAGATAATAGTTCTCTATATTCAGAAGCTTTTGCGTTTGATACAGCTACGGTCGGATTATTCGTATTACTGTTAGTAGGAAGTGTTGAAGTCTCTTCGAACTAAATTAAATGTAGAGTAGCTAGTTTCGTACATTAAAATAAATGTCTTCATACTGTTCCCATCATTGGTAGAAATCTCTTAGACAACGAATCCGTTCGTACAACTTCACGTCGTTTCAATTCGAGCATGGCATCAAAATCACGTTGTTTCTACATGGAAGCAATTTGAAATAATTTTATTTTGTACAAAAAGCGAACACTTACATCGTCTTTGTCTACACTCTGTAGAGACATTGCAATTCCATTCTGAATAAACATATTTGAAAAAGTCAATAGCTTATTAGAAGCTAAAAGAAGTTTACTTGTCGTGTTGACGATATAGCATCAAATAAAGATTGATGAACAACATTAGTTTCATTTCGAAGATTATTTGATGAAATTTGTTCCGTCATTTTTACAGAATATCCATCTGAAAAGAAGTAAATATATTCTTATTTTAGCAAATCACAACATAACAGCGCAATAGAAACCGCTTACTAGATTGTTTTAATGTTGTTTGAAGAATATCTTCAGATGATGATATTGTTTGACTGATAGATTTCGATGTAACATGTGTAATCATTGTCGTTGAATGCGTAACAGATGGACAAAATGCTTGTTGAATAGGATGAGCTGTTTGTGGACCTATTGTATTAGTTGGTGAATACTAAATTAAAGAACGAACCAAAAAATGGTACAACAATTATATTTGAAAAATATTAATAAGACAACTTGAGCAAAAAAGTCTTTGAGTCCTTTCATCATGCCAGTAAAATCAACTTTATGTATAAATGGATGAATCCATTTTGATAATTTATCTGTATTGTCTCCAAATCTATATAAAAAAGAAAACGATAATTTGTTCTTAAATTTCTCATCTTTTTTCTACCGTTGATCAAAAAAAAGCACAGCACCATAATCACGTCGATGTCTAATCACACGACCTACACATTGATTGATAGCTCGAAAAGCTTGTTGATTATACCAGACATCACCTGCTTTTAAATCTTTCTTTTAAAATAGAATAAAGAAGCGAGGTTTATTTCATCTAAATATCTATCAAAATCTGTCTTAAAAAATATACATTATTACGATTTATTTCATCTAGATAATGTCGTTTAGCAATAACTCGTCTATCTTGATGAGGTGCAAATGGTATACCAATAAGAATTACAGCTCGGCAAGATTTATCACTGAAATCAATGCCTTCACTTAATTTTCCACGAGCAACAGCAAATAACATGGCACCACGTGGATCATTTTCAATGATTGTATTATATTCTTTCATTTGACTTTCAAATTTAATCTTATTTCGTTGTTCAATAATTACTCTTTTACGTTGATTCATTGTTTCAAATGTAGCATTATTCTATTGTGATTTATTCAAAATTCAAAATCTATTATCAAATTTGTTTCTATATTAAAACAAGCAAACCTTCCATGTTTGAACGACTTCTTCAATCATTTTATAACAAGGAAAAAAGACAAGAACACCACCTGGAATATTTTTAATTACATTATGTAGTGTTTGACCTAGAGAATCAATTGTTCATTTGAATTGTCTAATAAGATATCAATTGTTTTCTTTTACCCAATGCTTCTTGATACTCTGGATTTTGTCTAAACAAACCAATAGATTTGTATTGTATTAAGAAAATATGTAAACATTTCTTGTGATTTACCTTGTTCTATAGACAGACGTAAGAGTATGTTTATTACCAGCTGCTCGAGGTAGAATAGCGGCAAACAATTGATTCTGTTCTATAATATGATCATTTTGAATGACAATATCGAATGGTCTAAAATTTGTCACGGATTAAAAAATTTTATTTTTGAATTCATCGAGCAATAATAATAATAATAATTAATCTTACATTGCTAATTGTGTTTGAAATGAATCTATTGGTGAAAGTGTACCACTAGTTAAAAGAATAGATCGAGTATTTTGCATACATAATTGTCGCATGGCAAAGCCTGGTGATAAACACCAATAATGAAGTTTTTTAGGTCCTAACCAATACAAAAAAAAGATTATTTTTAGTAATTGTATGATGTTTCACCTAGGGGGAAACAGCAGACTTTTGGACTTCAAGTTACTTTCAGCTACTTCAAGTAGTTTACTTTGAAGTACTTGAGAGTACTTCAAGCTACTTCAGCTACTTGGTCCTACTTTGAACTACTTCAATCAGTCTACTTTGACGTTCTCTTCTACTTCAAGTCTGCCATTTCCCCCTAGTGTTTCACTCACGTTTTGAAGTAGCAATCGACGGTCTTTGTTCACTATTATTGCTCTCTTCTTCAATATATACCTAAATAAATGATCGAAGTTATCAGTGAATATGAATTTGATTGAACTGATCACATACTTTGAAAACAGATTTTCTTTGAGCATCCATATCAAATGTAAAACATGGTTGACCATTTTCATCTAATGGATTTACAGTCTATAATATAGAGAAATACATTTGGTTTAAAAAAACAAATGTTAAAAACAAATGTTACTTCAATAAATTCAGCTACTTTTAAAAGTGCATGACCCTTAGAACGAAACAGTGAACCCGCTAATAAAAATCAAAAATAGAAATATAACTATATAAATAATTTTGTTCTCACATCTAGCAGTCATAAATTGATTAATCTCTTGAAGTTGTTGTAAATCTCCTTGTGGATTAAAATCTATTTCAGCACTTTGAAGCCATTTAAATGCAACACTAAAATAAAGAAATAGAATTTACATTATTGTATTTCGATGAAACATACTCGCCAGGTGATGGAATATTCCCTTTGGTAATCTTCATATTATCTAATAATTCTTCTAGTTTCATGATTTTCACTTGATAAAAATAGAATTATAATCGATTCATTTTTATACGATGATAAAAATTGACTTACATTTCAAACTACAGATTTGATCTTGTGTAATAGTTAAAGCTAAAATAATCTTCAATATTGTAGGCAAATAATTACAACGCCAAGGAAATTATTTACCATTTGTATCGATATTATTTTCTTCGTTGTCATCCGTTGATATTATCGAAGACGGTGTTAATGATTGTGATTCAATCATCCATTTCATAACTTTTGTAATATCATCAAGACAAGCAGCGATATCCAATGAACTAATCGTCACTGAAGCTGCATCTTCACATTGTTGTTCAATATTATGTGCTTCATCAAAAATAACCACACATTTACGTACATTAATCTTATGAATTCGACGAGCCTTTAAACAAAAAAGAACTAATAGCTATCTTTTGAGATTTTGCGTAGTTTTAAGTTACTTTAGAATCAAGTAAATAATTATAAGGCATAAATATAATATCAGCCTTTTCTTTTAGTTCTCTTGCTGCAAAATAAGGACAAAATCTTTGAATATAATCAAGATATTAGTATGAACAAGTCGTAATTAGTTTTTTTTCATACTTTTTTTGTGTTCCTACTTTGACCAAGTCTTCAATATCCATGGGTGGTAATTTGGTAATATCAGGTTTGGACACTACAATTGAATAAAAATCATCGTATTAATTGTACTAAAGTATATTGTCAAAAATACTTTACTTTCAAAATTTCTATGAAATAAGCATGTCTTATGACGAACTTTTTCTCGGCAAACTGATATTTTATCGGCACTATTTTCGAGAGATTTTACTTCTGGATGAATACATAATTGATCACGCGAACCCAAAACGGTTATTTTCATACGACTAAGATAAAGACAAAGCGAAAATGATTAGAATTAATAAAATCTAATGCTCAAACTTATAATCAGTCGATTTAAATTCTTTAACAACTTGTGCTAATTGAGAATGAGTACGTGAAGCATATATAATTTGAACTGGTGCTTCTAAACATCATTGAACGTATCAACATATGAATAGATTTATCTAAAAATTTTACCATTTGAATCTGAATTATGTATTTTATATTGTTCAAGCCAAGCAAGAGTAGCACACAACAGAGAAAGAGTTTTGCCAGTACCTTTTATCATAAATAAATTTAATTATCAGTAATAGGAACAAAAACAAAAGATATTAATCATTATCCACCTGTTGGACTCTCGAGTATGCCATTTTGACCCTTCAAAATGTATAATAATATTTTAATTAATAATCAATTTCAAAACAGAAGAGAAAGAAAACTATCAAACTTTAATTAAACATTCAACAACGGCTTTCATATAATCAAGTTGACATTGATATGCTTCGAAAGGAAATAGAACAGTTAACCCATCAATCAAATATGAATGCATCACGAGAATCTAAAGAAAACTCTAAATACTAGTAGTATGTTCTTTTCCGTTGAATCACAAAGAAATGCAAACAATCATAGAACAAATGAATCATCGTCTTAATTGTCAAAGATCTTTTAGCGCAGCGAACAAATAAAAAATGATTGGTTTACGTAATCAATCGTAATTCACAAATAAAATTTACTATATACAACTAACTTTTTGTTTTGATTTAATTCAGGCTATTTATATGAGAGGAAACGAACAAATCATTGATTGGCTATGAAATATTCTTCGCTTTCTTTTGCTATCGTATTTCAATAAATTGAAATCTATGCGTTTATGTTTGCTATGTTGTGTGAAAATATGATACAGAAAAAAAAAATACAAAAACGAAAAAAAGAGAAAAACAATAGACTTGTTAGCTTCAATAAGAAAGTTTATCATAAGTCTATCATTCATGTAGAAAACATATAGTCTAAAATGAATAGTTTTCATTGTAATAAAAATACTTTTATTTTTTAGTTGGTGATAGTTCAGCTATTGATTCAGCAACAAGATTTAATAGAACATCAACTTTCAGCTTCAACATATTATTTTCTTCTTTTAATATTTCAACTTGTTTTCGAACCTTGTGTGCAGCACCACTGGACGCTATTCCACCCACACTTTCTGCGCCAGCTAAACGAATGAAACAGGAAAATATTAACACTGTTTTAAGCAAAAAAAAGGAGAAAAATGAAGATATATGATCATACCTGTATCCCAATCACCAGTTTCGATATCAAAAAGTATTTTTTTATCTGCAACCCTAACATCAATGCTTTCACATCTCGGGCCCAATTCACGATACATCTCATCTGCAGGTAATTTAATTGGATTTCTTGAGACCTGTTTTCTTGGTTTAGTTTTTTTAGTTGCGAATGGGTTTGAAAAAAACGACATGATATATATATATATATATATATATCGGATAATCGATAGTCTTATGAAAACAAATTCTCAATGAAATTTATCGTCCATTAATTGAGCCGTTGTCGTATTGTGATTCCTATGGAAACGTATATCTGGTACATGACATATGGCGACATTATTATGTCTTACTTGTTAATCTCATAAACCAATAGGAAACTTACTTTGAAAATCAGTTTTCTATTCTTTTTCACATTTCTGTTTAGGATTTGACAAATAAATATTCTAAAATCTTATAATTTCTTCATTATTCATTTTTAACAATGGCTTGTTGTGTGGCAGTTTTAATAAAAGAAGTAGTTACATCAGAATTTTTTCGTACTTTTAATAATCGTTTTTTTTTGCATATAGAATTTAATTTATCTACGTCGCTCAGCAGAAGAGCTCAAATTTTTGTTTCTTATTCATGCTTCAATCGATATACTTGATGACAAAGTCAATCAATTAACTAAACCCACAAGTGATCGAGATGCACGAGATTTCTATCTTGGTCTTCTCTATCCAGTAGAAGAATATAAAATGTAAATTATTTGAAACAAATTAATTGAAGAAAAAATGCAATAGTCTACTATATATTATTCTAGTTATGGATATGTTTCATCAACGCGTGTTAAATTTATACTCATTTTTGAACATTCAACGTCAATATCACTTAAAGATCAAGATATAAAATTACTTTTTCAACGCTTACATCAAGCCTACATTGATTGTATATCAAATCCATTTTATGAACCAAATACACAATTGAAATCAAAGCGTTTCGAACAAGTTGTTACAAGTTTAATGGTTCAAAATGATCCATTGACATCTGCAATAGTATCGTCGCAAGCATCATCAGTACCATCGACATCGGCCATAGTTCCTACTGCAATATAAATTATTTTATTTATACATATTTAATCTGTTGAAAAATGATTAACATAAAGTTCAATAATATTTTCAAGTGCTTTAGGAATAAGATTTTCAATTTTTTTTAAGCGTTGATCTAGAATATCTAAATGTTGTCCCATTGTTAATGCTTGTTCAAGATCAACTGTATTTATTTGAATCATTTCACGAGCAGCCATCGCTGTTTTTTGCCAATCTTGAGCTAATTTTTCATGTTGATTATTAAAAATTTTAAATTCATCATAAAGTATTTTAATAGTTTGACTTTCTTCAATTTCAAATAGAAATATTTCATCTTCATAATCATTATTGGCTGATAAACGCTGTACAAATTTCTCGATCACATTTTTATTATAACCATCATCGAGTAGAACGTTTTGGAGTTTTTCTACAATAATCGTTTGTTTTGCATCTAATGATATATCATCATTATCATGAATATCTGTTCTTAAATCAATACTATCATTACGATTGATGGATTGTGTGGAAAAAATATGAAGAAAGCGCTTCATTTTTTGAATAAGTGCTGCTTGAAGTATGGGTCGTTTCGAGCGATGTAAAGCATTTAATCTTTCATTATTTGATCCATGAATGTATTCTTCTTGAATATCATCTTCTATTTGCTTTTGTTCTAGTTTACCTAACACATAAGCTTCGTTTACAACTGCCACTAATAAATTGAGTAAAATAAAAAATACCACACATACATATACCATATAAAATATCTACAGAAGAAAAATCAAGAATAACACATTATCTATATTTGCATTAAAAACACTCATACTGGTGTCCACGTAGGTGAAACACGATATGCACGATCGTATTCAAATTGGCCAAGTGTACATCGAATGAGTGTGTAAGATGTTAAAGCAAAAGTATGAAACTAAAAATGAATCGATTAAAATCAAAGAATAACATTAATAATATGAGAATGAGTTCATTTATCGTTATTGAGACAACAAAAGAATCAGGGAGAAAACGTTTTGGACATAACCTTTTTATTTTTGTCCTAGAACTTACTTCGTATAATTCATCGCCATAATGGAACGTTGCAGAAATTACAAATGACATAAATATAAGAAAAAATAGAAAAAGAAAACCAAGCGAATTTCGAAGTGATTTATAGAAGGCTTTGAGTAAATTTGCTATTAAATTGGAAAAATGAGGAAGATAACGAAGTAGACGAATGAGAACCGCTGCTGTTATACATGCTTCTAAATAGATACGATTTATCTGTATTTCAATGAAATGAATCAATTCGTTGAAAATATCATTTTTTGATATTGAAAAACATTTATAAGTTTCTGCAATGTACACTAGAAAATTAATATCAAGATAAAATGAAATAGTGAATAGAGTAAGTAGACCAAGATCATAAACATTCCAATAAGATGACATAATAAACCGTAAACGATGTTGAGCTATTTTACCAACATAATAAAAAGCAAATGCAACATTGCAAAGAATAAATAATACTTGAAATAAACCTAAGAATTTCTTTCGGCCAAAAAAAAAACTATTGACTGGAACTGTATAGAAAAAATCCCGCACATGAATTCTACCTAGAGATAGAAACAGGACAAGGTTTTATTTTCTTATTTTTTGCTTCATTTTGATGAATCTTTTATTTACCGGTTGTCAGAAATTCAAAAAGAATATTAATAGTTGTAAGTAGTTCAGTATTTGGATTGAAATAGATAAATTCAATAAAAATTGCTCGTGTATTTAAATCTAACCAAGTAGCTGTTTTCAAATTATCTATTGCTTTATCATTCAAGTCTTTCTTTGAATGAAAATGATATATATAACCACCAGTATCGTAAGGTCCATAGGCATTCGATAATTTTAATGCATCGGTTGTTTTTGATGACGTATATTCATATTGAGTACCTGTCATTGTAGTCAATTTACCTCGATATTCTTTGGATTTATGATAAATTGCATAACATTGAATAGGTCTTACGCTAAGATCTTTTATGATCTCACAATGAGTATCATCAATACGAATTTGACGTAGACGAGGAACACCAAGAATAAAATTTTCGTTTGATAATAACATTTGATAATTATAATCTTGTTTAGAATTATTTGCTGATGCTTTCCATTGAGCAACATTACCTGTAGATATATAATAGATGAGAAAAAAAGAAGCTGACTCAAACATAATGCTAACTGTAGAGTTCTTCATTGAATCGATATAAATATTCCCAAAATTCATGAGGTTTTGTAACTGCATCAAGCTCTAGTTTATTTATCAATAATCGTCGAATACATCGATCTGCATTAAAGGTATCTTGAGAAAGATGATTTATAATACAAATAGTTGTAACAAGTAGAAAATAGACTTAAATTATATAGATTAAAAAAGATTTTATAAACTTAGAAATAAGCAGTAAAAAGTTAACCTGAATAAAACATAAAACCTCCGAGAGTAACATTCTCTTCACTGATTTGATCTCGTCGAAGATTCTTATTGAGAATAAGACGAAGTTTACGTTTAAGTCGAACAGCGGATGGTTCGAAACCTTGAAGAGCAGAACTTGAATGGTTCTCTTTTGACATTGCATATAACGCGCCGTCAATTATTTCATTAAGTAAATTCTATTTTAAAATTTGTATGCAATCTAAAGAAATACATATGTATAATTAAACATGAACCAAACAAAAACAATCTACGTACATAGTACGAAAAATATTTTATAATCATTTGCAATTAAGTCTGAATATGATAGCAAACCAACGGTATGTGCGCGATCACTTTCGTATCATGACAAAAGATTTTAGAATTTTTCATCATACTGATAGAAGTGTAAAGAAATAGAAAATATCAATCGATTTTGAAAGTACTGATGTGAATCTACTTTTTGCAAAATCTTTTCAACATCTTTTTTTGTTCAAGGACTTCTAATCAAACCAAGGCAACTCTAACATGTTGCCGCGATGAATTAACAGAAGGGTGTAGAACAATAATATTTTCGTTCAGTCTGTTTAATATTGTCTTACTTATTTTGAAGACATCGATTCGTGGATTCATCTAATTACCCATGGCAAAGAATGAATACAACTGGTAAGATTTTGTCTACTTGAATTTATATTGCCGTTTCATTATCTTAATGCTACGTTTAATTTAAAATGGCTCTACTACCTATTAGATGTAGTGCGAAACGTCTTGAGTAGTTACTCATCAAGAGCGTTTATGTCTGCGAGAAACATCGAAATTTGACACAGGACTATCGTATTAGTTGGTCCATTTGTTTCTGAACTATTATTAATATTTCGAACTTGTCTGAATAATTTTAATCAGAATTTTAAGAAAGATTTCTAAACCGATTTTCATAAAACCAAAGATTATTTTTATCTCTTACATCATTTTATTTTATTTAATCAAATCTAATGAAGAAGAACACGGTTATATTTCTAAAACACTCAATTAACAAAGGTCCTAAACTAAATTATCTATCATCACTACAGAAATTCAAATGGTTGATAATGATGCGTTTAATGATGAACTGAATACGGTGTATATTGATCACAGAAAACAGTAAGTTCTTGTGAAAATAAATTCATACGTTGTTCTACCTGAATAAAAACAAAATTGTATTAATGGATATACAACAAAAGCATGTGTTCAACTCACAGTATCAATCAAAACTGGATCAGTAAGAATAGGTGGTAAACGGTATTGCTCATTAATCAGATTTTCACAACCTATTCAAAGGAAACTGTTATCAAAAAGTCAGAATTCTGTAAAAAACAAAAACCATTACCAAGTCGAGTCATTGTCGAGATTTCAAACATATAAATAGCTAGAATCATATCGGATTCAGTAGCTTCAATGTGTACATTACATTTAGCTATGCCTTCACATAGTTTTGTTCTAAACTCAAATTATAGTTGATAAAATAAAATACACGATGACCCATCGACTTACAAAACATCAGTAGCTGAAGCAGAAAGTTCAGTATAAGCAAATACAGTACGTTTTGTTCGACGGCATGCACAAAAATATCTTTTCAAAAGAAATTCAGCTTCATGACTCAATGGCATTTCAATCATACGAACATATACAAGAAACTATATATAATGAAAAGAATATTCGAATCAAGAAAAAGTAAGTGATTGTTATATTTACACTTCGAATGTCATCAATCCATTGGCTAGTACGTTGATCGGCTACTTCATGATGATTATCATTGCTTAACATTGAATCCAAATAATATTCAATTGTTTCTTCTATATACATATGAATGGTACCGAAAAATATAGTGAAAAATATATTTCTTACCATATTCATTTTCAATTTCATCTATTGGTAATACTAGACTGAATGCGCTTGAAAACATTGCTATTACGCAACCTGACTACGAAACTAAACAAAATAGTATCTTACTCGGCCAATACTGGCGATAGGTCATTAGTTGGTTCTATGACTCGATCACCACGCAACCATAAACGACTATCATGATAAGCCCAAATATTAGTATTAAACGGTGCAGTATAGATAATTTTTGATGTTGCTTCATTTTCATTTACTTCAATACTAAGTGTTTTTGTTTCAAATGCTATGTAAATCAAAACAGATCATCATAAAGAAAAGGTTTATCAAGATTGTTTTTGTTTTTTTTAACCTGAAAGAAGTTCTTTTATTTGTGACTTAGTTAAACTATCAATGCTTTCTAGATACGTTATTCCATCATTACCAACAGAGATTGAACCAGCTGTTCAAGAAAAGATAAAATAAAAACAATACATGTTAGAAGTCAATATTTACCAGAAACTATAAATGAATGATGTTTATTTTTGGCAAATGATGCAAGTGTAAGTGGATGTTGTTGTCGATGAATGACACCACATTGAGCATATCTGAATGCTGTTTGACATAGAATATCAGCTACACGACTTTCATTACCAACTATAAGTACATGAATTGAAGATGAGACAAGACTCAGTATTAAACCCATCTTAACATGAATACAATATTTAGCTAATCGAATATGTGCTACAAAATATAGTTTTACTATAATTATCATATAGAAGACTAGAAATACAACGTACGACAAAAAAGCGTTGATAGAATGTTAAGAAAACTAAATGAATGATGATGAGCAAAATTATGATGTAATTGACAAATAGAATCAGGTAAAGTAAGACGACTTGGTTGTATCATTTCACAATGTAATGTCTAGAAAAAGCATATAAAACTAAGAGGTATCATAGAAAATTAATTATACTTCAAAAACAACTTGATTCAAATGGAGATCGTGAAGAACGTAGCAAATGAAATTATATTTACCACCAAGACGAATATGTGAAATAAATTCATCTAAGAGAAATATATTTCTGATGTTTACTATTCATGAAAATACATTGTTTACGTACCGCGTACGATTACAGTATATGTATTTGATAATAAAGTTTCTAATTCAAGATTATATATGGATGAAAGAATAGGTATTTCTGGTTCTTTTAATTTAATTGCAATTGTAACTTTTTCTGTGGGTACACAAACATTATTAGTTCTATCAATGAGTAAATAAATCTATACCGGAAATCCATCGTTTATTGATATCTTCATCAAGCATTAAATCGCATCCTTCGCATAAAAATTTTCTAGAAGCGATTTTTCCCTTTTATTTTTGTCTCTTTAACTTAACTTACTGTCCAACTGTACAATTGTGTGGATTATCAATAGTGAAGGATATAAATTTTTGACGTTTTCGATCATTTAAAGGACAAATTGAACGCTGGCATACATACTTAAGTCCACGTCTAATGAACAAATTTAAATGTTAATAAGAGCGTAAACATGAAATTATTCGGCATACACGTATGGCAAAATAGCACTCGATGCAATAACAGTACCACTGAGACGGATCGGATGTGCACGCGAAAGTAAGTCTGCTTGTGAAGCATTCGATAAAATACGAAATCTATTATTCAATTATATTTTTTTCGTTTTTTCAATGAATTATACTACGAAAGAAATCTTACTCTGGTCTTGGTGGTAATTTATCATACATGAATCGAACAACAATTTGATTTGAATGACTACATAGATTTCTAACATTTTTATAAATAATCTACAATTAAATATGAGATGAACTTATCAAGACAGCTAAAATAAATTAAATACTGATACCTGTTGAGCAAAATTCGTCGCATGCTTTTGCTGATGAATGATAAATTCAGTAAATGAATCTTAAAAAGTAAAATCAAACTATTTTGTGATAGTACATAGAAGAAAATCAATAATCTATACCAGATATTTGATAGCATTTATCTAATCGAATGGGAATAATAAATGGATAGAAACATGTCTATGATTGATCAAAACATCATCATCTCATGAAAGTATATATATATATATATATGTGTATTAAACTTACTTCTGAATCTTTTGAATTTTGAATCGTTTCAACAAGTTGTTGTAAACTGCCGTGTGATACTTCTTGTTCAATATATAAACGTAACAACCTAAAGTCTGATTTTTCATTTAAATGAGTTCCTTGACTCAATATTTGACTAGTTGTCATGGTTCTTGTCAGTTAGAATCGGTGCTATGTGCGTGTGGTTATTTTAAAATAAACCGTTGTTCAAATGAATTCGATAATTTTAACCACATGTTTTCTCTTTCCTTTCCGTTGAACGAAAAGGAATAAAATAGAAATACCAACATCATTTCGATACCTTGACGAAGAATGCGTCTATTTAGATTTATTTCGAAAAATACAAAAAGAAAAACTTATTTTAAACCAAAAAATAAAAAAGTAAAAATAAATCTCTTTAAAAAGTATCGACATCTTGTAATGAATCATCACTGCTGGATAACGATGATGAATTTGATTTAAGATTATTTAAATATTCAAGAAACCATGATTGTTCATCGACTGGTACAAAATCATGTAAACCTAATAAAATATTCAATAGCATCATGTAGAACAACATCTCGTAGCCTTATTTTACCATCAAGTAAATTTCGTCGAGATTCTCCATATAAACGAGCTGTTTTTTTAACAAATGCTTTGGTACTTGTGTGATTCAATTGCCATTCTGTTAATAATTTTCCGAATTCAGCCAATTCATCAGTTTTTAATTCAAGTTGTAGCTAAAACAAAGATCATAAATTTAAACACTAAGATATCAATCAAATCTTAGTTCATTTACATTAAGTAGATAGTTTTGAATAATATGTGATGTTGATTTTGTTGAAGGTCTATTTGGTGATTTATCCTCATTTCGATTACGTGATCGTCTAAATCAAGCGAAACATGTAGTAACGATTCAAGCTTATACAATATATGATACCGATGTCTTCGCCGTGGAGTTAGTAAATCTTCATCAACAATAGTTGATGTATCTGGTGACATGACACGTGCCGAAGAAGTTGATGCTAATGATAAGGAACGTATTGTTGATGGTGTTGAAGATGTTGTCGAATCAAATGAACAACGTAATTGTTGAGCTGATGAAAGTGATCCAGCCAGTAACGATAATTTTTTGCTTATACCAGAATTCTGTTCATTAGCTGTGTATATGGCATGAAAACAAAACTCCATGGATGAACATAATTCGTCAGCTTCATATCGATCATTTAAAAGAAAAATAACTAATTCAATATTCGATGGTTTATCTTTTGTTGAAACTAAATCAATAGAAATATTATTGACAAGCAATGAAAATAAGATTCAAAATATATACCATATTTCATTGTAACAATATGATCTTTTTCATATTCGACATAATAACATGAAATAATATGATGAGAAGGAATCGATAAAATTAATTTCTATATAAGTTGATGAATTATATCATTAGAAAAAAGAATGATATAATCATGATGTTTTACTTGATGAGTATTGAATAGTTTTATTTGCTCAGTAGTTATATGTAATTGTCCAATAGATTTTTCTGCTAATCGCTTTGGTAAACGACGCTCAATCTAAAATGGTATGAATTGTTAGATTTATTTTATTTCTACGAAAAAGAAACAACGAATCAATATTCATTACTTGACATTGTGCAATAAATTGTAAAAGTTTTTTTTTGTATGATAAATCAACATCGTCATCATGCGCTAAATCAACTGTACCGGCACACTAATATAAAAGAAAAATTCTTTTAATTTTTTTATTTTATTTATCAATTGATAACTAAAGAAACTATAAAAAATAATTGTTAATTGTTATCAAGCAAATGTCATTATATTCTTTTGTTTTCATTTTACTAATATTAGTAAAAGTACTTGCTTGTACAACAAACACAACAACTCCTTCATCAGCAAGATCATTCGTCCATGGGGATGGTGGTCTCAATCGATCTAGTTTATGTTGTTTAGTTTTTGCTGAAAGAGATGCAGCGCGTAGAAACATCTAGATTGGATAGAAATGATTTTAAAACTTCGTCTTTATTTTATGTGAAAAAAAGGACAAGAAGAATAAGAAGAAGAACCATTGAGTTTATTGTTTTCGTTTTTTTTTAAATTTCACAAATTTTTAACAAGTGCACGACATCGTTCAAAGCATTCAAGTGTATCAGCATTTAATTGAGATGCTGATTTTTCCAGGGCAGTAAAAAATCGTTTTGCATTGTTATCAGATGTTGTTTGTACATTAAGAACAAGGTCAGCATTGGTACAAAATAATGTTCCTAAACCAAGTATAAGACGTTTTGCACCATCCGATTCAAATTGTATATCAACAAACTCTTTATAACATTCATATAAATAATCCGAAAGACGTTCATCATTACTTCGATAAGCATAAATACAATAATTTAAAATAACATTTGTTAATGCTATTTGAGTATTTTTTTTCGTTAATGGTAAACATATAAGAATTTTTGCTAAAATTGAATTACGATTTTTAATCATATATTTTTCACCTAAATCATTTGAAAATAAATTTGTTAGAGTACGAAATATAAACATTGTGTTAGCTGATTGTTCTGGTTGAAGATATGTAAATAGTTGAGTAATAAATTCGTTTGATTTAATGTCATTCTCAAAAACATATTTGCAAACATCAACATTGAGAATAATTAAACGAATTATATCTAATATAGGAAAGATTTTATCTAAAAAGAAAAGAACAACTTAAGACTAGATTGAACGATAATTTAAATCATTTATAACACATACCAATAGGCCATTTGAGCAATTGAAATAAAAGATTTAGTTTCATTTCAACATTATTTGTATTCCCATTGACTAATTCATTGATTTGTTGTATTTGATTATCAAGCAAACGAAGACCATCACCTGTTGCATTGTCATTAAAATCTTTTAGTTTACCTAGAATTTTACTTATATCTGCATTACGCATAGTAATATAATGAGCTTGAGGAAATGCTGCTGTTAGTTCTGCATCTTCTGTTTCTGTATAGAAAATAAATATTTCTATGAAATAATTAAAATTAAAATTAAAATTTCATACTTATAACAGTTGATTGTGAAGCAGACAATGGTCGTGTTGGTTGATCATTACTATCGTTTGGTGTGTATCGACCAGCACCCGTAAATGGATCTTGATTTGATGTTGTTTCTTTTCTAGTTGATGATAAACTTACATTGGGAGTTACATTAGGAACGTAACGTCCAGTGCCAGTAAATGGATCATTATTAGTTTGCGGTCCTGTTGTATCCATCGGTGATGTTCCAATCGGAACATAACGTACATCACCTAGAAATCTTCAACAATACAAATGAATTATTATCAATCAATAACTTTACCCGTAAATGGATCGACATAATCAGATGCACTTTGATCAATAACCATTCCTTTTGTGTTTGTTATAATGAATTGTGCTACTTGATCAAGAAACATTTGACTTAATTCATGTCGTTGAATAAATGTTTGTGCAGCAAACCATGGATCATCTGTTACATTATATGGAAGCTTAAGTGGAACACCTTCATCAAGTTCAACATTAAATACATAATCATAATATTGTCCTTCAAACATAATTTTTTCGCCTGTAGCTGATGCTTGCCCCTGTGCTGTACTATCAGCTGAACCAACAACATCACCGATTTTCATCCATCTTTGATCAAGCATATTCCATTGATATGCTTCAACATGTCCATTACCCTTATTAATCATTGTTGTTTGACCTTCACGTGTTCCTGGCTTTTTCAATGCATCCTCATTTGGTAAATCGTCGATTTTCACTTCTCCTAAATCACCCGTTTTTGTTTGAATACTTGTTGAAGCTATTTCTTGTTCAAATGCTGCAATTTCTTCCATTGTTGCCGTTCTTGACGTATCTTTAGTAAATATAAATATACGTCCATCACTAAAAATTAACTTGCATTATATATTTAAGCTTGAATTTCTTTCATTGAACTAACCTGCTTCCAACAACCATGTCATTGTTCGTTAAAGAACAAACACTCCAAACAGTCCCTGTTGGTAGTCGAATCGTTTGTTTGGGTTCATCTGCATTAACTGACCATAAGCGTAATGAACGATCTTCACTTACAGATGCAAATTGATCCGAAGAAACCATTGCTACGCTGTAAACGAAACTTGTATGACCTACATAGGTTTGTAAACATTGTGCAGAAATAACATTCCAACGTTTAATATTAAAATCATTCGAACATGATAAAAATTCATTTGCATTTATTGATGTTAATGATCGAACACAATTTGTATGACCTTATTTAAATAAAACAAAAAATTTAGTTTCTATCGATAACATGTTAGGACATTGTATTTTTATTTTTATTTTTGAACTATATAAATATATTCATTACTCACCTTCATATGTTTGAAATTTCACTTGATTCTTCCAACCCATAATTATGTTATCAGCAGCACCTGTTAGTATAATGTTCGAATTTTGTGTAACATCGCCCATAGAAATAATAGCCCATATTGCTTTACTGTGTCCTTTTAATGAAAACAAAAAATTGTTCAACGTAAAAAAAAATTGAAGTCTATTTTTCATCATTATTAAATACCTTTAAGAGTTTGAATACATTTTTTCGTCGATAAAGACCATATACGTCCTGTAAAATCCCATGATCCACTTAGTAATTGATCAGTTTGTGGTACATGTGAAAGACTTGAAACTTTCAATAAAGAAAAAAACTACTTTATGTTAAATCAAAATGATTATATCAAATATTCTTACCAGTTTGCTCGTGTCCTTCCAATGTAAATAAATATATTCCTTGTTTAGCTGAATAGACACAAATTTTTTTGTCATTGCCTCCCGTTACAATGAGACCGTCAGGGAATTCACTGTTAGGGGGAATATAACATGTAGCAATAATATAATGTGTATGATTTTTCAACACAGCACGTTGTTCAAATGAAGTTTTACTAAATAAAATCTCTTATTTTTGAATTTAAAGAATAATTTAAAATAGATTTACTCTGATGGACGCCAAATTCTTGCTGTTTTATCTCTTGATCCACTAACAATACCATCGTATTCAGTTATTGTCGAGACAGAACGGACATCTGACTCATGTCCATATAATTGACAACGAAGACGATAGGAAGTATTAGCCATACTACAAATTCCAAAAAAAAACGAAAGAGCAAAAAGAAGGTTTTTTTAAATCAATCAGTGAATAATCTATAGTTTGATTGGACGTTTCAACACATTGATTGTAGCGTTGTCTCACGAAATCCTTCGATATACCTATATATATATATATATGTTATATAAATATATGACATGACGTCGCTACTCATTCGAATACTACACAAATATTAATTCGTCTCTTCAAAATAGCGAATAGTGTTTAAGGTTCTGAATGTGCATGAGATTTTTTTGTCCGAAAGCTCCATCAGTTTTTTTTTATTCTTCCGAATTTTATACACTCATTGGTTAGTTTTGCTGTAACGACCTTTACTCTTTTTGATGCATATACATGTTCGATAAAATTTCGAAATTACACTTGTTTAAATACCCTATGTAAACCACATTATTCTATCGCATTCATATTTTCGATATTTTACTTGTCCACTAAACATAACTCATTGTGTAAAACAATACTCCATGTGATTTGCTCTTTTTTTCCTTCTATATCTAGTAAGATAACTAGACATTTCTACGATACATTCTTATTCGTGGTTATTTTTGGTTGCTAAGCAATTTTGTCTTTCTTATTTATAGATCTTCTTCATTTGAAATGCATTACCATTTTACTTTCCTTCATCTATGAGCGACAGTCAGTCAAAATCGAAATCAAACGGTTATAAAACGAAATCTCCGCTGGAGTAAGTATTTAAGAAAAAAAAAATAATAAATATGCTCCATTAAATAATAAAATATTTATATTAAATCTGACCTCTCTACCGATGTAAACTAGCCGCTGTTCAATAATACAGTGGAACATCTTTACTAGCCATTCGCTATCTGAAGTATATGCTTCTGTTTCAAAAAGTGTGTGTGTGTTTTTCTTTGTGCCTTATCTTTTCTATGAAAAAGAAATAAGCATAACATATTTTCGATTCTATCCATTCTAAACTAGATTATGTCACCAATCAAACAAAATGTCTAAAGACAAGTATGAAAAATTTCTTTTAAAAGATACAAAAAAAAATTTCCATTATATAATGTACTCTTAATTAAAAAAATAAAACATCGATTTATATTTCTAGGAATGATACTCCTCAGAAGTCGAACACAGCAGTTCCGTCTATGGAACCTGGTTAGTAGTAAATTTTAAGAAAATAAATCGAACAGGTATCAATTACTTTGCTTCTATTTAGATGGAACGATTGAAAGTAACTGGAGTGAGCTGGTCGAACAATTCGATCAGATGAACTTACGTGAACCGCTATTACGTGGTATCTATGGTTATGGTTTTGAAAGACCTTCAGCTATTCAACAGCGTGCCATTAAGCCATGTATTTTAGGTTTGTTTTATCCGATTCCAGGAAACGAAACTCTTATAAATGTTATTTTTCTTCGTTTTAGGTCACGATGTGATTGCTCAAGCACAATCGGGTACAGGCAAAACAGCTACTTTCGCTATTTCAATTTTACAACAACTTGATACCGAATATAAAGACTGTCAAGCATTAATTTTAGCACCTACACGAGAGCTGGCTCAACAAGTACAATTTTTTTTCGCTCTAAAATCATTTATTTTAGTTTCCTAATTTTTTTTAATAATTATTTAGACCCAGAAGGTAGTACTAGCCCTTGGCGATTATATGGGAGTCTCATGTCATGCTTGTATTGGAGGTACCAATGTTCGCGATGATATAAAACGACTTGAAGCAGGTGTTCAAATTGTCGTTGGTACACCCGGTCGTGTCTACGATATGCTTAATAGATCAGCTCTTCGTATGAATCTGTTTATTGTAATTTAAAAATTGATTATTTTCCATGTTCTTCTATAGATAGTAAAAATATCAAAATGTTTGTGTTAGATGAAGCTGATGAAATGTTATCACGTGGTTTTAAAGAACAAATCTATGATTTATTCACGACCATGCCACAAAATGTTCAGGTTATTCTACTATCGGCTACAATGCCCAATGATGTACTCGAAGTAACAACTAAATTTATGAGTGATCCAATCAGAATCCTTGTGAAAAAAGAAGAACTTACACTTGAAGGCATTCTTCAATTTTACGTTACTGTGGAACGTGAAGTAAATGACAGATAATGAATAACTAGAAATTAAATAATATTTTTTATTCGTATATTCCATAGGAATGGAAATTAGATACGCTTTGTGATTTGTATGAAACATTAACAATAGCACAAGCTGTCATCTTTTCTAATACACGTCGAAAAGTTGATTGGTTAACAGAAAAAATGCGTGCACGCGATTTCACTGTATCTGCCATGGTAAATAAAACGATTTTCTTTTTAATTGAGATTGGCCATTATTACCAAGCATTCATTTTGTCTATCTTTCCGTGAATGAAATGTACTGGACCTGGCCATATAATGAAATAATCGATTGTAAAGTCATTCTTTTGGCTTAAACATACCCTGAATGAACAAAAATTGATTAACAAAATATATCTATATCTATCTATCTATCTATCTATCTCTATATATATATATATATGTATAGAAATGTATGTATTTTTATTTTAGCATGGTGATATGGATCAAAAAGAACGTGACATAATCATGAAAGAATTTCGAACTGGTTCAAGCAGAGTATTAATTACAACTGATTTACTTGCCCGCGGTATTGATGTACAACAAGTCAGTCTTGTTATCAATTATGACTTACCAAATAATCGTGAGAATTATATCCATCGGTAAGATTGAATACGAAATAGAAAAGGATATTTAGAATATTGATTTTTTCTTTTTCTTTTTTCTGCAATAGTATTGGTCGTGGTGGTCGATTCGGTCGTAAAGGTGTAGCAATCAATTTTGTTACTGAGGAAGATCGACGAACATTACGTGATATTGAACAATTCTACAATACACAAATACAAGAAATGCCAATGAATATTGCCGATTTAATTTAATAGAAAGACATCCCTTGTCTTTTGATCGATATTATCACTATCAGCCAATTTGTTTTACCATCTTCTATCCATTCTGATAATGATAATAATAATAATAAATAAATTGGAATCGAATATCATTTCTTTCTTTTCTTTATTTGTTTTCTTAATTTAGACCTGATACGGATAAATACGTGCATCGATCTTTTAGAGACTGAAATATTTCCATCAATCATTGTCTTTTTCTTGTTATTTCATCTTTCTATATATGCTGTTATGTTTTGTTCGTAAAACGAAAACAAGAAAACTTTTCATTTCATGTAGTAGATATCATAAAAATATCCAAAAACGAACCAACCAACTAGTTACTGTGTTTACGTGTGTGTGTGTGTGTGTGTGTGTGTGTGGATATTTTTGTTCATGTTATCAAATGTTTCTCTATTTTCTGCTCGAATTTTTATGATTCACGTTCTCTCAGTTTTACTTGCCGATATGCAAACATATCCAAGATACTGTTTTTCTTTTGTCTTATTTTGTTCGTTTAGGAAATTTCTGGTTCTTTTTTCATCGTTCTATTTATTTATTCATTGAAACTATCTAAAAAAAAATAAAATTGCAAGAGCATACCGAAAAAATTGAATATTTATTTGTAATTAATTTCTTCGTACCACATGGATTAAATTCAAATTGAAATATGTAAATAAGCTTATCATGAGTTGATTTTGTCATTTCTCTAGCATAACGAACTATCGAAATTATATTAACAACAAAACATGTAGCTGAATACACACGAAACTGACTTTTGCAATGATTATAGTGCGCTTTTTCTGTTTACAAAAACAAAATCTGCAAGCTAATATTACTCCACTACACGCATAAATAGTGGATCATTGTTCTTTCTCTTTATCAATGGCAATGCCAAGATTCTCCATAATCAAGCGTTGTTTTATTTTGCCCCTGATATACACGACAGCGACACTACCAAGATTAGGAAAACCGCCGATTTGTTTGTTTTAGTTGTATAAGTATTTCACATTTTTCTCTCTCTTACATTATGTAGCTTTAGCATAATTTCAGCATCGATCTGTTCAAAATGTTCTTGAACTGTAAATGATCGTTGTTCACTATTGATTTATTTTTCTAATGTAGGCAAAGATAGAGAAAAGCACATTCACCATCTAATGCATCGCACCAGAAAAATATCAATAATTATTATTTCAATTTTTCTTCTAAATAAATTTAAGTAACTTATATTTAATATTTGATGTTATCTACAGATACATTTTCGATAGGGAATTATATTTCATTAAGAATAAGATGATACTTTTGTAATTAATTTCAGTATTAGCTTGACTTTGTACATTATCATCGATTTCATAAACAGTTCGATCGTCAACATCATATACATGAGAATCAGTATACTTTTGAATCGATATTATTAAAAATGGGATTGCTATCATCAATATTAAGAACACTACTTTACAATCGAATACGATAATAAAGTTTCTTACCACTACATCACGATGATGTGTCATCAGTGAAAATCAATACGATGTGAATTTATATTAATATCATATAAAATTAACTCATAAAATGAACACGTAAAGCAAGGAGGAGCAGCCGTTGTGTATAATCACACATAAGGTTACGTGCAATTATTGCTATTGTATGTGCTCCTCCTATTGCATCTGGTTTTCTTCATCATAATCTGTAGATTGATCTCGTTAATTATTGATTTCTACATTTATCGAAATTAGAATTGTATACAGTAAATCAGTTGCCCGCATAAACACAATACAATTAATAGAAATGCGCACAGACACACCGAGATCAAAGCTAACTCTCAAAGTTCAACGAATATTTTCTAATTCTAACATCATACTTTTCTATTTCAATGAAATCTTGTTCAAATTCAATTTTTTAACAGAAAATTGCTACTATTTTATGTTGTTTCTTTTATTATTTTCCTATGATCTTTACAAAATATTTGATTGTAAATATTAATGGTAAAATTTTGATATCAGTATAATATTATATAATTTATTAGGTTGTTAAAGTATTGTTGTGTTGAAGAATTAAGTCTAAACATATGTGGATTTATAATTATAGTATGTTTCATAATAATGCATCATTACACATAAAAAATTTATTTTCGTTCGTATTACACTAAATATTTAAATGTAATCAACACAAAATATATTTTATCGATGCGTGTCAACGATGTGCACGCTAAAAATGTTTGACTTTGTCGGCTAAACAAATTAAAATTTCTATGTCTTCTAAAACCATCAATGAATATCCCTCATGGTAAAAAATTCAGCATACAAATAATAGAACTCGTACAAAAACTGCTTTTTCTCAAGTTAAATACTAAAACTAATATTAATTTTTTTAAATATCTTTCAATACATACAATAGGACTTACGAAAAAAACGTTCGTCTCTGTTGAGCACATATATACTCACAAGATGGTACTCATTAAATACTTATTTTGCTTTGTTTTTCTCCGAAAAGCTGATCGAAACTACATATACATAGTACCAACACTCATACCTGTCTCATTTAAGTTGCTGGAAAAATTCTTACAAATGTATACTTCAAATTTCTATTGAATTGAACTTTCTTCTTTTTAGAGTCTCTTTTAAAAAAATTATCTCCAACAAATATACATAATATTTAATAGATAATGAAATATAAATAACTCCATGCGAAAAATAGTTGTAATTCATAAGGTATGTTTTAAAATGCATTGCTTGAATTGATTTCATTTATGAATGTTTTCGTGAGTTTGAACACGAGCTACATATGCTTGCCGATTTCTTTGTTAGTTGAAACTTTGAAAAATCGATATCTTTCCGTATCTAAGCACAAGTTTTATTGGCAGTTAACTTTGGAAAACTCATGTATTTTGATTCTATTTAAAAAGAAGAAACGAAAGTGCTGTGACAATGACTCAAGCCAGACTATCTTCAAACTTGATCGAACAAAATGAAAGAAATAAAAAAAAATGACATGTTCTTCAAATAATGTCAGATAGCGAAGCAAATTAGTCGAGATCATTGGTATCTGATGCACTAGCTCCGCCACCCATTCCACCTACAATCATAAAATCATTTAAAATACACGAAAAACAAAAAAAAAGGCAAACCTGGAAAATTGGGAAAACCACCACCCATAGGCCCACCGGCACCGCCAAATTTGCTAGCCAGTTTTTCCATGACTTTACGCACCTTTGGATTGCTTTGATGAGCAGCTAATTTTGACGGATCAGCGCTAACTTCCTAAAATATAGATTAGGTTTAAAAATATGATTTATCAAGAGAAATTTAGAAATATCCACATAGAATACATCGATTTTTTGTGTCTAAAAGAAGTGTCATATGTAGAATGATTTTTCACTTAACACTTCTAGAATTTAAAACGAAATGAACATCATTTCATAGTATATTTTTGGTATGCTTTGTTTTTCTCTACGTACAGTAAACTAATTAATCAAACAAAAGAAACATAATGAGTGTATACAACTTACTGAGAAGGCCTTCTGTACATCTGGATCTTGTAGTGCTTCCAATATTTCTGGATCATTCATAACAGCCCCTAAACCTCCTAAATCTCCCAAATCAGCTCCACCCATACCGCCCATTCCTCCCATACCACCCATGCCACCCATACCACCCATTCCTCCCATGCCACCCATTCCTCCCATACCACCTAAACAACAACGTTTATAAACTATCTAGTATAACTGACAATTCTATATAATCACCTGGAAATCCTGGAAATTGTTGACCTCCAGCAGAGCGTGTCTGTTGTTCTCGTGCCCGTCGTTCATTTTCTTCTTGTTGTGCCTTCGCATAAGCTTCTTGTGCTTTACGAACACGCTCTCGTTTAGCATCAATTTCCTTTACTTCTCGAAGACGTTCATATTTGCGTTTATGTTCAGCAACTTTTTTAGCCTGCATTTGCAAAAGGACAATAGAGAGATAAGAGAATAGAAAAGAAAACAAAAATATATGCGAATATATACATTCACTTGGACCTCTTTACACCATGTTTGAACATCTTCGTCAAAATCAGACAATTGTGCTTTACAAAAATCTTTGTAAGCTTCGTCCCAATCGCCCAACATACTAGACAAGAAACAAATTATTGTTCAAAGTTCTTGGCATCTCATTTTGTTGTTATGCTTACCGATGAGCTTTTCCTCTCCATTTGAGTGCTTGTTGCGAGTTTTCATTGAGTTCTAAAGCACGGTTACAGTCACGTATAGCTGCATTTGGCTTTTGAAGCTTAATATAACATTGGGCACGTTTCGCATGAAGAATAGCTGATTGTGGATTATTTTCAATGGCTTGTGTAAACAATGAAATCGCCTCTTCAAATGCACCTTCAGAAAGTTTAGCTTGTGCTTCACCTCGTTTGGCATCGGCTTGTTCTGACATAGCATCGGTCACCTATTCAAAATGAATTTAACAACAGGTAAAGTAATTTGTCATCATAACTATACTTCAATATTTGGATCACCCATTGGTTGTGGCTCATCCTTGTCGCCTTCGATTACACCCGTCATATCCAATTCTATATAAATGGATATAAGTGGAGAAAAATATATAGACAAAATTAAGAAATCTACCCAATTCACTCTCTGGATCACTTTCAACTTTCGCTGTTTCTTCATGAATTTTGGATTCAGAAGGTGTTTCATTATCATCGCTAGGCGTGTCTTTTTCTTCCGATTTTGTTTCGGAAGTATGACGACTTCTGTCCTTTGGAACTGTTGCTCCTAATCTATATGATGATTGTTAAAATATTAAAATACCGACGAGAAATATTTAAAAAATAATAGTAATTACTTAGCAAGCCATTCCCGAAAGAATCCAAGTTCAGGTGCTTGAAGCATCTCAGGTTGAGCATCACATAATGTGACAAATTGTCGAAGAAGACGTACATATTCAGTTGGAATATTTTTTGACATTATAGTGCACTAAAACAAATCTAAAAATGAATTCATATTAAATAAAAATTATAAAACGCCATCTACTAGGAGAAATTCTAGATTGTTCTTCAGTGATAGGTAGGTAGGTGTGTCACCTCAGAAGATGCCACAAGTTTTCGCATGGAAATATTCATTGATTCCATATGATCATACAAATTATAACGGTATTAGGCAAAAGTCTATCGAAAAACAACTTATTTTGACATTCTTGACTAGAATCCGACATTGACCTACATATATGCAATCATCGAAAATACTAGAAGGCATATATTTTAATGAATGCAGAATGTGTATCGATGACTCATGATGAAGATAATTACTATTTGCTAGCCTCCTCACCATTTCAAAAGATAAAGTTTTGTACAAACAATAATTAGCAAACAAGAAAGAATTATTTTCTACTACGATTTGATTTCCCTTGTAAAGAACACTAAATTTGTGATTATGCTATATTTTGAGACATAGATGGCACTATGAATTTTTCATATTCATTCCAAAGATTCCAAAGACAAGTTACAAAATATAGTACGACAAACAACCTAGCCAATCAATATCTATAGTGTATTCACATATTTTTGCGCACAATTTTATTGCAATTTTTTTTCTATTCAATTAGCGAGTCGTATTTTTTTATGTCAACTTATATACTATTGATATTTATCTGAATGTTTAAAAGGAAATGACTGCAATGCATGCGAATCTACAATTAAATCCAATAGATGAAACAATAGTATCGAATAAACAAACTCGCACACCAAATCTACAAATATCTAGTACACAACAATCATATCAGTCATTACATAAGATACATAAATATTATAAAGAATTTCAACGTGCATTATATATACTTCAAGCATCTGTTGAAGAACTTTCGTGTCTAGAAATTGAACAATTGCATTATTATGAAACAATATTAAAATCATCATCTAAGATTATGTTTGATTTACAAGTTCCATCGAATTGTCCTTGTCAAGGAGTTTTACCCATTGCTAGTGAATCAAGATGTTCGAAAAATGACGTTACTTCTAGTGTCAATTCACTAATTATTTTTCCATCTGATCCAATAGCTAGCACTCATGAAAAAAATATATTGGACAAAATAGAAATGCCAGATAAAATGTTTCCGAAGATATATTTTAAACAGAAGCCAACAAATAAACTTCTTTCAATAACTAACAAACGAAAATGCTATGGATTCGATGGCAAGTTCATGAAGTATAGGACAAAAAAAGTGTTAATAAATCTAAACTTTCGATGTTCAAAACATTTCAATTGACAGAAAGATCCATCAACAGAGTTACCACAGGAGTGAAGTGAAAACATAATAATTATGCAGTTAAATTCTTTGATACTAAGTCACCAGTAGGTTCTATAACAAAATAGATTAGAGATTAAAAGTTTAGATAAAAAATAATAACATTACCTGATAGAGGTGTCTCTTCTGGTGTGATTGATTCAGCACGACGTTTTACTGCCCATGATTGTATGTCACCTGAGCCAATGAATAAAAATGTAATCATGCCAATTATATAGATAACTGCACAAATGAAGAAGACATAGCGCCAATTGTATGCATCCTACATATATATATATATATATATATATATTAGTAGAATAACTCTGTATAAAATAAAGAATAGTTAACACTAACTTTTTCTGTAAGAGCTCCGACAATATATGGGCTTATAATACCCGGCAATGTAGCAAATGTATTTGAAATACCAAAAATGATGCCTGCATATGCCGGAGCAATATCATTTGCTGTGAGCATAAATCCTCCACCATAACAACATCCACTGAAATAAACAAAAAAAACATCTCAATAGACGAATAATGAAAAAAGAAATTACTTACGTAAAAGTAACACCAATGGTTAGTAAAGCTACAGCAAAATATTTTGTTTTACATGTCATAAATGCTAATCCAATAACAAATAATGCTGGAAATAAGTTTCCTAACACGTTAAATAGCTTTCTTGTTTGTGTTCTTGTCAAAAATTTTTTTCGAATAATCATATCAGCCACTGCGCCAGATATATTGATATTGAGCCAGAATATAATATACGGTAGTGAGGAGAGCAATCCATTCTATATGAAAAATGGTATCATTTTCATGCAATTAAATTAATTTTACGTACTGATTTAATATCAAATTTTAACACTTCTGCCATATATTTTGGAATTGACGTAAGAAATGTATACGTCCCCCAATTATTACATGTATGTGTAATAAACAGTGCCCAGCATGCTTTTGATGTTAAAATAGCTTTCCATGGAGCTTTAAATTCATTTTTATCATGATTTGATAATTGTCCTTGTGTAGCATGTGCAATATAATCTTTTTCTCTATTACTAATACAACGTTGATGACGAGGCGAATCGGTATAAAAGAAAATCCAAAAAATACCCCAAATAAGACCCATAATACCTGTTGAATAAAAAATTAATGGCCAACCACCAGCAAAACTCCACGAACACATAAGACCACCAATAGATAAGGTTACAACGTTACCGATTTGAGCGCCTTAACCGGAAAAAAAGAAGTCAAGAAATTTTTATAATTTCAAAAGGAATTTAATTTACCAGCATTCATAAAACCGAGCAATTTTCCTCTTTCATCAGGCGGTGCCCAATGTGACATGATAACAGTCATACAAGGCCATATGACACCATGTGCCAGTCCAACAATCAATCGTAAAAACCATACTACTCCCCAATGCAGCCTAGCACCCAACGGAATAAGTATTGAAAAAGCACCAGCTATTATCATAGCTCCGCCAAATATAAGTCGAGCACCATAAACACCAGCTAGATATCCACCTGGTACTTCAGTAATCAAATATCCCCAAAAATAGCCACCCAAGACGAGGCCTTGGATATTTTTTGTCCAAGGATATGGACCTTCCTATGAATATATTAGAAAAGAAATATAGTAGTAGTATGATGAAAAATTTTTTGTTTTCTATTTCTTACAATTTTCATAGTATTATTGAGGAGTGGACAATCAGTATTAATCTGTGTAACTGATGGATTAAAGGAATTTTTCAGAGGATCAATTGATGAATGATTGACCATGCATACGAGAGCCATACCAATACTAATCTTTTGAGAATAATGAGCAACCATACCAAGAAATCCTACAAAGGCTACGGCAACACGAATGGAACATATAAAAGGGGCTACGAATAAAAAAATATCACTCTAAATAAATAAATAAATATATTCATAGATACTATCTACCCGATTTCGGCTGTTTTATATTTGTTTCTTCCATTTTTTCTTTAATTGATTCGAATTAGATATAAACGAGAATTTCTTCAAAAACGAAACTTTGTATAATATTGTTACTTATATGTAACTTATAGACAAGTAAATATAATATAAGTAACACCCTAAAAAATACCCTTCCCTTCTTTCAGTTCGTTGAATCGATTTATTCTTTGCTCGCCTTCAGATTAAATTATTTGTTGGAGCACAAAGAAAAATACTCTTTGCTCGCCTTCTGATTAAATTATTTGTTGGAGCACAAAGAAAAATATTCTTTGCATTCTGTTCTTTTTCAAAATCCACTGTCGCCGAAAGTACTCATTGTATTATTTTAGACAACAACAAAAAAAAAAAGAGAAAATGCCAATACAAAGAAAAAGCAAACAGCAATGTCCATGAAGATAAAACATCATTTTGATTAGATTCTAACCACAAATGCACAACATATGCACACGCACACACACACATGTTATCTGATGAAAAGGAGAAAAGTGAAAAATTGTAGAATCTTTTTATTTTGCATAGAATTCATTTTGTCAGATGCGCAGCTATCTAAAGAAACGGCATATCACCGGAACAGATGATCGAAAAAAATTGTTGCAGAGAAAAATTGTGTCAGTTTATTTGTTGGCAGTATTCATTAACATTCTAGCCTGGGAAAAATGTTCAATATCTACAATACATGGACCTTCCTCAAATGGTTCTCCATCACATTGACAAGGAAAACGACGTTTCAGTGTTAACTAGAGAAACAAAAATTGTAATAATAACTACATTAGAAAAGCAATATATATATTTACTGTAACTCGACGAGCTTGTCCAATACGAAATGGATCTGCAAGACCAACTTGCATTTGAGCTATATGAAATGAACTATAAATGCCGAAAACTTCAACTAAACCATCATCAATTCTACATAAAGAAAACAATTCAACAATCAAAATATAATTAATAGACGTTATGTTTGTGTACTTTTGAACCGGTATATTTTCACCTGCTCCCCAAACACGAACACCTGCACCCCATGATGGAATATTTAATATGCAAATTCCTTCTAGTGCTGGAAGATTTTCAATGACTCTTCCGTCCATTTCAAGCTAGAATATTCAATATAATCATAGATTTAATTTCTAGCAAAAATTTATAGACAAATACATACAATAACATTGTTTTGTAGATCCTTGCATTCTTCTATAATAATAAGAAAAAAAAGCATTCATATTTATATTCATATTCATGAGATGAAAGTTATATATATATACAAAAGCAAAACGTACTCAAAAACGTATCTACTGTTCCATAATGAAAATAATGCAGTTTATTAACAAAACGGCTAGCAAAAAATTCTGGTATTTTATCACGACGACGATGGAAATTGAGTGTAACCAAAGCATCGCAACCAACTGAAAAATAATTGGACATACGCATATGCTAAAAAGTAAAGTAGAATACATCGATAATCGACAAATTTGAAGATAAAAACAAAATAAAAATCATACACGCGCAGTGGTTTTTGCTACACCAAAATGTCGAGCATTAGCAGTTATATCTACTGACCATCTGATAAAAAACGAAATCGATTGTTTATGGAAAAAAATATGAAAACATTTTACCTATCAAGAGCAACAACTTCAGCGGTGAGAAATTTTTTTAAATAAGTGCTAACATCGACAGCAGAATCTTCTCCATAGCCCCATTGTAAAATACGTGCTAAATCATTGCCTGTTCCCATAGGAAGAATGCCAACAGCAGGTTTTAACTAATGAAAAAATAACGAAATTTTGTTTTGTTCTAACACAAATTTTAACACTTACTCCTGGTGTCGTATTTTCAATAGTTTCTAAAATCCAATTTACTGTTCCATCACCACCACAAACTAGAATGTAAAATCCAACAGTTGGAAGTGAATTACACCATTCAAGAATAGAATCAGGTGTAATTGTTGAAATATCAATGACCTAAATAATTAGTCAAAGATAGATTTTTGAAAAAGTCAATATTCAAATTAATTTTACTTGTAAAGAATTTAGATAAGTTCGGAATGAATTTAAGACAATATCAGTGTTAGCTCCACCCGATTTTCGATTACCAATAACCAATAATGGACACCAACCATCAATACTACATGGTAAAATACGTTCAATTACTGAATGAGCATATCCAACGATTTTCTTATTTCCAGTACGTGAGACAACAGCATTAGGCTAAGCAGAAAAAAATAATAATGAAAATCGAATCAATGCTATGTAATTATGTTCTTGTCTAAACTACGTTCCTAATAATACTTACGGGTATAATTAATCGTTGAAATTCACCAAAATCACATTGACTTGGGAGAGCTCTCATACATGAATCATGAACGATGCGTTGACACCATATACATCGATAATCACACAGTCTCGGTTCAGCTCCGCATGGTCGTCGACAAATGATACATTCAGAATCCAATGGTAAATTACCTCGAGTCCATTGATGTTGTATTTGTTCTTGTGAACCAGTCATATGTTTACAATGGTAAAGACGTCGAGCAGGACGTACACAACGTTCGTGTAAATAAATGCCACATGATGAACAGTGAAAACCACTTAATAGAGTTGATGAACAAACGTTGCATAGAGTCGGTTGGATAAGATATTCATCGAATGGCCATAAATGATGAACGTCATCAACAAGACGATGATGACTAAAGTAACGACGGCGACGTCTTGTCAAACAAGAAACGATTACAATAAATCCCGTTACGATTGAGCAGAACAATGCAATAGACCAATTATCATCTGTTAAAACTCGGATACGCATTATCGATTATGAGATGTAAAATACATCTGAAATAAAATAATGAAAAAATTAAGAAAGCATTATGATACATTGAAAGTACAAATAGAAGAAGAATAAGAAAAAGAAATAGATGATTTTAAAATATTTAAAAATATATTCAATCATATTTTAAAGATGAATGTAATTTCAAATATTCAGTTAATTTCTCATCCATAGCAGATGCCGATTGAGAATAAAGAAGATCAGTAATGAAATTATCTGCTTGACGTAATTCTTCTTTCTCATTTAATAGTTGTTCGTAGTCATTAAATCGAACAAACGGTTCCACTGTTTTATTATGTGTCTGAATTTCACGTATATGTCCATGAGATCTTGATAAGCTACGAGTTGTTTCTCGTTTTTCTTGTATTTCATTATTTTTTATAATAGAATTTTTCACTTCATCAATAGCAATCTCACCATCAACAAGTATCCTTGTTGTATTAGGTCTAACAGAAAATGGAGACGATTGATTAGATGTTTTTGCATGATAAAAAAAATGAATGAGTAAACCCATTTCTTGAAAAGGACTTTCATCATCAGTAGAATCATTGTTCCTCTGATATTGCTCTTGGATTTCATTAAGAATACGTTGAGCCGGATTGGATGAATTCAAAGCTTTACCAAGAAGATCAACGAAGTTCGATGGAATTTTATCTTCAGAAATGCCTAAAGAAATTCAAAATAAAATTTGACTGATTTAAATGAAAAGCTAAATACCTGTTTTTAAATACATTTGATAGAGTTTATCTGTCATCATAACCAGGGCATAATCTTGAGGAGAAATATTAAATTTTTCAAATCTTGGTTCACATACAAGTGCATTACATCGTGCTTCATTAACATCGTTAGCAGCTGCTGCTGATGAAAGTAATTTTTCCGTTAATTTACTATAAAATAATAAATATACATATACGAAAGAGTAAAAAAAAGGTGACCGAATAGCAAAAAAAATAGGATCTTACCCAATGCATCGTGTATATTTAGAATGATTGTTATCCAAACCTTCATTTTGAACTTGAGCAAGATTAACATTAAGTTTTTTTAATCGAAGACTTTCATCCTCATTATCAATTGTATGTAATGAACCTGTATGATAGTATTGTGGTCGATTATTTGATACCTGTAAATCACCATTATTATTCGATATGAGAAACATTCGAATAGTTCCTATATGAACATAACTATAGATACTAGAAGAATCCTTTCTAAAAAGAAAAGAAAAGGATTACTAACCAACATATGCTATGTAAACTTTTGATTGTGTAACAGTAGCAGCACATAGAAACGCACCCGATTGTGCTTCATCTAATGAAGGCAAACATTTTTCAGCCGTACCATCACGTGATGAACTCGATATTGCTTTTTCTTCGGCACGATCAAATGCCATTTGTAATAGACGATTTTCAGTTTCATAAAATATTTGTTGCATACCATCACTAATTTTTTTCTTATATGAATCGTTATCGAATGATACTTGACTCAATTGTTCAACAAGCATATTAACACAGACATCTGATGCGATCATATTTGTATCAATTGGATCAACAAGTGCATAAACAGCCATTGTATTGTCATTCCTTCGGAGACGACACACACGTGGAACGACTGTTCGTTGCCGATTGTCTGAAAAACTACCATCATGCGTACGATTTTGTCTTATTTTTGTAGCAACAAATGTATGTGGACATGGTATAAAATTTGACAAATTGCTTGCATTCGCTGGCGTGATTATCGATGATGCCATAGCAGTAGTACCAGTGGCTATCTGAAAGTACTTTTATAAATGATGTTAGGCAATTACGTTTGAGTGAAGAATCAAAGAAAAAAAACGGTAAATCATTAAATTACAGTCTATCAATAAGAAGAAGAAGCAACAACAAAAACAAACAGAACTCAAAAAAAACAACATGAGCGAATGATCACAAAACTGTAGACAAACAAAAACACAACAGGAACAAATACGTTGAGTGGAATTTAAAAAAATATCAATACGTATATATAAATAATATGAAAAACCTTTTTAGGGTTTTTTTCTCTTTAACTTTGATTGCACTCATTACAATTTTAGCATGCAAAACTGACTAGAATATTGAAAGCAAGAAAGACATACCATAATGTAAACTCTCTAACCATCAATTAAAAACATCTTTGATAATCTTGTAACGCTCAGAAAAAAAAACATTAAATTAGTGTCAAAAGCATATTTTCAATTATTATTTTTCCTTCTCATAGTTCGGTGTGTTTTGTCAGACATGTTTTGAATGTATGTTCAAGTCGATAGATACTCGTAGATAATTGAGTAAAACCATTGATAAGTGAAACAAGCTCCGAACGTTGTAATTGTATTGGATTTTCTGCGAAAAGAATTTTCAATGATGTACCTGCAACAGAAACAGAAATAAAAGTAAATCATAATGATCAGTAAATGTGACTTCTATTGTTTCTTCTTCTTACCCAATGCTTGTATTTGTAATTTTCCCCATAATTTACATTTATCACAACCAACACAATCTATTATTCGACTTATATTATGAAAATGTTCTTTAAATTCAATTTTTAATTGTTCATTTCCATCTTGAAATAAATCATTTTCATTGAAACGATTTGAAAATGGTTCTATTTCTTTTAATAAATGATCTGTTATTAATTTTTTCGTATGCAAATCATCGGTCTCATTTCCAGTAAAATATTTTTGACTTTCTAAATAGTCTCGCGCTTTGTAAATAGCACGTAATTCAATTAAATATATAAAATAAAGATTTTTTAACCAGGTTGGACCTTCTCCACCAGTTGTTTCAGGATCAAAACGATTTTTAAATTCATCAAGATTTGGAGCCCACCGGCCATCTAAACCTGTGTAACCACCATTTTTTATTGGAAAAAAATATTGAGCGCATAAATGTATGCTTATACTTGAATGAAGACCAGAAACGAGACGATAAAATGTACGTCCTTCAAGACACATTTTATTTGCGTTCAAACGTTTCTGTCTTAAATTATAATAAGGTATTGAATCAGGTAGAAAAAAACAATTTTCATTATAAATAGCTGACCAAATTCTCTGTGTTGATACACCTGAATAGCCAGTGTAACGTTCAATATTAATTAATAAATCAATATATTCAAGTTCAGTCGATGTTTCATCATCGACATCGCAGAAATTTTCGGATTTCATATCATCAAATTTCATCCAATCTTCAATTGTTTGTTTATGTTCTTCACTTAAATTTTTATCAACTAAACCAAGCGATGAATTTGTATCTGTGGTTGGACACTCTACTTGATTTGTTTCATCTTGTTTTGTATTGATCCGTTCACTGGGTTTATTACTATTAAATTTTTCACGTAAATTTTCTGGTAAGGTTTCCAGTGAACACGCTTTTATTGCACATGTTTGAAGTGAACATTGTCCATCTTGAGGCCAAAATTGACATGATTTTTTCAAATTAATTGGAAAAAATCGGAAATAATTTTTCTGTACTATTTGACGTAATAATGGATATAAACGTTGATTATTAATTTGATTTAAGTCTGAGATACGGCAATTGCAATCATCAACCATATCATTATTACGAGATAATTGACATTCATCGTTCGTGGAAATAATATTTATGTAACAACCACAGATATATATTATCATAAATAAAAGCGAGATTTTTTTAAAAGTCATTTCTGATTGTTATCAACAGACAGGATTTATAGACAAATAAATAAAGTAAAATAAAACTTTTTTTTTCACTAAATATAAAGTAAAATGATTGTTCTACGTGTCAAGTCGATATTGATTCATAGATGACTGTACACTGAAGATAGCCACATAGACATACATAAAAACGAAATAACGATGCAACTCAGAACCTCCAATCAGTAGTATTCACGACACATCAATTTGTCAATAGCAACAACCAATACTTATATAGAATAAATACAACATTTATCTATGCATACTTACTCATATTGGTTACTCGGTAAATATGCCGATAGCGCTAAAATTCTATATGATATAAAAAGACCAATGAAAATAGATCTCTCGATTTGTTTATTTAAGGTCCAGTTTAATTTTTTTTTATCCTTAATTATATCTGTGGCAAACAGGAAACAAACGAACAAAACTAAGTCAATTATCATCCGTTAATATACAAACAAAATATGACTTTTACATTCGTTGCTGTTGCGTATATTACTGCACTTATTCTTACAGCTTTACTTATCTTTTTTGCTATATGGCATGTAAGTTTTTATTTTCATATGCGTTTGAAATAGATGAGATAAAAATATTTCGTTTTCCATAGATAATTGCATTCGACGAATTGAAAAATGATCATAAAAATCCGATTGAACAATGCAAATCATTGAATCCATTAATCATTCCTGAATATGGTACACATATATTTATTAATTTTCTATTTCTGTTTGGCGGTGAATGGTTAACGTTATTTTTTAATATGCCGTTAATTGCATATCATATAAATAAATTTCGCATACGTCCTGTTATGAGTGGATTCGGTGTGTATGATCCAACAACAATAATGAATGCTCAAATACTAAATTTAGCACAACGTGAAGGTTGGATTAAACTCGGCTTCTATATGATCACATTCTTCTATTATCTTTATTGTATGATTGCTGAACTTATTCGCGAATAGATCAAAACATAAAATTGAATATCTATATCAAAATGAAACTCATTAAGTTACTCTTTCTTGATGATGATTTTTTTTTGTGCTTCCATGAACAACAAAAATGGACCCAGCAAAATATTTGTGTTATGTTCTTTTTCTTTTTCTTTTTCTTTGTCTTTGTTTCGTCTATGAAAATTTTCAATACATTGTTCTAGATGACAAATAATCAATCTGGTTATTTTCTTAAATTATCATCTCAACCAATTATTTTCGAACCGATTAGTAATGGCACAAGTGTTTTCTATGATAAAGATAATCAACAATTATTTTGTGTTCGTGGTTCAGGAGCCATGGGTAAGAATAAATAAAAATAACATCTAATCGTTTTTCTAGATCGAAATGTCTTATGAACAAGAAGAAAATACTGATAGTTTTCGTTTTACTCGACGTAAAAAACAGAATCGTTGTATTATATCAAATTCAATAATAAGTGAAAATCAATTGAACTTAAATCAAGAACAATTAATAAGAAATATTGAAAATAAAATTGAAATGATTTCTTCGACTTATTTTTGGAAACAGTTTGAAAGTTATTTTCTTGAATGGATTAATAATCAACTAACATCAATCGATATATTATGTTATGGCCTTGGTCATATAAGTTCATCAATATCTTCACAATATCAATATGCATTATTGAAATTATTAGAAAAAACATTTCAAACTAAAATTCAAACTATTTATCTTTATGATCCAATTTGGACAAAAGATGAATACAAATTTCTTCGAAATAATAATTCATTTTCAAAATATGAAATCTTAAAAGAAAATAATCAAGCTTATCAAACAACAAATTGTTCATCATTTATTTACATACCATTTTGTTCAAAACCTATACATAACAATTTACTCTATTCAAATTGGAATAGAAAAAATTTGAAAGAAATTTTATTTTTTGGAAATAGTCTTGACAAATTTGCGAACGAAATACAGTTTGATCAAAAGAAATTTTTCTATATCTACCAAGCAGCAAGTTTTGCCGGTGAAAAATCTTTGCCACTATTTGAACATTATACAAATGCTTTCAATGAACAAGTGTTAACATCGTTTGACCGGACTAGTGTACCGATAATCAATGAAAAAGAAATTGTACAATTAAAACGAGAAAAAATAAAAAAAATGATTGATAATAAAAATCAATTAAAAAAAATAACCATTGAACAACTATCAGACGAGATTTGGTCTTTACATATTAAACCGATCTATTCCACTGAGGACGAAATTGTTGTAAGCTCTGATTGTAATAAAAAATAAATAAACATAACCTTGTTATCTTGAAATGAAAAGATTTTTTTTTAAGTAAAGAAATATACATTTTATTTTTCTTTATTTTTAGGCGTGACGGTGAAAGGAAATCGCCATGAACAAGCCTATTCATTTCGTCTCGAAGACAAAGGTGCAATACAATCTATTAAATTCAATCCTGATCTTTCTGTATTAGCAATAAAACGCAACTCCAATTCAGTTGAATTCCTTAATTTTGCCCCTATTCCGCAAACAAATTCATCATCGCGCACATCAATGTCAACAGCAACTACAATACTTCAACCAGATACTATTGAATATTCGCAGTTATCAAAAACAAAGCCAAACAAGTTCTATGATTTCAATTGGTTGTCAGATAAAGAAATTGTTTTTGTTACCGATCAGGCAATCGAACATTATTTCTTAAATGCTGAAAAACGAACATTACGTCCTCTAAAACATCAACTGATAATAAATATAAATTGGCAATTATTTTCACGTGAAATGAATATTTTACTTATATCAGCTGGTTCACCATCTGGAAATGCATTAACTCCATTTTCTTTCCATAAAATGCAGCAACAACAACTAGTTAAATTACCTAAATTTGAAGTTGATTTACCACAAGCACAAACAATGAATCAACGATCAAATTCAGTAGCATCGAATGCGTCTACTCAATCAGCAAGTAGACGATGTTCTGAACTGACGGAACGTGATTGTATGCTTGCTACTATCTATGATAAAGCTTATCTATTGGTTATTCGTCAAGTATTCAGAGTTGCCGGTTAGTACGTTTGTTTCACCTTGTAATAGTTGTTTCTTTTTTTGCATCTATTTTAAATGGCATTGAATGATTGACCATAAAATGAGACAATATTTCTTCATTAAATAGCAATAATAATATTATGACAATTCCATGAATGATTTAAATTCTTTTGAAATTTTAGGACAAGGTTCAGTTGAAGTCGTACTCTATCAAATAGAAGCGGATCATAAGCCTGCTCAAAAACGTCACATACTACGACTCAATTTATATGGTAAATGTGCATTAAATGTTGTCGATAATCTTATTTTAATTCATCATCAACCAACAAAAACAACTCACATTTATGACATAGAAGAAAGTTCTACTTCTCAATATGACGGTTTTCAAACTATACATGAACCATTGCTGGCTCAACTTTGTATTCAACCAATTAATGCTAATTGGCAGTTAGCTTCTTCTTCCATAGGAACGCCATCGACACCAATTGAACTTTATTCATCGAATTGGATTGTCTTTTTACCAAATGTTATTATTGATGTTAAGATAGGTTATTTATGGTATTTAGTAGTTCACTTAGATATTTTGCTCGATCTTATACCCGAGCGGTTACGTTTAATTGATATTCTATTAAGAAGAATAAATGGTAAAGCATCAATATTAACTTTACTTCGAACTTTATTAACAAATGTAATTGCACCCGTACAAATCGATTCAAATAATATATCAAATATTAGTTCGTGTAATGTACTTGATTTATGGATTGATATGATTGATCGAATAAATCGTGTTTATGTTGAGAAATCGCCAAATCGTCCATTACTAGATCAATCAGATATATATTCTGTTCTTTCATTGTTTTCAACGATTGTATCAATATCATCAATAGGTAGTACGACAACGCATCATCGTTCATTATCCATAGCATCAAATGATACAGTATCAGATGATAATCATCAAACAAAAACATTAAAATTTGCTACAAGTATTGTTATTGAATATATTCGTTCATTGAATGGTTTTAATATTCCAGCCGATTATTTTATTTATGAATTACTTGTTAATTTACTTGTCAAAAATAATCAATTCTTCCAACTTCAACAATTAATTCAATATCAAGTTTTAACAGATTCATTAAAACTTGGTAACGAAAACGTTTTTTTTCTCGTACAATTATAGTTCATCGGGATGAGTTGAATTATCACTATTTGAACAAATAGATTTCGAGGTTGTTAATTTTGACATTGTTTTAATCATTATAATCGTTCACAGTTAAGAAATTTATGAATGAAAAATCATTTAATCAACGCATGATCTTTACTTTATAAAAACAAAGACAAACTTTTCAACGGATCGAAGTCAGTTTTTATCAGCAAGAAATAAATTATAAAATTTCAAAGTAATAATGAGCAGTAGGACTAAAAAACTAACAACTAAATTGACTAGATACAATGCAGATATATAAATACTAAGAATATCCATCCTCGTTTCTGTGCTAATTTATTTTGTAGTTAAATTAGGATAAATGTACAATGGATTAAAATCAAATACTAGTCATGATGAAATTTGTTGAGGTTTTACCTAAGCCGTTTTGTTATGATGCTATTTTTTTTATTAGAATTCAATTTGTACATCTAACAAATAATAATGAAATGGATTAAAATAAAAAACTATTACTTTAGAAAGAGTCAGTCTCTCATCGATTAAATATCTTTTCTGTACTTATAGCGATTAAACTAAAGTCATTTTTTTAAATTCCTAACAATACAGTTTCTCCACCGATAAGAATAAGGCTTTTGATATTCAAGGTTTCACATATTATAATCATTAGCAACAATCGGTCATTTTTATTAAGTCGGATTGTTTTGCTAGAGAAAAAGTCAGAAAAATGACAACTAACAGTTGTATTTTCAATAATAAGCTGAAATAAAAATAATACACATAATTTTTGTTTTCTTTTGTAGCTTGTTTACTTCTTTCCCTTTCTAACAAACAACAACCAACAACGCAAATAGCACTTGATATGCTAAAACGTCTAACAAATGCAAATGAAGAAATCGTCGAAATACTTCTTGGAAATAATTTTGTAGTAGAAGCTCTTCAATTTTGTATAGATCATTTACCAATAACACGCACATTGGCACGTAAACTTTTAGAATCAGCATTAAAATCTGATGAACTTTTATCATCCACAACGTCCAATCAAAAAATTCTGTTTTTTACTGTTTATTCATTTTTTGAAGAATATTTTCTACGAGCAACAACCATAAGTGCATTAGCTCAATCAGCAAATAGTGATGAACAAAAGGATGACCTTGAACTGTTCAAATCATTGTTTAATTTACATTTTCGTAATTCAGAAACAGATGTTGCTAATATTCAGTGATTAATTTTGTGTCTTTTATTTTATTAATTTGATGATCATATTTTGTTGATTGGTATTTATATTTCTTTTTGTTTCACTGTTCTCTTTTCGGTAAATTCCAGCTTCGCCGAATCTTTTTTTCGCCGACTCCAACTTCGCCGAATAAAAATCTTGACCGAAAAATATCGAATCAAATTTGATCCATTCTAGATATAGAATTTTATCCTAACTAACTACTTTAANTTTCGGTAAATTCCAGCTTCGCCGAATCTTTTTTTCGCCGACTCCAACTTCGCCGAATAAAAATCTTGACCGAAAAATATCGAATCAAATTTGATCCATTCTAGATATAGAAGTTTATCCTAACTAACTACTTTAATAGTGGCTGGATTAATTAACCTTATCTGAGTTGGTAACCAAGTCAATTATATCTGTTGCCTTGTTCAAACAGATGCCAATACGTGTAGATGTGAGTGTGGGTGTGTGTTACCAAGTCAGATGGAGTTAATTAATCAAGTCACTATTAAAGTAGTTATTTATGATAAAACTCTATATCTAGAATGGATCAAATTTAATTCGATATTTTTCGGTCAAGATTTTTATTCGGCGAAGTTGGAGTCGGCGAAAAAAGGATTCAGCGAAGCTGTACTAATTCCTCTTTTCAAGATGGACCGAAGTGATTTTAGATTACGTTCACTTTTACTTCAAGTTGATCGCGATTTGACTGATGTTGAACGTCAAAAATTTTGTTTTCTAATCGGTTGCGATGATGTGCCACGTCGATATCTTGATGCTATTGCTAAAGATAATTCAGCATCCATGACTAGTATATGGGAAACACTATTTGATCGACGAAAAATTACTGTTAATAATGTAAATTATATTATTGAACGCCTCGACAAAATTCAGCGTCTCGATTTGGCTGAACTGCTAAGAAACTATTGTCCATTGCCTTTTTCATTGTCAACTGCACCATCGACAGAAACCAAACATCAAACTGAACAGCGCACAAATATATCGGATCTTTTTTCTCGTATTGATCCGTAGAAATTACCCGAACAGTTCATCTTGTTCTCGACAGTTTCATTTTGATTTTATGGTACTCTCCAGAACAGCAACGAGCTTTTGCTATTGTTTTTCATAGATAAAGCTACATGCAGAATGTTTTTCTTAGAAATGAAGAAATATATATCCTTACATTTATTTTGTTGTCTAAAACATTTTCAAATTCAATTTCTGTAGACGGAGAATTTCATGATATTTTGATTAAATTATGATATTGCTTTATTGAAAATCGGAAAAAAAAACAATTTATTTGATTAACTCATTAGAATTTCTAAGTGTTTAATACAAGGCATCAATATGTACATATCTAATTCCTACTGGTACCATGTTAGAAATAGCATGGGAAATGATTGTTGAAAAATATTGCACAAGTCGATCGGATTTTTGTTCCTGATAGGTTTTTGTTGGGTGTTTGCATCATTGATCAGATAAATGGATTCAGTAAACAAGAAGGCTATTGATTACTCTTATAGATTGGCAATAATGCTACTGCCATTGAGAAAAATTAGTACTCCGTATAATTAATTAAGTCTAATACAATCTATCTGAGAGTCTTCGACAGACGACACATCGAATTGTACAATTTGTCGTTACAAAAACAATGATGAATCAACTACAGATGAAGATCTCAGTTTTAAATAAGATTTTTCAACTGTTCTCAATTGAAAAATGTTAACTCTCTCTATATATATATATGTTATGTATGTGTTTGTTCAAAGCTATGGATTCATAGTTCACCACAAACTTTATTTATGATTGCGTCTCCAACTGTACTTTTATTCTTACCTACAACGGTGAAACTCTTTTTTTTCCTGACAGATCTATGCAATAAGCAAAGCTTTTGAAAATTTAATTCTCAATAAAACATGATTGATTTAATTTTTTCTATTATTTCGCGAAGTTCAAGTCTTCAACAGTTCTTCGTATGTCTCTAACATCGGCTAATATTTCACAATGTACATCAACTATATCTCAAACAGTTCTTATTCACTTAATCAGAAACATACTCCATTCAGTTTTCTTTTGTTACTTCTAAGCAGTGATAGTAAAATTGATATCAATTGTTTCCATGTACTTCTTATATTGTTGGTAACTGATTACATATTAATATTTTATATGGCATCATTTAATTAAGATTTCTATACTATCGGCACGTCTTTAACTTGAAAATCATCTTCATGATCTTTCATTTAGTCTTATAACTACTAACACTAGTAGAATAACATTCGAATGACTAAATTCAAGCATATATATATATATTATAGATATAGATCAATTAAGGCATGCAGAAGATTACGCATAAATAGTTTGTGTAGGTTAAAATGATGGAAGAAACTAGTATATTTAGATCGTATGATTGCAAATTAAAATTATATATTATACTTGAAAGTTTTAATTTATGTAGCAGATATTCGAAATGTTCATAACAAAGTATATTGTTTCGGCCAGTACTTTGGTCAAATACATGTTTCTTCAGCGACGAAATCCTATTTAAAATATAACTGATGTCTAACGTTTAGTTTTATAAAAATCATCAACAGTTTCTCTAGTAAGCTTGATTTGGTACATCACAGAATTGCAGATTCTTTTCTTTTTCTTCATAAAAAAAGAAAATACAAGTCATAGATGTTAGCTGTCATACAGCTGTAAATCAAAAAGCACACAGAGACGCGTGTAGTGATTAAATATAGTCGAAAATAAGTTCATAATGAATGTATTCTATTCAGGTGCAATGTACAGCTTTGAACTACACGCGTTAGAACAGCATTTTTCTTTGCATGAACAATCTTTGTCAGCATCACAAAAATCCACATCACATAAATACTAATCCGAATGATTATTCTGGGAAGCTGTGAGTGGACAAGTATCACGTTTCGGTGTATCATTTTTGGCATTGAAACATTGGTATCCACATGATGCTAGATGTGTATAACAATATTTCTTGTTGCCTGTACATATATCATTTGTAGGGAAACAGCTATTAACACAGGGTTTCTTATGGAAAAACATATCCGTAGCCAGGGCTTACGAATGCCCTATTAGCAACTGCGAGAATCGACAAAAATATAAAAAATGTTGAATCATAAGCATACTAGTGTAAGAAGAAAAACAAAATGACGATTGATACCATTTTTATATCGATGTGATAGTGATCCAAGAGTAAAAAGAAAACAGCAAAAACAAACGAATAAAATAAAAATAGGCAGCGACTACTAAAATCTAGTATTATGAAACGTTTGATGTAAGGAGAACGGAGAGTGTTGACGATAAAATTGTGTCACATAAAAGTACATTACTTATTGTATAAACATTAATTTCGAATAAAATTATAAATAATACTAAAAATAAAATAAACAGTACAATTAATAACCCGTAGAAAAAATCAATGCATATTGATACCACAATAAATATCTGGTACGATATAAGTCGTGATGCACGTATATAATCGAAGTAGTAGTAAAGAAAAGAACTATCCAAAACGCATGTAATTTTTGAAGATATTTTGAAAAAAGCAAACAGAGTTCAACATTCTTTTTTAAGTAGAAATATTTGGAAAAAGCGTGTTGTCTAAATTGTTTAATCTTCGAAAATAATAGTAACCAAGTCAATTTAAAATTCTTGCATAGCAAATCTGTACAAAAAGTTCTGAGACAGGCAGAACAAGTGTATGAAACGTATTATTGATTTCCTAAAACGAAAAGTTTTAAATACATACAAATTTAAAAGTTTGTTGTAATCATTTCTATCACATACGTATAGCATCAATGAAATGTAGCTACTCAAATGAAGGTGGAATATTTCCCACACACCACTAAAAGTGCTTGAGACAAACGATCATGATTCATGGATTTCTAACTAGTATAATTTTCATTTTGCTCATATTTGAACAATTTCTATTGTTTCAATGAATGATTCTATATATAATATGTAAATTTTTTCTTTTACTTAAAGATTGATCAATAATGAACTTTTCTAAAGGTATATATTTGAACAGAGCAACATATTATCAAACTAAAAAAGTCAAGATATTCAGCCTAATAATCTATAAAAAAACAAAGACCGTTGATAAGAAAATTCATTTCATATTCATTTTCTTTAATGAATTGTGACTAGACATTGTCGGCTTTTTCGCTCTGTTCTTGGCATTTGCCTAGATGCATTTTCTTCATGTTCATCGATAATCAAATAATCGAATTACAGAGACAATTTAGGTTTTTTAAATTTACATCATGCATTTTAATATTTGCTTTGTGAGATTCTAGTTAATAAAATAAATGAACTTATAGTTTAGTCTGAAACGAATTCATGGATTCATTTGAATTTGTTCTATATTCTACAATAATATAAAAGCAAATTGTAGAGTAGCACAAGATTATTTTGTTTTTCCGATTGTAACTCAGTTTTTCAGAGTTCAACACAATATATTAAAAATATGCAACGAAAACCAAAACTTTTATATTCTGACCTGTTAGGGTGATGTCGCAGGCTGACATCATCCCTATTTCATGTAATCCTCTATCTTCTCTATCTTCTTTCATCTATTTTCATCTTTATTGGTACTATTTTTTCTTGCGTTCTATATACATCTAGATTATGTAATGTTTTGGTTTACATAATAATAAAGTTCGTGCATATAGATCATCAGCACATATATCTATATCGATAGGAGAAAGGAAGGGAGAGAGAAACCCTAACATGACCAATCTCAATTATTCTTCCTAGCAATTTTTCAACCTCTATGATGGCGTATTACATCTTTCTTTTATTCTTGAGACTTTTTAATTCTTAATCATAGATAAAAACTACGATGTCATCGTACTGGTGGTTGAAAGAACACAATGAAGGTTCGCTACTTCGAGTAGCAGTTTTTGAAGGTTTGTCGTTGACTGATGGAAATGTGGCATCCAGTGTTTCTCAAGTTGAATTGCAAGCAGAACGTGCCAGTCGTGAACACTCAGCTCATTTACTTGTTTTTCCTGAATTATTTCTATCAGGATATGGACTAAGTCACGAAGTCACTTTATCAGCTGCCCGATATATTATTCAAGAGAAAGTAATTCTTCGTCTGCAACACGTAGCAAGTCAATTTTCTATTGCTCTCTTAATATGTTATCCAGAATTAGTCGATGAGAAATTATATAATTCAGCAACATTAATTAATGAACATGGCGAATTATTGCTTACATATCGAAAAACTCATTTATGGGCCAATAAAGAACGTCAATTATTTGTTGAAGGAGATCAACTATCACCTGTTGTTGACATAAGAGGTGTTCGAGTAGCGGTCATGATATGTTATGATATGGAGATTGGTGAAGTAGCACGTAGTTTAACTCTTCTCGGAGCTCAACTTATACTCGTACCCACTGCTTTAGCTGCGTCACCAGCAAATGAAAATATCACACGTTTTATGGTATCAACTCGAGCTTTTGAGAACCATGTTTGGCTTGCCTACGCAAATTTAGCTCCACCTCAATTCGTTGGTCTCTCACAAATTGTTGGACCAGATGGTAATGAATTGTGTCGAGTTGAAAAGGATTCGCTCATAGTAGCTGATCTTATTCCTAAAAATTATTTACATGCAATACAAGGAACACCTTATTTAGCTGATCGTCGGCCGTGTCTTTATTCGACTATTGCTGATCAAAAATATCTCGTTAAATTACCGATCGATTATAAATATACGAATGACTAAATTAGATTCTTTTATTTTTTTAAGTAAATAATTTCCAATGATTGAATTTAAATCGCATTAGTTTGAGTTTTTTTCTAGTACTAGAAAAAGAAATTTCAGAAGATAGATGTAATTGATATTATTTCACATGTATATTTGAATTCGTATCAACAACAATACTTTTCTCAATACGAAAACAGTTTTTTAACAAGTCTGTTTAGTTAAATTTTGCGTTTTCAAGCTGATTTCATTGATGATTTAGTTGCATGTTAAGTCCAAGCATGAAATAAGATATTCATAGTCAAGCTATATAAAATTCATGTGAAATACTTAATTACACTCCTAATTATATATATTCAATGAAGTCTACACTATTTTCATTTCGCATTTGTTATATCATATTGGTTATAGTATGCTATTTCTTCTTCCTAGAAGTAAATTGCTATTTTTACATACATAATATTCTAACATGGAATTATTATTACTATTCTTAGATGTACCAAAATGTTAAGTGGTTATTGATAAATAGAAGAATAACAATAAATAAAAAAGAATGATAGACTACTTTCGTATGTCATATTCATACAAATGTAGATGATATTGTATTTTTATTCGCCATTTTACCTACTAAATGAATTTTTTTAAACATAATATATACATTTTAGCCTAGAGTAGATTCTATAGTTGTCGAATGGTTTTTGGATCTTTTGTTTTCTATTATTTTCTATTAGGTTCTGACTCGTAAAAATCGACAAAAATCAGCTAAATTCATTACAGTTCCAGGTACATTTTTTGATTTCATGTCAATAAATTCATTGATATTATTTAATGATTCTAATGAAAGAAAAATATTGTATTAGATGATATATGAGATGAAGAAAAATAACTTTACTTTCGTTAGAGATCGCTGGATATGATGGTGGTGATGCCATGTATGTTATTTTATCTTCTTTAAGCATATGTGAACGATCTGATGCAAATGTATCAAGATATTCTTGAGCTGATATTACACGAAACAGGCTAAATGCACGAATTTAGACGATAAACAATTAATAGATATAGTAACACATTATTTTAATATTTACCGATGATACATATGCGCTATATTTGTTTCATCACGAATAGCTTGTTGAACATAATCGGTTGCAGATACAGGAAACGAAAGTGTAGAATCAAAGTCATAGATAGCAGTGGACGATGAAGATTTATCAATTAAGATGACATGATAATCCTTTAAAAATTTAAATCAATATTTATTTTCTTATTAAATAATATTTCAAACCCATATAGCAAGATGTTCACTATTGGAAGCAGATTTTTGTTCCCAAATCGGTATTATTCTTTGCGCATTAGAAATAAATACAGCATAGAGAGAATTCAAATGATTCGGATCATTATTTTTCCAACATTCACAAAGTTTCCAAATGTTTTCTTCACTGAAATTCAACTTAATATAGATCTAATATGAAAAATAAATCTTGTATTTTTTTTACCAATAGCACGATGTATACACACATTGCTCACGGTTAACTACCCAAGTTTCCATTGCAATCTATCTAAAATTCTGTTTGCTTTCTCGTCTAAAAATAAATTTTCACATGTTTATATTCTGATTTTAATGTAGAATTCGAAATTCTCATCTCTATTAATTTAATCATTTGATTCAATGTTACTTGTATTTCAGAAAGCTAAGCTTTATTTAAAAAAGAAATAAAATAATCTTTGATGTTTCTTTTTTTCGAGTAAAGTCTTGCATAAGCTATGATCACTTTTAACAATCTGAGATATTTGCATACTTAATTATGCGATCAACATGTAGAAAAAACGTGAGACAAGTGTAGCACACGATATTTCTCAATTTATAATTCACTATTAACAATAAGAAGAAACTTCATAGTAATTAACAAAACGATGATCGTTGAATCTAAAAAATTAAATGGAATAGTAATTACACGATTAATGATTCGTTTTTGTTAAGTTTGCGTTACGAATTATCTCATATTAATAACTCTTACGGATGTATAACGGATAATAGTTTTATCTGAACTTAGCGAATACTTTGGTAGCATGATTGTTGTTGCACGATTTAAATGATCTCTTATTTTCATTTAAATTTCAAGGCAAAGGAAACGATTTCGATCTATTTATTAATCGATATAGCGTCATATACAGAATGACTTAAAATAAATCAAGTAAGACTACATACTAGAGATCATATACAAGAATAAGTGATGAATTGTTGTAATATTGCAGTTAGACATGAAGATAACAAGAAAATGGCATACGCAGAAACATTTTTTTATCTTTTTTATTCAATTGACGGCTTTTACAGAGTAATATATGGCTCACAATAAATATAGTTGATGTGTAAGCTAATCCAGAAAGAATAACTATTCATCTCATGCAATCAGTACGTTATCTGACTTCACATGAAATTTATCTCAAAATAAATCATTAAATTATAAACAGAAAACAAAATTCTCTCTTAATTTTTATCAAGTACAGTAAGAAAATGAAGAAAATAGACAAATTCTTTTCAACTATTTATTTTATAATTTTATCAAATCGATAGAAAAATATGCTTGTACATCACACAATCGATGCATTGAATAAACGATCTTAAGTCAAACATTCATTATATAGCTCAAAATTTGATCATCGATCAATTGAAAAATAGATGATAAGTATTGCATCGTATGTTAATTAACTCGAATATCAAATTCAATGCCTTGCTATCAATATGATTAAACTATGTCAACAATATAAATATATCTACATGTTTACAATTGAGATAAAGGAAGCAAACTAGCTATTATATCTTAGACACGATAATGATTGTCATAACAGACATAGTTTGTAAGCTAATCTGGGTAATTTTTTGAAAATGTGAATAATTTGCATCGAAATGTATTCACAAAATTTTCATTAAATTTTGGATTGTAATCTTCTTCTAGTAGACAATCTGTGCAATATTTAACTATCTCAAATAAAATAATATCTAGCAGAATCTTAATCAGCAATGATATCGATTATAATAGAAGCAACTTCTTTTTTCTTTTGTATCTACAATAAGACGATGAGATGAAGAAAAAAAACATAATTAAATTCCATTTTTCATGCGAATGTGATGTGAACGAAAAAGAAGTTATATGTTTATACGAAAAATATTTGGAACAAAAAAATTCTTCAAATACTGTTTTATGTCGATGATTGTTCGTATAATGATAATGGAAAATGATCATGATTTTGACGCACGTGTTCATTCATCTCTTTCATTTGTCGTTGTAAATGTGGTTCCATTTTATCAAAAATATTTTCAAACATTGTTGTTATAGGAGCTCGTTTAACTTTTTCACAATTGGCAAATGCTTCCATTACCTAAATAAATCAAAATATTCAATTCAACTAAGAATAATAATATATAATAAAACAAACCATTTTTTGCGAATCTTTCATCCACTGTTCGTCTTTTTCTTCATTCCAACAGCCACGTTGGGACATAAATTTACGAAGACGTAATGTTGGATTATCTTTTTTATCACGTGAACGTACTTCATCAACCGATCGATAAGCTGAACTATCATCTGACGTTGAATGATGGCCGACTCTATTGTAATTATCATAAATTAGATATCATGAATTAGAAAAAAAAGTTTCTTTTTTTTTTTTAGTTTGTACCTTAGTGTCATTGCTTCAATTAATACTGGTCGCATTTCATTGAGTGCTAATTCACGAGCCGCTTTTGTTGCATTATAAACAGCAAATAGATCGTTTCCATCAACACGTATTGTTGCCATACCATAGCCTGGTCCTCGACTAGCAATGCCATCACCTCGATATTGATCAACTGTTGTTGTTGATATAGCATAACCATTATTACGGCTAATTAAATTAAAATGAATATCACTTAAATAATTCTAATATAATTAACTGACCAGAAAAAGAGTACAGGAACTTCGAGAGTTGCTGAAAAGTTTAAAGCAGCATGAGCATCGCCTTCACTTGCAGCACCTTCTCCAAAATAACAAACAACACATAAACCATTTTGAGCTCTTCAAAAGAAAAGAAAAAAAAGAAAATTTGAAATCCATCAAATTTGAGCAATCATATACCTTTTGTATGCATAAGCACTACCGACAGCCTGTGGCATTTGTGTTGCCAATGTCGATGATATAGTAACAAAACTTAAATCAGTTGAACCATAATGTACTGGCATTTGAATACCTTTGCAAGATGCACGAGCATTACCAAAACATTGATCAATAAATTCGTTTAGTTTAAAACCACGATACATAAGAACACCTAGAACAATAAGGAAAGAAACGTGATATTTTTAATTTTAGAAGACATTCAACTATTGTTTTTATCTAACCAGCTTCTCGATATTGTCCATAAACAAGATCTTTTGGATTAAGAGCAGCAGCACTACCAATATGTGTTGCTTCTTCACCAAAATTAGTCATATAAAATGAAATACGGCCTTGCCGTTGTGATTCATATAAAATCCGATCCAAAACATTCAGTAGAGTCATATCTTTATACATTTTAACCAGATGTTCATCAGTGAACTAAATAAATAATATATATATATATATATATATATATACTGCTAATTAAGAAATCAAAATTGATTGCACTATAATTTTATAGGATAATCTGTATGAAAAACAAGTAAAATTTAAAATTTTACGAGTTCTATTTACAAATATTATTGTAATTAATTCATTACTCACATCCGGTGCATGATTTTGATCTTTAATAACTCCATCAGAGTCAAGAACTTGATAAATTGGAATAGGTGTTGCATTTTCTGGACGAATGAATTCTAATTTATTAGTAATCGCACCTTTTATATGTCCACTCATAAACGACATTTTTGATGCGTTCCCTTCGAAAGCAACATTCGATGCTCCTGTTGTTGTTGCTGAAGATTGGCATCGTTTACCAATTTGATTGCTAAGTGATCTACATAGACCATAGAGGGCTCGTGAATTGCTAGAGAATCGAAGCATTCTTTTCTTTTCTTAATCTATAATCAAATAATTACGATAATAAATTTTGTCAAATAAATCATTCTAGTTATATTTTTTTATAGTTTCGTTTTTCTTCATTTCAAAAACACGTTCAGTGCGAGACAAGTACGAAAAAAAAGTAATATTTAATGACATTGTCGATATGACAACAAGAGGGAAATTACATGAAAATAAAATAAAATAAAATAAAATGAAATACAATGAAATAAATAATTAAATGAATAGCTGTTTGGTTGTTCTATATAGATACTTGTTGTTAATGTAAAAGAGAATACACAATGTATTAATTCATTCAATAAATAAAGCTTTCATTTAAGATAAAACTGAAACATATACACGCATTACTGACAACATGTATACAAACATTTCTATAGAGTTCTTAAGCTCTTTTTTTTTACAATTCATCGAAATCATCTCTTTCTTTTCGAATTCGTTCAAGTGCAGCTGAAACATGCTTTTCACGTGTATTAGTTGTTGTTATATTGACGAATACACTATTATCTGATAGATGATGAATACCTTTATGTCGTCCATTATTCCAAAGAGTTGTACGACCATTTTGAGAAGAGTTTGATTCATCACTATTGCTGTTATTATCATTATTAGATACAAGAGATGAAGAATTAATATCATTTGATTGAGTTCTAAACATTTCGATTGATAACATTTACATAGAAATTTAATGGATTAGTTTTTCTCATACTTTGAACGTTGTTTGTCGACATCAAAAGATTGCAATGATTGTTTTGATGTTTGGATTTGTCGATCAATCTTTGAAAAATAATCTTCATATGAAGAAGTAATCGTTGTCATTGTTGGCGTAGAAGTTGAACTATCGGATCTTCGGATAGATGACATCGGTTCGTCTGTTGCAATTGCACTGGTTGAAGTTTTTCTAGGAAGATTAGTCGCTGGTGATGGATTTTGAACAATGTTTAATGTCGGATATAAGGTTCGTAGTGTCGATAATTGAGACGAGTTGACAGGAATATATACATTTTCAAGTAAACTTAATTCAGCATCTGACCATAATTTATTGACTCTTTTGATCTCTTGAATCTGGAAATTTAGATAAAATTATAAAAGTTATTTGAGATCTTTTTTCTTTCTATTTATTAAAAGAAACACTCACGTGGATGCTATATTTTAATGAAAGCCTTTGCATAGTATCATCTGATTGAACTTTATGACAAATATAGAATTTAGGTTGTAATTGTGATTGTGATTTAGCCAAGCTACCATAATTACCGCCTGATCGTTTTGTACTGTGCATTACTTCGCTTAGAGCACGCCGTTCAGGTGGCGTCGTTGCTGAAGCCATTGGAGCGCCCGATGATATCTCGGTTGATATTTTATTCATTGAGTTTTTGACATCAAATAACTTGAGAGATCATAAAATGACTTTTTAGGCTTGTTTTTAATTTTGCCTCTTTTACATGGATACAATTGATCGTCTTTCTCGTAGGCGTAGCTTGTGAAAGTAAATCGCTGACATATTGTCGATTTCTATTGGTTGTATGTGCTCAAGTCATATTAGACTTATTTGGTCATGACTCTCTGACATCTATGGGAATGAATAAGTTACATTTGCTCCACTACTACTGCACTCCTTTATGTATGCTTTTTTCAGATTCGACTACATGCTGTACTTCAAGAAAATATTCCATGTATTACTTTATTTGATTTAAAAAAAAGAATGTAGCTTTTATTGTATAATTTCACTTCGAAAACAAAAAAACCATTCGAACCAACACTGGCTTATAGCTCACCAAAAAAGTGTCACAATTAAAACAACTATAACATAAATATTAATATACTTCCAAATTTGAAAATGGGGTGTGAAGATTGTTGTACACTTTTGTAATGCCCTGATAATAGTTCATCAAGATCAAACTAGCTCACGTACAATATATTGCGCAGAATCCATCGCTAATATAGTGGCAGATGTAAAAAAAAATTACAAAATTCAATGCATTGGCAAGACTAGAGCAAGATCAAGGATATACATTAGGCAACGTCTTTGCTCCCACTGAAACTTATAATACACACCAATTATCTTTTTGTACCTAATTGAGATTCAAATGGATGGCTTATATGTTTATATTTTATAATTAACTTTAAAATCGACGAGTTCTCTAGCATATATATTACAACTTCAAAATATAAAATGTTAATCTTCAGGGATATTCTCATCTAGACAAAAAAATATAATCTTGTTCAAAATTCAATATGAGTTTTGCTGGCATTTTTGACTATTTGAACATTTGATAATCATTAATAAATTATTCAATCAAAACCTTTTTCATATTTGAGGAATGTTATTCTTTATTTTTTTTCTAGTCTTTTGACCAAAATGAAGTGACTAACGTAAGGTGAAGAAGTAGTAGAAGATATAGAAATCAATGTCAACTTGAAGTATGATGAATAATCATAAATCGAGTTTTAAAGCTATAATGTGACTTACAAGGACTCCTCCATAAAAACTGGCAGGGAAAGTTTTAATAATGTACTTCATTATTGGAAGTTCAGATCTTTTAAATATTCGATTTAGTACTAACGAGGAAAGGTCACAAAGTGTTCAATCGCATTTGCGTTGCAACTGCTTACATTATGTAGCTCCCAAGGAGGTATGAATATGCTGAAAATATTTTGGGCGGATAGCTTATTGTTACGAAAATAGACCATTTCTAAGGTATGGGTTTTAGTGAGAGCCTGGGGTCCTCCTCAGAAACATTAAAAAAAATTGATTTTCGAATTTCAACTTGAAACTTTACATAGAAAGACGCCTTACGGAGAACAACTTTTTGTGAACACTTCAGACCTTTCTACGCTTCCTATCACTAGACACAATTATTGTCAAATTTTAATTTTACATCTTCAAATAAAGTGGCAGATTTTATGAAAAAAAAATTCAATGGTCAAACACATTCATAAACCACAATTCTCGTTGAGCTCTATTCGCACATAAAATTTCAAATCTAAATTCGAAAATCAATTTTTCTAATGTTCCTGAAAGGGAGTACATCAATCATACAACAATGCCACAAAAACGGTTTATTTTCGTAACAATAAGCAATCCACCGAAAATATTTTCACCGTATTCATAACTCCTTGGGAGCTACATAAAACATGTAGTTTCAAAGAAAAACCGATTGAACACTTGGTTCTCTCGCACGAAAGTAAAAAATTGTTTCAATTAAACGACGAATGGGATCATACAATGTGTAATGCGAATGGAGTTTTACATTCCATACAACCCTCTTCTAAACTACAGAATTCTATCAACAATAGGATTCTCTAGTTTTCATAGGATAATACTATAGTCCACTTTAATCATTCACGTATGCTCACAAAAAAGTCCCAGTAAATCATACGAAACATATTTTCAACAGCTAATCTAGATCTATAACATCGTAACATCGAAGATTAAAACACGGTTGTATGCTTACGGCCATACCACGTTGAATACACCAGTTCTCGTCCGATCACTGAAGTTAAGCAACGTCGGGCTCGGTTAGTACTTGGATGGGTGACCGCCTGGGAATACCGAGTGTCGTAAGCTTTTTACTTTTTTCTTAATTCATTCAGGAAAAAAATCATCATTCACACTCATAACTCTCAATATACTATTTAATTTTTTCCGAAACTATTGCATTCGCTATTTAAAGAACTGCAGTTTTTTTTTGAACACTCTTTCAGTCAACATAATCAAAACACAAGCGATTTTAGCAAGCCATACACACAGATTAGTTACGTATGAAGGCTTCTGTATGCTCGCCAAGTTTTATAACACCCGCTATGATTCTCGAATATCTGTCATTCTCATATTTTAAAGATGTATAGATTATTCAATAGGAACATGCTTGAATAATACAAACCTTGTTACTCGACGATATTCTCTCTCGGAACAGATAATCTTTTAACGGCAATTAGATTAAAAATATATGTTGTACAAATGTTTTGCATCATAACATTTTTATTGGTCATTTAGTTTCACAACAGTGCCCGATAATTATTTGCAAGAGTGTATGGACTGATTTACATCTAGGACATCGTAACATCGAAGATTGAAACACGGTTGTATGCTTACGGCCATACCACGTTGAATACACCAGTTCTCGTCCGATCACTGAAGTTAAGCAACGTCGGGCTCGGTTAGTACTTGGATGGGTGACCGCCTGGGAATACCGAGTGTCGTAAGCTTTTTACTTTTTTCTTAATTCATTCAGGAAAAAAATCATCATTCACACTCATAACTCTCAATATACTATTTAATTTTTTCCGAAACTATTGCATTCGCTATTTAAAGAACTGCAGTTTTTTTTTGAACACTCTTTCAGTCAACATAATCAAAACACAAGCGATTTTAGCAAGCCATACACACAGATTAGTTACGTATGAAGGCTTCTGTATGCTCGCCAAGTTTTATAACACCCGTTATGATTCTCGAATATCTGCCATTCTCATATTTTAAAGATGTATATGACGAGCAGAAAATCTTTTTCCTTTTCAATATATGAGGGGGAATAAAAAAATCGAAATCATCACGAGTAGAAAACTGTTTTTCTCAATTCGTTCACGGACGTGTGGTAAAATCAACAAAATAATCACCACTGGAAGAATGTTTTCTTTGGATTTCTTCACCACCTTGCGTCAAAATCATCAAAATCAGGAGAATTAGAAAATTGTTGTTCCGTATCGATATGTGATTGGGGATCAAAAACAGCAAAATCATGAGTAGTCAAGAATGGTTTTTTGTTAATTCGTTCACCACCGGATATCAAAATCATCAAAACCAGGAGAAGCAGAGAATTGTTATTTTGAATTGGTATATGAATGGGTATCAAAGTCATGTGATTGATCAAGAGGCAGCAGTTGTCTTTTTGTAAATCTGTATGTGTGAGCAGCGAAGGGTGAAAATCGGCACGCGGTTCAGGATGGATTTTGCCGAATTGTGGTATATTGCGGCATTCGAATTGTCACCTGTTTTTTGTTGTTTGGAGTATGTTGCTTGAAAAGTGGATTTGAAAATATGCAAATGAGAAGTTGTGAAGACTCGTTTTTGTAGAGTGCGAGATGTATTGTTATGAAAATTATCATAATGGACATTCAGAAGTAGCTGTTTTCGGTAGCGATTATAGGAAAGTGCAAGAAAATCTCGAGAAGATGCGATTGATGTAATGGCGCTTTGATAATATGTGATGTAGACGAGTATGAAATGGTGTTTATTGGGAAGGACATTTATTAGATAATATTTTGTCATGTTGCGTTTCTCCTCTTGTTTTTTTTTCATTTGTAAAGACGTATGTTGCTTATGTAAAATCCGTTTCAGTTTGTTTCTTGATAAAATATAAAGATAGGTCAATTTTTTGTTGATTCGAACTTTACTTACATATCGGTAGAAAGAAATATAATGAAATGCATTATCTAACAGTAATGTTGATACGGTGAACTGATTGAGGCATAAGACAATGAACGATATAGATGTTATGAAATGATTGTTTATGGAATTGGATGTTGAGTTTGCGATCATTTTTGGTATGGTGTAAGTGATGTTGTGGGCGGCGAGGGTGCTGTGTTTTTAAAATATTTGTTATGGAATTGAATGCTACCTTATTAAGCTGAAATTGTGTGTGTGGAGGCGTGAAATTGAGTAGGAGTGGGATGCCGGTTGCGGAACTGGTCTTGGAAATAATACGCAGATGGGGCCGATGGTTTAGGGTTAGGAGTTGTTGAGTGGCGACAATCTGTAGAGACTCTTGAACGCTCTGTAATGTGTGGCGTGTTGTTTTGGATTGTTAAATAATGATTGGGTGTATGCGACTTAGCTGAGTCATGTGGATAGGATAGATTTTGATAAATACTGATGATAAAAGAGCAGTATGAAAGTGTTTAGCAGCTTTGATATAGTTTTTTTCGGAGATGTGGTGGCTGGTGGGTCTTGATACTGGCGTAAATTTCGTCGAAGACAAACTTCTGGTTGAAATTTCATCGGATTTAACATTTCCCTATAGGAACTTACTGAATTCTATGAAAACTGAGTGTATCAAATTTATTCGGATTCCTATTGTTGATTTTCGTCGGATCCTGTAGAACCCCGTGGGAATCGATGGATTCTTGTAGTAAGTCTATAGAATCCGAGTGTTGGAAATGGTCGGTTTATTGTCGGGTTTCGACTGTAGGATACGATGATTTCCCGATCTGGGTTCCTATAGGGAGTCCGTCTGTACGATCTCATGGGAATCCGACACCGAGGATTCGACTGTAGGTCCGTTACCCGGAATCCGATATAATCCTATAGGATTTTGTTGAAATCCTATGAGAAACCGACGGGAACTCGATAGGACCCTATCGGTTCCTACTGTCGATTTGAATCTCCTGGGGAAATACTCATTTGGTTTAATACTTATTCAAATTCTTTTATATTAGTTATCTCATGTTTTTTTCTTGGTTATATTCTTTTTATTCTTTTTTTCTGTCTTGTCGAACGTGCCCTATTCATCATTCGTAATACCATTTAACCCATTTAACATTACCGCCATATTAAGACATCACGTGTTCGATGATATCACACCCTCTATAAGTCTCAACAGGAAGAGTAGATCATGATAAAATTCTTTTTAGCCTAGGCCTGTTATAATTATAATTTCTTCTTTAATACCCAGATCGTTCATTCCTACAATCGGATCTGAAAATGGGTTTCATCGGATCTTACATGAAAACCGACAAAAACCAGCAGATTCCGTCCGATTCAGGGTTTCGGGCCGAGATTCGGATCCGTAGGATCGGAATCCAATATTATCGGATCGTATCCTACTCTGGGATCAGATGCGCCAAAAAAGTCTGCTATACTCAACTTCTAAAACGCTCTTTTGCACTAAATAGAACTTTGATATTTTTAAAATTCTTCCGTCGAATCCGTCAATAGTTCCGAAACCCAGAATTCAACTGGATTTCCTCGGTTAGTAGGATGTTCTAGGATCCGATAGAATCCGTCGTCGGATTAGTCGACCTGGGTAGACTCAAACGATCGTATACGGTCGTCGTTTACGGTCGTATACGATCGTGGGCTTTCGATCTGGGTATATGAAACTTTTTTCTCCAGGTCGTGCCAATACGGCCAGAAAACACGAAAAATCGTTAGAAATTCGAAGCAATATTTCGGCCGGTTTCAACAGTATCAATTCGCCGGAATTATTGACCTTGGTTAAAGAGAGGATGCATTGAAAATCAGATTTAATATGTTTATTGGCCAACTGAAAAATTGTATGTATATTTTGACATTAAAAAATTCATCCAATATTTTCAATTTTCATTAAAAAAAACCTGTTAACTAGAATACATTTGTAGATATATTTTCCTAAGTAATTGGCAAAAATATTGTAGATAACTGTTAAATCCAAAATGATTGGCATTCTAAAGTTGATTCTTTCTTCATATGTTGAATTTAGTTTAAAATATTTATTATATATTCTCGGTCTTGGCGTATTATACTGCCATCTGCCGCCATCACTCATTGCATATTATTTCCTTCAATGAAATTCTAAACAGACAATCAAGGAAAGTTGTAAAGATAATTCATTCATCAAAAAGAACAAGAGTGATCGTTCATCATATATTATTAGAAGAATTCCAATGTCTGGTAATCCTCCTTCCATCGTTCTTCTGCCATCATCTTCATCGCCAAGTCCAAATCCTTCTATTCAAACTGCAAATGTTCATCCGATTGTTCGACCTCCTATCATTCTACATCAGCAAGGATCCCAACCGTCTGCATCTTCATCAATACCATTTAAAAATGTTATTGTAAGACCATATCGAGATAGTATTCAACAAGCACTAATAACAACATCAACAACCAATGTTGACGTTAAACCAATCGTTTTACAATCGGTAATAACATGAATTTGATAAAATTCTTATTTCTGACTTAATTATTCAGAGTGATAATATTGAACCACATCAACCAAACAAGCGAATCGCTCTCGATTCATCTGATTTCAATAATTCTAATATATCATTTTCGGCTGTACCAAAATCTGAAGTCATGACTGTTTTACAACAAACTCAACCAGTGAATACACTATCGCTTGCTAAAATGGTTCCACAATCGCCATCGAACTCTACTTCTTTTTCAACTCTACGCTTAGTAACACCATCAACATTTGTTAATCCCAGTGAGATGTCTACAAGTAAATAAGTTAGAACTAGAAACGATTTTCAAAATGAACTAGATCTTCATTTTAGTAAAAACATCAGGTCAACAATTTTTTCTTCAACAACGGGGAAATCTTGTCATCACACAGCCACTTGTTACGGTAAGTTTTTTTTTATCAAGACTAGCATTAATGATATTAGTATTTGAAGTCAAGCATTTTTCTAAACAAAAATACTCATGCTTTTTGGCGAAAATGATATGACTAGTTACAATTAAATTGATGTATTCAACATTTTATTTTCATTTTGCTCTATTATTTAGTTGCAAGTTCAACAAGATTCAAATTCTGTTCAAAAAGAAAATAACAGTAATACGAATACGTTTTCAACAGAACAATCAAGTAATAATACAAGGTAAATTTGTCATTTTTTTTCTTATCTACTATTCTAAATAAATGTATTTATCATTACAAAGAACAACTTGTGCTGATTACTTACCAGTTCAATATCAGCGAAAACCATGTAATTGTACAAAATCAATGTGTCTTAAATTGTAAGGCTATATGATAAAGCATAGTATAAAAAATTTGAATTTTTTTGTTACAAGATATTGTGATTGCTTTGCAAATGGACTTAACTGTCAGAATTGTGCTTGTCTAAATTGTCACAATGATACAAGACATGAAGAAGAACGCACAAAAGCTATAGCTACTACACTTGAACGTAATCCTAATGCATTCAAATCAAAAATGTATAAATTTGGTTAGTATTTATATTATTTTCATTTATCAAAGGAAATATGCTTGATGTTTTTTTTTATATTTAGCTAATACAATCACTCCACAACCAGATCGACCTCTGAAAGGTTGTAATGTATGTTTGAGTTGATATTGAATGAAATGCCAGATAAAATATTTTACTTTCTTTTTCTAGTGTAAAAAGTCAAGCTGTCACAAACGATATTGTGAATGCTATGAAGTAAATAGATTCTCTTTTACATAGTTTTATTTTAATCTTTATTTCTTAGTCACGAGTACCTTGTACTAGTTTATGTAAATGGTAAATTAATTCATAGTTTCAGGAAAATTATGCTTTTACGCTTTTATTTTTAGTATCGGATGTAAAAATACTGAACAATCAGTACATCCGCTTAATGTTGGTTTTTATCGATCGGGTCAACCAAAAACAACAACTCAAACTCCACTCGATCAAATACCAAGAACAGGACCCCCAACAGAAACGTAAAATATCTGTTTTGTTATTGATTTTTCTTTGAAAGCTTGTGCCATATGATTTAGTACCATTCCAAATAATGTGTTTAACATGGAAGTGACTGAAGCTTTAGCTACTTGTTTACTTGTAACAGGTCAACAATGCGAAATCAATCAAATGAATGAACTCGATTCAAACCTAGCTATACTGAAAGAATTTCAGAGATGTATGCATCAAATTGTACAATCAGCACTTGGACGTCCTCGTAAGTTAAAGAAAACTAAAAATGACCTTGATTACCAATAAAAGTTCAGTACAGTCGCTTAGGCCATTCATAATACAATTAGATAATAAATTTTCTAAGGAAAAACATGTGCAACAGCATTCGAATGATTCAATAATGATAAAAAGATCCAAATAGTATTTACAACTTATTTTGATAAATTAAATTAAAATTCATTTTGAGAATAAATATTCTTGGAAAAATGATGATACAAATAAAAAAATTCGGTACAGATATAATTATGTTATCATTTTATGTAGACGGCATATTTTTTCAGATGACTTCTTGTACTCTTTATATCAAAGTTAATATATATATTCAGTATCAGATAGAGATTGAGGATGCCCCTATTTTGGAAGAAACTGAAATTTTGACTGCTTTTTAATGGATCAAAACTTAAGAATAAGACACCTTTAATTTAATGAAATTTTAAACATTCTGTTGAAAAATCAAATCATCCGTTTTCATATTTCATTGGTAAATTTGTTTTATTTCATTTTCACAGCCATACTATCATCGTTCGACTAACATATTCGTCAGTGTTTGTCATTCATATTTATTATATTTGTCTTATCTAACAGTGACAGGTGCTTCTTCTCATATTGGTTCTACTAAAAAAACTGATTCATAGCAATTGATAAAATCACTTATGTTAAACTTTATTTTCGTTTCATTTAACTGTCTGTATGTATCGACTGTATATTTCAAATAAATGTTTTACAAAATATGTTGAAAGAAAAAACGTTATTTTATTTAACAACAATTAGGAAGACTTATTTTCAATATCATAGGCATCCATAAGATTTGATGTTGTCTTTTTTGTATAAGTTATGTCAGTTTTATAGCAAATATTATAAAGACAAAAAAAGCAATTCTTATTGTAATTTTAATACCATTAAGAAGACGTTTTACTCATTATATCACTTGCTTGTGTTGAACACTTCATATCCTTATTGAACAAAAGCATTTGATCTAGAGAAAAAATAGTAGATAAACGATATTCTCAATACTAAAAGTTTCGTTTAGCATTGTGTTCTTGGACAATTCTTCCGATAGACCACAATCCTGGGTTTTTTTCGACTTCTTCTCGATTACCTTTTGACCATAGATCACGATTGAAAAAGCTACCGCATATTTCAACAAGATTCTCAGCCATGTCGTATACATATATACCTACCCACGTGAGATTTTTATCAACAACTGTATCTACTTTAGCTTGTTCCAAACAATTTTTTCTTGCTAGACAAAATTCTCTTGCAAGAAAATGTGCACTAGAAATCGATTGACGTAACTTGAATTCGTTCATTTCAAGTATTGATATTTTTTTCAAGAAACATGTCAGCCTTGTGTGCTGCCCATTAAGTTTCCTCATATCGAATATCATCGAATTTTTTATCAACAGTAGCAAATATAAGACGAGATGTCTCTACACAACCATGCTCATTAAAATAATATTGTTTGTAAGTTGACATTTTTATGTGTATGCACGGAATGGCAAGCAAGTTATGGATTTTATAAAATGTAATAGGAATAAATATTATTTCTTTGTTTTGCGTTTCAGTAAAGATGAAAAATGCAGAAAAGTAAGTAGAATATGACTGTCTGTATAATTTTTCATCATTATGAGTTCGAGAATAGAAACTATAAATACTGTTAATCTCCAACACAATATTTACTTAAATACTTCTTCTGAATCTCGATTGTTCTTCTTTTATTTTATCGGGTACAAGCATTTAAAACATTTTCTAATCGTTAGCCAAAGTATTCAATATAATAGTATACTATTCCAATTTAGTTCTACTAAATGTCATCGAAGTAAAAATGTTAGATTTAAAAACTTACCTACATCAAACCCATATGACCATTATTTTTTCCTGACCTGATTTAACATTTGATGAAATCCCAATTTGAATCTAAGATCATTGTCATGGTGAGACTGTGGTTGAAGAATCATATGATATTTTTCCATGTTTATGACTTCGGATAGATTATAGTTTTAAGCATAGATATAGCAATGTTCCGCTGTTTCTCTAAATAAATAATGATAATTATGTTGAAAAGAAAAACATCGATATCTCAATATATTCAAAGTTAAGTCTTTTGTTTTTATATTCTTTATGCACATATTGAATTTTTCACTATAACATTTTCAGTTTTTATGAAATATACTTTCATCAAAAGCTGAATGTATAGTTTTTTAGTATTTAAAAATTATAGTTTACTCTTTAGTGCTCGTTTTTATGAGATTAATCAATAAACAAAAATGTTGAGATTAAATATGAACGACAAACTACTGAATCCAACTATATTACAGATTTTTAGAGCCGTATAGCTACATAATGGATATATTCAGATCATGCATTGTCAAAGAACAAAATGTTAGTTCATTTATGTCACTAATATACAGATAAGACTGATGAGACATGTTGTAACTTTATATTTACATAATGACGTATATTGCAATATTGAATAGAACATTCTCAAAAGGCTTTGGTCTAAATAAAAGTGGACCTACAAATATTTCATTGTAAAAAGTCTACCCGATTACATAATAAAATATCGCATTTTTCAATTTCGTTTTTTTGATTATGTTGATCATGTCCCTTGAATGCAATACAAGAAAAAAATTTAGCAGAGCACAGTCAAAAATACTTTCCCTTTCATATTATGTTTTGCCCTAGTGAAAATATGATAAAAGAATCTGAATTCATAAGTAATAAGATGAGCGCCAATAAGCCAAATAAAAGTAATCTAAGAAAAACAAAATGAAGACAGTGATAAAAAGATTAACTTGATCATATTATAATAAACATTACAAACAAATCAAGACCGTTATTAGAAAAATTATTGAAGAGCTCGAAATAACCAAGGCCACATTGATTGGAAGTGAATGTTGTAATATATCATAAACATATGGTAGTCTAGTTACCTCTCGCCGAGCGCTCATGAGTGCACCATGAGCATAACCATAAGAATCTGTACTTGTTGCTTCGCCGGCAAATAACAAGTGATTTTCAATGGGTTGGGCCAAATATGAAGGGTCTTTGTATAGCTGATTTACTGAAAAATAAGAGTAAGATCCAGTGAAGAAAAGATCTAGTTTCCAATAAGTCATGAAACTATCGATAGGTGAAGGAACAGTTCTATTAGGGAACATTTTCTTGTAACGTCTGTCGGACTTGTTCAATTATTAGATCAGTAGCCAAATTTAGTTGGCTTTGCTGAAACTCTCGAGAAATAATATTCAGTTGATTTCCACCAGGCTTGGTCCCATAGCAAGATAACTTTGTCTAATATTCCAAAACCTAAACAGTCAATCTAGGTTTTATGTCAATTTTAGCCTGTTGTACTAGTTCCCGCAATGGGTTAGTCATTAGACCAGCTGGAATTGATCCGTTAATGACATGTATTCATAGTACGCCCAGATAAAAATTATGATTATTTTTTGCTTTGATGGACCAAATTCGACCACCAATACGATTGCATCCTTCTAAGACAGTTGTTCGAATATTGTTTTGTTGCAATAAGCGAGCAGTTTCTAAACCAGATAAACCTACTCCAATAATTAAGACATCAGTCATAATTATATTCGATGAATCAAACTGTAATTGTGCTCTCCTCAAACGACGAATCTGAAAAGCATTCTACATTTATCTGATTCTCGGTAAAAACTAAGTTATCTCACAGTTTTCTCTACTTACATTTGGATAGTACTCTTGAAAATGACTAACTGCCATGGTATATAAAGCAAAAAATAGTAACACTTGCATGATTTTATTTCAAGTAACAAATGCGTGTTAAATTCTTATGCGATAAAAGATTCTCAAATATTTATAGGGTACTGATTTAAAACATTTGTTGCATCAAGTGGTATCAAGAGATTACTCAACCGTCATTTACAAATATGAGTATGACTATTTAAACGGAAGTGTAATTTATTCGCTACGAAATAAAATAAATCTTGAATCACATAAATTTTCTGTTTAAAAGATCTAAAATGTTATTAGATTATGATAGGATAAAAGTCTAAAGAGTACAAGGGAGAAAAGCGCGACTTCCATCCATCACATACGTCCCTCGTACTCCCCTCTTATCCCATTGTACTTGTACTGTCACCTGCATCCATCGTACTTCTCATCATACTTTAAAAAAATTGAAGTACAAAAGTCGCACATTTTCCCATTGGTGCACGCACTTAAACATTAGGTAGTGGCGTGGAGAAATAATTTCGGAAGTGTTACAAAACCTTCTGTATATATATTTCGAAAAGATGAGAGATGGGTACATCTTCTTATAGCCAAAAATCCGTTTCTATTTTAAAAAAGAATCTTATATCAGCTAGACATTTATCGTGACGTTTTTTTACTATAGTTGTCAACACTCCTCTGACAGTTTTTTTTTTCTAAAGTTTGGTAGATGTTTTTCTGTCAGTGATCGATAAATATGAAATATTTAGGCTAAATCTGGCGAATTAAAAATGTAATCTATTTGATTTGCAAGCTTCTGGAATGCCATCAAATAAATATTGAATGTTGTCGTGCCATGCCGCCACAAGAAAAAAGAAATTTACATTCAATTGGTGCAAATTAGAGACATATGAAGAGTTTTCTATATATATATATATTATTTCTCGTTATTCTATATTTCTTCAAAGCGGCAGAGTAAGAAAAACTAGAACCATCTTTACAGTTGAACACTTGTAATAAGTAGCAAAAAACGTTTTCAGTAAGTACGTAGAAGATTCAGAAGCGAACTTTACTGTGCAACATACCAATCTAAAAAAGTAGCGAATCTAAAATGTAGACTATATTCATGTATGCATTATTGAAAGCAGTACAGCATCATGAAAGCTCCTCTCCGTGTATAGATCAAATTTCTCAAGATTTTTTATGGATGTCAATTTAAAATCAAAAAATATTGTTCCAAATAAATGTCACTCAAATCCATGAAGAATTTCTTATATCTTTATTAAGCACAGTCAAATGCAGAACCTATCAATATTTGAGAACGGCTGTTCGTCAAAAAAATTGACTTGATAGTCTAATATCGAATCTACATATGAGCGTGAATGTTGCACTGTGACTGTATAACAGTTATTACTGAAACGAACACTTTTCTATTAAGACTCAATTCTTGTCCAACATTATTCATCAGATTGACAAAATCAGTTCAAGAATTTAATAATATTAGAAAATACTTAACTTTACTATTAATTTCTGTTGTGTTTCAATTTTTATATTTCAAATCGATGTAGAGGCCACACACAGTCAATATGTGTTACACTCTGTTATTAAAATATCAATACTTCTATTGGTACACGTCGTACCCAATAACATGATTTTCCTTTCGTACAGTGCACGTATCTTATTTTATTTTAAGATGCATTGCATTTGATTAGATTAAAATTAGCTTTGATTTCATTTTTGAATAATATTAATTTAAAATATTAAAGATCATCTTTATCTAGTGATAGTTTTGTTTTTGACACGTTATTTTTCTAGATCTCTTGGTTCTGTTGTTGTGTATCAAGTTCAAGTTTTAGATGAGTTTCCTTGCAAGGGAATTTATGTCAATTGTTGAAAACTGAGAGCAAGCATGAACGATAGCATTTTTTTCTGAAACCATCTTATCAAATTCCTTTGAATTTTCTTTCATTATTATCAAAAAAATATCGACAGATTATTATACAGAAATTATAGCTATTTAGTATTTATTTTTTTACAGATGAAGGTCACAAAAAGATGCAACGAAAAACATAAATATGAAAATTTATTAGTTAATCTCAGAGCACAACATATAAATGTAGCACATATTCAACTTATTCGAACTAAGAGATTCAACACTCTATGTAATGGTCTAATGAAAGAGGTATAACTACAAATCTAATATTATATAACTATAATGTATAAAAACCGTCATTAACATGGTATACGTGTATTTATTGATAAAATACATTTTATTTTCTGTATGAACATCTTGAATGCGTTTATTATAACTATTGCTGACATCAAAGGGATACACAATAATGTCATGCTACAAAATCTATTAATTCAGCAGCAGCATTGGGAATAAAAAAAATCAGAACTTTTGCTGCTGTTAGTTGCTTAACAGTACGTTAGTCTTCCTTGTAAGATCGGTTGAATTTTTTATTTTGTATCTTTAGAAGACATTTGTGAATTATCGATGATGTGTGATATTATTTACACTGGTGATAAAGCAGAATTCAATCAACGATAGATTATGATTATTATGATTTCTGGTATGTAAAACATAAGCATGATACTTTTTTTCTATATTACTTTCAAAGGCATCGGAAGTACATAGGATTGACCTTGTTATATAGGTAAAACAAAACTGATTGAAAATTGTATTGACAGACAATCAGATAAGCACACAAGACGTGGATTGAATAGGTGTAATAAATGTTACGTTTCCAGTTTATAAATCGATTAAAACGGCTGAAAGGATAGGTTCTTATTTGAAAATAAAAACAGTTGTACAATTATGAAAAGAATTGGTCAACGCTGGTAAATATGAATCTTTCTTCAAAAATAAAATTCTACTCGTGCTTTGTTTTTTAGTTTTTCAAACAACGTTCTGCGCAGGTAATCGATTTGAAAAATATCTCTTTAATGCAATGTTTTCGTTTGGTAAGACAACTATACAACGAAAAATAGAATCTGTAAATTTGATTTTTAGTTGTTTGTTTAGACTGACCAACAAGAAGGCATCATTGTATTTTTAGAACGATATAAAGCTAACTTTACTGTTCTATAATAATAGTACTATCGTATTCTTTTCAGTTACTTATAGTTTGCAATAACATGTTTTGATGAATATACTTCATCAGTGTTTATATATTTTTTTCTTTTACGATAGTTTCAACCTTTTTGACGAAAATTCTGATAGAAAAAGATTTTGCACGGATAGAAACGAAATGGAGAGTAGCAAAGAAGTGCGACAAATGGGCTGGTAGACGAGTGAAGCAAACGACTTTTATCTAAAAAAATCGATAGATTCATCATTTTTGTTTTAAGTTCTGCAATAAGGTTAAAGCTATGCTTAATCTTAGCTGCAAACTCCTAAATGATCTTCTTTCTTTTTAGATAAGTTGTCACATTGTTGATATTCACGAATTATTTATTCAGTTTGTGACACTTGCAAAGAAGCTCTTCATAATACATTAGATATTTTCATTGTTCAATTAATTATATTTGTCTATATTGTAATGACGAATGAATTAATTTAATAATTATTTTTAGACATAAGATATTCATTGTCTTCGAATAGTCAGAATCTTCAAATAATTAGTTTTGAGTGTCATCAAAAGGAATAGATAAAAACCTATTCGATGTTCCCAAGAACGAGTACTTCAAACAAAACGAAAGACAAGAAATCGCCTGAACTATAAATACAACTTATCTATACACTTGCAAATTGATAACTCATCAGTGAAAGTTTCTATAGATTGTATATTTTTATTCTAATTTTCAATGATTTAAGCCAGATGTCGATTTTCATGTAGATGATATAAATCGAACAAATATGCAAAAGATATTATTTTGATATAAAGATATATATATATATATATATATATATTAATGTTTGAAGCAATAGTTTCCCTTGAAACAATTAATCCCAAACGCAACTGGTACACAAGAAGAAACTCTCAAAATTTTAAATGTATTAAAATAACATTTGAGAGTGCGACGCATAGACGATATATAACAATTAAAGTTATACACTGAACTATGAAGACTATGAGAAAAACATTTTGAATATAAATCAACGTCTTAAATGTCATACCCACAGCAAACTGCACTACAACATTATGCGAATCCATAGTATACTATGAACAGAGCCTTTTACTGTTGTATAGACAGCAATAAACTTGTGAGTTTGTTCTCTATCTCTCTACTTACTGTCTTGTCATGTTCTGTCTATTAAGGGTCGGTGGTCGACATGTAAGGAAAAAAAGAATAGGGTAAACTTTGTTCAAAGGATTACACCGACTATCACTAAGTTTGTCGTTTTTTTCTTTTGCGTTGTCGTCGAAGTATGTTGTCGTTGAGTCTCTTCTCTAACACTTCAATTATCGACTCATTGCTAACCCACACAAACATCCGTTTTTCTCTTTCTTCAGTTGTAAAGAATGAATTAATCATCTTCGCTTGTTCGTGAGGAGCCATGAAAGAAAATAGAATGTGCGCGCGTTAATCAAATAACGTCCCAAGAATCTTACATTCATCACTTAGAACTGTCATATGTGTTATTTCTTTTCGATTGACGACAAATATATTTCACATGAACGTGATTCGTTTTCTGTCTAATATTTACTATTGCAGATAGATGTAATTAACATTCATTCGTCGATGAAATCCTTATTTATTGATAAATATAGCGATGATTTTTGTTGGTACTTTGTTTTACTCATCATCATTGGAGTTATGCGACAGACTTCGTCAGCTGTAGTGCCATCTCAAAATTCGGTTTCATTATACACTGACAATGACAAAGTAATTATTCTAACAAGTCAAAATTTTTCATTGACAGTTTATGAATCTAACACTGCATGGCTTATCGAATTCTATGCAAGTTGGTGTGGACATTGCCAATCTTATGCCAATGTAAATTTAGTTTCTAAAGTTCGCTTTATTTAAAATTATTGTTTTACCTATTTATTAGACTTATCGAGAAGTTGCTATTGATACTTGGGGTAAGCATTGCATATTGAAATGTTTTGTCAAATAAAAAAAAATGTTTTTTCTTGTCTTTTTGAGGATGGAAAACAGTCGTTCGTATTGGTGCAATAAACTGTTATGCCGATGAAAATAGCGCTTTGTGTGAACAACATAAAATTGAATCTTATCCAACGCTCCGAGTACGTCAACTCTACATAGAACTATTTGTTTTTTTTTCTCAATATTCTTTTTTTGTATAGTTCATAGAACCACAAACAACAATGAATGCATCTAAAACTATAACTATAACAGCAACTGATGCCAAAGGTGTAGAAAAAGAACTAATAAAAAAACTTGTTGATGTTAACAGAATAGAGAAGTCTTGGCCTCAGTTTATACCAGCCAGGTAGAATTTTTACTATGTTGAACTAATTTTCGAATTAAATTTAATTTAAGTCGAGCCTCATTTGATGATCTTTTTAATCGTGCTCCACCATCGGTGAAATTACTATTACTTATCATAGAAAAACGAGATGATTTTACTGGTTCACAGGTATTATAATCGTCTTTTTCTCTCTTTAAATCAATCTTATTATGATCTTAAGATCATGCTTGATTTTTCTAAATACTATGAACAATTAGCAATATTTCGAACGACAACTGACAAGAAATTATGGTATAGATTTCAAATCAATATAACTGATATACCAGCTCTATTTGCTATTCTTCCAAATCGAACTATAGAAAAGATTAACACTAAACAGGAGAACACGAAGTAATGCTATTATTATTATTTGAATGAAAGAGCATATTCAATGGATATAAATTTTTTTTATTATTTTAGTGAAAATATTGGTAGTCGAAATTTATTTAATTATGCTATTCGTTCATATATTCGTCAACGAAAATATATTGTGAACTTCGATGATCGTGATTTAGAAGAGATAATTCTCAGTAGAAATGCACTAAAAAATGCAGAAACAAAATTAATATCATACAAAAAGAATGCACAAATAAATCTTCCAGTAGACAACATTATAATCAATCAAAAAATTAGTATGATAGATTTTGAAACAGCTTTATCTTATATGTTTCGTCGTGAAATACCTCGAATACAAGAAATTCGTGGTGAAGCTTATGATGCTTTGATACATTGGCTGGTCGTTCTTATTAAAGTAATATAATAATATAAGTTGTTCTTTTCTCGAGCACTTCTTAATACACAAAAGAATCTAAATTGATTCAATATATTGTAGCATGTATTGCGCTGTGAAATCTAAAGCAACACCTAAAAATGATTATAATTCTATTTGTCTTAGGATACATTTGAATATTAAAACTTAATTTTAAAAGTTCATGACGTAGAGAAATCGCATCAATAAATTTTTTTATCGAATGTAAATGTAACATTTGCTACAAGTCTGATTGAAAATAATTATCAATTGTTCAGATCTATGTTAAATTAGTGGTTACCGATTCGAAGATTGTTAGTACTTTTTAAATTTTCTTTTCTTAGAAACTCATCTAGATCATAAGAATTTTCTTCTATATGCTATTAATTTTTCTTTAGTATTTTCCCGGTCGTGAACCAGTTATGAATTATCTGAAACAGCTATTATCAGCAGTAAAAGAACAATCAAATGGTTTAACTGGAAAACAATTTCGTGAATTAGCTGATCTTAATACAACATCTAGTTATTTACCAAATAATAATTTTCAATATAAATATTGTGCAGGTTCTTCACCAACACATCGTGGTTATCCATGTGGTCTTTGGATACTTTTTCATACATTAACTGTTTCACAAGTTCAAACAGGTTTGTTTGTTTATTTACTGATTATTTTCGTATTGGTTTTATTTCTTATTTTTCATTTTCTGATGTCTAGAATTAGTACAAATAAATACTATTGAAATTCTTTCAGCTATAAAAAAATTTTTAAAATATTTTTTTGGTTGTCGACATTGCAGTGAAAATTTTATGAAAGAAACAAAAGATATAAATCAACTTGATTCAAACAATAAATATGCAGCGGTTATTTATCTTTGGGAAAGTATGTTTTTATTCATTACTGTTTTGTGTTGTATTTGTTGTTCTTCTTATTTAATTTTCTCTAGTTCATAATCGTGTTAATAAACGTTTACATGGTGATATTACAGAAGATCTACAGCATCCTAAAATTCAGTTTCCACCGAAATCTCTTTGTTCAAATTGTCATTTAACAAATAAAAACAGCGACAGTGATTTTGACGAATCAACTATACTGAAATTTCTTCTACGATATTTTTCAAAGGAGAATATTGATCTATCATTAGTAGAAAATTTAGCAATACTCGATGATAATAAACAAAATCGAATACCTCGCAATGGACATCAAACTTTAATAGATCAATATACAATGATTGAAATAACTAATGAACCAAAAAACAACGTTGGATTTATTCGATCGCTAATTTCAATTTTTCAAAGTTTTTCATTGTATTTTTTTATATTAGTTTTGGTCATTATTTTTGTTCGCCGAGGATATTGTAAAGGCAAACGAAAACGTTATACACTCTGACAGAGGAACTAACTTATTTAACTAGTCACTACTAGATTGCTGCTTTTTCTCATTCCACAGCTGAACGACAATATCCTTAAAACAGTGTGCTTTTTGTTCTCGCCTGTCTTTTTCTTTTCTTAAACCAAAATGTTGTGACGATTTTTGTTTATACTTCGTCTTACATAAATTTATTTATTTGTTCTGATTCCATCAAATTTTGCCTATCTAACGTCGTTGATAATTATTTTACTCTCAAAGATATGGTATCTGTTATGGAGTTTTGGTTTTCTGTTGTTCTTTGGTTTTTATTTTATTAACTAGAAAAAAGTTCATAAAGAAAAAGCATGATTAGACATGATAAAAATAAAATGATCATTACGTTTATTGTAAACAAATTAAAAAGTAAAGTTCTCTCATTGGCAAATTGTTCGTTTCTTAAATTTTTATAAATGATGATGAGACAAAATAGTTTTTCGTAAGATTATATTGTATTTTAGATTCAAAAAAAAAACGGCAACAACAAAATATGACCAAGAGAAATATGTCATAAGATCTCTACTACCGCATGATAATGATATGTTGGAGAAATTGAGCCGACGAGCTATACGCTATACGAAAAGAGCTATTATGGGGTAAAGTTGAAACAATATATTTACTCAATGTTCCATTTTAAATGATGATTTGTTATCTTTTAATCTTAGAGCGGCATTTTTTTTCACGGTATGTTTTCTTTTTCATGAAACATGTAAAATTATATGGATATCTAACGAAAGAAAATACAAGATCGTTCAAATTTAATAGAGTCAATTGATTATGGCGTTGAAATTTCTTTTTAACGAATACAGATTTCAGTAAGAGATCATCTACAAAAATATAAATAAATAAATTTTCTAAATGACGCCTTGGATGAAGAGAAAAACTGATGGATTTCAAAAAACGATTGATTATTGTCTAGATAGCAAAAATTTTCAATGATTTGACTTAATATAAAAAAAAAGAATACACATTAATTCATGTTCTTTACCTATCGATAATGTAGGACGAACAAGAAATTAACCGAAGAAGTAGTGTCGCTGGAGCATCCTATAATTTAATCAATTCTATAGTTGGATCTGGTGTCATTGGTAACTTTCATGTTTTTTTCGATTCAATTAATTTCTACATAAAATCTTTTCTTGTATAGGTATGAGTTATTCTTTTCGACAATCAGGTTATTTAGCAGGAATCTTATTATTGGTCATGGTAGCTATTTTAACTGGTAAGGACAGGTGAGCTTTGCAGGGCAAAATGATTCTTTTTTTAAAATTTTGTTTATAGCTATTGAAAGAAAAAACTACAGCTAAATTCTTAAAATTGAAATATTTTTGAATGTCTTTTTTTTTGTGTAATAAACGATTTAATTCTTTCATGTAGACTATTCAACAACAATTTTGCTTCGTTCCGGTCAAATGGCAAAGGCAACAACATATCAAGAACTTGTTTATAATGTACTCGGAAAGTTTGGTTTCCTATGGCTTTCATTAGTACAATTTCTTTATCCATTTATTTGTCTTATTTCGTATAATATAATTATTGGTATAATTTTGGGAAAATCCTTTTCCTTTTTTCTATTATTTTTAAATTCAACAAAATTTAGGTGATACAGTAACAAAAGTTCTTCATCGTTTATGGCCAACAATACCCTATTTATTTCAAAATCGATACATCATTATTTTTCTTTGTTCTTGTTTTGTTACATTACCATTATCTCTTTATCGAAACATAGCTAAATTATCTCAAGTATCACTTACAGGTCTTATTCTAGTTTTGACAACAGTATTAATATTAATTAAACGTGGCTATGATACAATGCCATTTATGTATGTAAATTAGACAAAAAAATGCTATATGATAGATGAAGTTCAAAATTTACTTTTAGATCATCAGGAACTCGTGATATTCGTGTTTGGAATTCAAATATTGCTGAAAGTATTGGTGTTATGGCGTAAGAATAAAGAAATACTGAGTTCAAAAGAAAAAATATTCTTTTCTTCAATTTGGTAACATATAGGTTTGCTTTTATGTGTCAGCATAATTCTTTTCTGATATACCATTCCATGAATGATAAAACTCTTTCACGATGGCGCATCGTTACATCATTAACGGCCACGATTGCATTTGTTTTTGCTGCTGCTTATGCTCTCACAGGTTACATTGTTTTTGGTCAACAAACTGAAGGTATTGCCAATTAAATTTTACATTTATGTTTCTGTTATATTTTCTTCTATGAAATAAATAAAAGGTGATCTTTTGGAAAATTATTGCCATTGGGATACACTGATAAATATTGCACGGCTTATTTATGCTATAAATATAATGCTGACATTTCCGTTGGAATGTCTTGTTTGTCGTCAAGTACGTTTTACATACAAATTAATATTGACCTTTGTTGTTTATTTTAGGTAATCGAAATTGTGTGTAGTAAATGGACAAGCTTTAGTTCAGATCGTAATCATTATATTATAACAATTCTAATTGTTATTGCTAGTGTGATATTATCGTTATCTACTGATTGTCTTGGTATTGTTCTTGAACTCAATGTGAGTTTTGTTTTTATTATAAAATAGGCAAAAATCAATGAGCTGATGTTTAACACTAATTATCAATCTGATCATTCTTCAGTTTCTATAAAATATAGTGTGCTCTGACATTCATTTCCAAAACGTTTTCTAGATTATAAATTAATGATATTATTTTCTATCGCTTGATTCGTTATATAAGATTGCTTGTCAATTGAAATCTATGGCGATGAGCTATTTTTTTGTACTGATTCATATCAACAAATGTGTTTGCTCTTGACATTATACTTCTATGTCATGATTTTCGAAAAAAAAAGATTCGCTAATCTAAGCCGCGAAACAGAGATTTTTTTTCAAGTCTATCTCTTTATATGTATGACATCAGAAGGAAAAGGATTGAACTACAATTACTCAAGAAAAATTCTAGTGACTTTTTTTTGTTTGAGAAAAAATCAATTATCTTTACTATCTGTAGATATAAGATCAAAATTCGATTAAATATTTTATCAAAAGAAAATATTGTCTCTATTCATATAAATATCTAGTTTCTATTCTAGGGATTATTAGTTGCATCATCGCTCGCTTATATTTTACCAGCTTTATGTTATTTAAAACTTAAACCACGTTCCACTGAATTTTCATTTGATAATATTTGTTCATATATTCTACTAATCATTGGTATATTACTGACAATATCTGGCTTTGTTTTACCTTTAAGACATGCATTACAGGAAGGTTATTATTGTCAACATGGAATCGAACCTCGTTATTGTGCACGTATGTTTCCAACAGCAATAAATCATACAAAAATTAAATTAAGAATAAAATCTTCAAGCTAACTTATTTGATTTATTAAGGAAACTATGTTTTTTGTTTTCGTTACTTTTGGAAAAATTATGTTCACTGATCTACGTACCTATATCTATCTATTCATATAAAGTTTAATAAATAAAGAAAAAAGAAAAAAGATGAGAAATTTCCATAAATTCACCTATTTATTAGCTAACTGATGTAATTTGTCTGGTTGACTGACATTATCCAGATATATACACAAGCGAAAATCTTTCACTCAGCACCTCTTCTCGTTTTCCTTTTATTTTTTCTTTTTTTGCTATCCAAATATCATCAACTTCTTATCAGTATGTATATGTGTGTGTCGTCAACAGTCGTTCGTCTTGTTATAATATCCAATCAATGTGATTATTGCAAGCATTTCTAATTCTGTTTATATTTTTACATCAAGATAATATTATTGGTTAAAGAAAAGAAATTATCCATACAGACGATAGAGAAGCAAAGCGAAGAAGAAGATGAATCTTTCTCAATGAGAAACGATCAGTCAATTGGTTTGTTGAGAAAAAGAAGAAAAGACAATCACGTTCGACGAATGAGAATGAAAGAAGAATCAATTACATTAAACATATCATCGCGTGCAATTTCTGATTGTTGTTGCAACTCAAATTTGCCAGACAGAAATAGAAAGAAAAAAAAAACGAAGATAGAATTGTGCTATCGTTACATTGAGCAGAAACAGATCGTTTTAATGGGCATCGATAAAAAGAAGAGAAAAAAAATGAAAGAGAGCGAGAATAGAGAAAAAGAGCCAAATCTTGGATAGATAGATAGGATAGATGCACAACAAAGAACGCGACAGTAATATCAAGAGAAAGATGATTTGCTCGAACGAGTTTTTAATAAACTAAATGACAAACGGATCATTTGCTGTCTGAAAATATCTTTATTCCATCATTGATTCATTTATATATCTATTCATCGATTGATTCATTCGTTCATACGACCCCTACAAATGAGTAAGAAACTTGGTTTTAATATATCAGATCTCCTTTCTCAACCTGCCAATTTATCTGTATCTCCGACAACTTCAACATCCCTATCAGCAACATCAGATTTAGCAACTTCTTCTAATGAATATCAACAAGAACGACAAGAAGTTGAATCGTCTTCAATTTCATCAATAACAGTACCGATAAATGAAAGTAATAATCATTTATCAAATTATGAACAATTAATGAGAGCTTCATCGATTTATCGTAATCAAGATTATTCTTTATTACCCATTGTTAATGGAACTTATCCATGGATTCAGACAGATAGTGTACTAAAAGATCGTTTCTCGTGTAAGCTAATTTCTATTGACATTTTATGATAATAGTCACGCAAAGCTGAATATTTGATGAATTTCTATTTCAAGTATTCCATAATCAACGACGTTTAGGTCATCCATACCAAAATCGAACACCACCAAAAAGAAAAAAACCTCGAACATCATTTACACGTTTACAAATTCTTGTAATTCAAAAAAAAAGAAACTTTAATTGAAAATGTAATTATTTCATTTATTTGTTTTACTTTCATATAGGAATTAGAGAAACGTTTTCATCGACAAAAATATTTAGCATCATCAGAACGTTCTCAATTAGCTAAAGGTTTAAAAATGACAGATGCACAAGTAAAAGTAAGATCACTTTTTGTTTTGTTTTTGTCATATGAATATGATTGGATAAAATTTAAGACATGGTTTCAAAATCGTCGAACGAAATGGCGACGACAAACAGCTGAAGAACGTGAACAAGAACGACAAGCAGCAAATCGGCTTGTATTAACAAATCCTCATCATCATCGTTCATTATCATCAAGTCCAAAATTAGCATCACCATCTAATCAAATATCAACGGACAATAATAATTCATTAATATATTCAAGTGCATCTTTAAATGCTTTACAAAATTTACAACCATGGTCAACACCATCAAATCATTCGAATTTATCATCAAGATCATCGTCATCTGATGATAGTAATCAACGAACAAATAATCGACAATAATATAAACGAATTACTTTTTTTCGTGCCTTGTTTCGTTTTACTTATATAAATATATTTCAATGATGTCAGCGTGTGTACGTGTGTGTGTGTTCTGTCAATAAACACTTGGCAGATTGTAATGTCTGTCTATCTATCGATCTATCTGTCATTTTAATTAGAAAGACTAATCCCTAGAGAAACATCTTATCTATCTATTTCGTTACACTTTAGTAAACACATTTTGTTACCGAACTTCCATTTAATTATTAAACTCTATTCTTTTCTTCAGGGAGCCATAGAAAACAATTTTATTTAAATATTTTTTAATAGTTCAATCAATAATACATTTTCATTGATCTTATTTGATTTTCTATTTTCAATTGAGTGTGTTCGTGTTTTAGGATAAATGTGTATATATCTATCTGTCTATCTATCTCTTATTACCATTCAACAGGCGACAATTGTCACACGCAATAGTATTCAACTAAAATGATGACAATACTCAAAAGACTAAAGATCACTCAACAATTAATTAACTATAAGAAAAAGATAAAGAAGTTAACAGTATTTTTCCACATATATATATATATATATATATATATGTGTGATGAATTCGAAAATAGAAAATTGCTTTTCAATGTTTATATATCAAATTGTTTGTCTCATTTTGCTCATACATATCTATATCTGTATGCGATTCTCTAATCAATAAATATATATAGACGTCTGGCTATGATCATCTTCACATACAAATACTAGATCGTAAGTTTATGTTGTGTTGAATGTTGAAGAAGAGGCAATTGAAGTGATTAATTGCAAGTTAATTTGGGTACCAGCCGGCAATAAAAAAAACAAGAACTGTTCTTTGGTTAATTAAAGAGCTTTGTTTTATGCTTAAAAGAGAAAAATAATATTTTTTTCTACAAAGAATTATAGGTGAAAACAAAAAATCTTCTAATCGAAAAAGGACATTGCATCATCTTCATTTTTTTGTTCTGTAGTTTTAATTGGTCGTTCAGGAGAGATAGGCATTGGTGAGCTACGATTTTCTAGTCGAGTTGATGGTGGATTATGATCAGTGGAATTAATTTTCAATGTACCATTCGTTGTATGATGCATTCTATGCGATATATTACGATCAGAATCAGATTGATCAACTATTAATGATGATTTTGGACTCATTAAGCGATTAGTATGATTACCAACATTATCTTCATTATCAGAATTTGTAGGTGGTGTTCGATCAAGAATAGGTGAACGAGTTCGACGTGCTGGTACCGGTGGACGATAAGATTCATCTAATTTAGAATGTGAATTTATTGTTTTTGTTGTTTGCGATTGAGAAAGATGATTTGTCATTGCAGCCTTTGATGTGTGTGTTTTAACAGCTGCTGTTGAATCAACGGATTTTTGTTGTTGACTTCGATGTTTGCTGGTTTTTTTATGATCCTTAAATTGATCATTTCGATATGAATTTGTACTATTAAATGCTATTGTTTCGTCACTTGTTGTAGAATAATCTGATTGGTTTTCTATTTCGTCTTGGCGATCTAATACAAGTTTTACATTATTAATCTAAGTTTAAATTGTTTGAAAAACAAAAGACTAGTTTAGTAAGCATATAAAAGTTCTTTTTTTGTGTACTCAAAAAAAATAGAGTACACTATAGAATCGGTCAGTGTGTCCGGCCGTCCGTTTATTCGATAACTCTTCACAATTACATTCGATTGAGCTGAAATTTTGTGCACAGAATTGTCTTATCAATATCTAGGTCGAGTTCGAAGATGAGAAGGATCCGTCAAGAAATGGCTGAGTTGTCGAAAAAATTGTCATTTTTGATCAGACCATCCCTGAGGGGGAGTACAGGGATTTTTCAAAAAAAACTTTTCTCAGAATTATTCACAACATATATAAATCGACTCAGTTTTTAACGCTGATTCTAAATCTGATATTAGTTTTGACCTAAACCGTAGCTTTCTAACGAAACATCGCCTGAAAAACGTCTCAAAATTCACAAAAACTCCATCCAGAAATCAAATTGTCTAGTTTCTCATGATAATTTTCGTGTTCAGGCATTCTAGAATGGCTCATATGTCGCATGCACTTTTTGCAGTACACATAGCTCTCGGATGAAATCCGAAGTTTCCACATTTATTTGTCATTAAACTCGGCGTATACTCATTGATATGAGGAGATAGTGGAAGACAGCTATGAAGATTAATTCATTTGCAGTGTGATCTTCCTTCGTACTGCAACGTGAGCGTGTATCTCTCAAAGTAAACAAATATGTGTAAAAGGCGGCATCAACTTATTTATTTGCCATGTCATGGCCTACCATACCATGCATTTTACACAAGTGTTTTCAAATGAAAGAATAGTTGATGAAGATTAGGTAAAATATATTCAGTTTTCATGTGGTATCATATTGCGCTTTGAAATAGACATAGAATCTTCGAAATGAATAAATAATTGAAGAGAACCATGTAGATTTGTTCGGTTGCTATGCGATCTTCTCTCACATTTCAAATTTCTCATGTACATTTTATAGTAACGAAATAGTTTAAGAAGCTCAGGTACAATGGTTCATTCGTCACGTGATCTTCCTTACTGCTTTCAGCTCGGCATGTAATCTTTGTAGTGAGAAGATCATTGAAGAGTGTTGTGTTGAATTGTTCATGAGTCATGAGATTTTCCGTCATGCTTGAAACTCTTATATGCATACTTCGAAAGATGGAAACAGTTGAAACTTGGCAGGAAGTATTGTTCATTGGCTATGCGCACCGGTAATTACATCAATACGGTGATCACACAATCATTAAAATACAATATTTGAATAGCAGCACAAATGAGCACGTGTGCCGTTCCTATACGAACTATTTCGAAAGATTCACAATGTATTTTTTTTTTGACAATAGGCCTCACGACAGCAAGCATCCCAGTTCAATTCCAGTGCAACGCACTTCGTCTCACAAAAAAGCATATTTTTCTACTTCTTGGATTCACTTTTTACAATGCGAAATAAAAATAAACATGCATCATTTACGGGACTTTTAGCTTGTGATTTTTGTTGAAATTCCGTTCTTTACTGTGAGCATTCACACCTGTTTGATCATCACAATAATATACGATTTAAGCACGCAAGCGAAAGCAAAATAAATCAGAAAGAAGTATAAAAGTTGAATGTTTCTCCCAAGGGATATTGGAATAATGGTCATAGAGAATGCTTCATATATGGCAGGTATATGCAGTCCAATAAATATACAGCTCAACAAAAGAGTATTCGTTTTGACTGAAGATTTCAGAAAGTCTTTTACGCATTCAAATATTCTTGCCAACGGATATTGCGTAACTCTAGAAAAAGAAGAACAACAAGTGAATTCCTCTTAATTAGTAGTCGATAGTGATTATTTTCAGATGGTAAAATAAACAGAAAGACGAAAGCATTTATTTTTCTTTCATTTATACTCATAAAAATAATACAATTTAACATTGGAAATACCAGCTGATTCTTTATACTGAAGTGCTATCCTATTGCAAAAGGTTAATTAATGAAGTTTCATAATATATTTTTAAAATTTAGAACGATACAGTATAACAAAATGTGGAATCAACCCACAGTCAAATACAAACAGCAACACGTTAGAATTTTTCATGACTATAAGAATAGTATTTATGTATTATTATTATCAAAAATGTCATGAGACATGAATTTATTTGAGACTGTCTCAATGTGGTTGACTTAACCTAGATATCGATAAATATTGTTTATTCAAAGTAGTTTAAAACTTGAGAATGCAAATCATTTCCTACTGGTACATTAAGTCATTTTGTTTTCTCCTTTAAAACATAAACCCAATAGAAATCTCTACTCAGGCCTGGCAATGCTGAGATTTTAATCGATTGAAATAAACATCTGATTAAAAATCATGCCACGAGAAAAAAGAACTTTGCTTTTCATTGTCAATCGAATTACTGTCTGTCGATTGCTAACAAAATAATCGTGATCACTGCGTGCCTTTTTCTCATTGGGAAGTACTCGGGGAAAAAAGGAGAAAGGAAACTTTTAATTAATTCATAAGTTTGCCCACTAACATGCGAAAGTGCACCAACAAATGATTATCCGTTTTCAATTGACTACGTGTCAATCGGTAGAGCGCCATGAATGGATCATAATAACATTAAGCTTTATATTGTACGTGGTAACTTCAGGGAGTTAGGTTGAGCTCTACTCTACAAAAACAAAATGATTGCTTTGTATACTAGATCAGTTTCAAATATTGAAAATTAACTAGGAAAAATAATTATGATTTCCGCACTAACAGATTATAGTCATTGTTGAGAAGTTGATGCCTCTAAACCAGCACGATGTTGAATGTCAAACGGATTTACATACTTGGAAACTTTCACACTTTATTGAAATTTGTTTCATCTAGAAAACACCAATATTTTAATAACAGTTAAATAAATAATCGATGGATTTCAGCTGTACAAACTTCGAATACAAAACAAAAGAAACAAATTAGTTCTAGAGCTATGACATTTATCTACCGAATATTACATATCTATTTTTGATGGCTGATATATCTTGATAGAAATACATGAAATTCCCATGATTGTTTTATTTAATGTAACATTTGTTATTACTGATCAATAAGATATAAATGAAACCAATCGTTTAGATTATTCCATTGGGATGAATAGATGATGAATTGTCATATCTAATAAGATTCGTTGTTGCTTGGTAATCTAAAGATTTGTCTACGAACGTCAAAAGACATTTCACAAAAATATGGTCAGAATTATCTTGTTCCATTTCGTATTTTTGTTTTCACTGGATTCTAACGAGCTTTTCATTACTATTATAATTATTCAATGTCGTATGTAATTAGTTGTAAATTATTTTTCTTCATTAGATTGTTTTCGGAATGATCACCTGGATGGCTGCATCTGACATTCAAAAATGTATACATGTCATGTTAATACCCTCGATAACTCCCATTTTTTTCTTTAGTTTCAATCAGATCTGTTATCCGTACCGTTACCATATGCAGCAAATTCTATGTATAAATTGCATAATGATTGCCTAGTGATCGATCGCCTTTTTTGCACGTCCAAGGTTTACATTGACAGAACATGAAAACATATGTATTGATGTGACATCTAAAATCAAGAAGTGCCCTTGAGAAAGTGCTTTTTTCCTACGAAGAGACTTGATTTCATTTTCTTTGCTGTTTTGTTGTTTGATTCTTTCTATGCTTGCAAAGAACGAAGTTCATGTACTTGAAAATAAAATGGCGCTGGTTTTTTCTTACAAAATATAGTTGAAAACTAGCTCATTCCATTTTTCTAGAAATGATAAATGAATCAACTTTCGACTTTAATCCTATCAAGTGAAGCTGATTATAGATCTAGTAATGATTTGACATATTCAACAGTGATGGAGGAAGAGTATGCACTATCTAAGAAAAGAATATGATCAGCTTTCAAAGTTAATTTGTAGTTCGAACACAAAAACTTTCATAATGAATAAGACTAAGATGCCGGAATACACTCATATTGTATTTGTATAAACGCGCAATATAGAAGAAACAATCCATTTGACGAAGAAGATAAAAGAAATCTTTTTTTTTTCACACAATGAACATCCATCTCCTTTCTCTCTCGTATTATACTTTCAATAGTGCCTTTGGATTGAATACGATTAGCAGCACTATGACTAATGAATTCTTCATTTTTTGAATGAAATATATATATATATATATTCTTATGTTCTATGAACATTTCTCGAAAACAATCGATTGAAGAAATATACTTGCAAATAACATTATAAACAGATAGTTATTGAAGTGAGAAAGCCTTTTTTTAAATATAAATAGCATGTTATAATAGAATGTAATTATTGAAATGGAAAGACCATAGAAAATGAATTCTCTTGAGTAAAATGTGACCTTGAATTATTTGGACACTTTGAAGAATAAATATTTACATAGATTTGACCATAATATGTTTTGCTTCGTTTTTCTATGGTTTATTTTCAAAAATAATTTAAAATCTTGGGAAAAAAAGAAAACAATGATACCTTATTAATATGACAATATCTTAGTTTACTAGTCATAATTACTCTTGACAAAATTCAGTTTTGATAAACATTTTGTTGTTTCACGAGTATGAAGAATCAAACTTGACAAGAAATGTCTTGTAATAGTAAATATGACAACTGAAATATTATTCTACAGCAAGAGAAATAAATCGTGCTACTCGAAAAACAAATGTCTCTATTAATAAATGTAATTAACCTTATTTTAGAATTGCACTACGATAGTATTGAAAAACAGTTCTAGAAATTTAAACAATTATTAATTTGATCAAGACTCTTCAAAAGTCAAACAGTTATGTGACGTTAAAGATCAACAATCATCAATAATATGAACATGAACATAAACAAATATGGAGAAACCAAGCATCAATGTTCAATAACTAATTTAGGCAATGATTGAATATTGTGCATTAATTCTAATACAATTCGAAATAATCTGCATATCGGTCTATTTCATTTGTTTCCTTTTGGCGTTTGATGTTTTTTTTTACACATACAACAAGGTCAGATACACGAACAAGGCAATAAGTGTTGTCTTCCTCGGTAGTGTATCGTCACATGCGAGAGTTGATAAAGAAAAACGCAATTATGCTTATCTGAATGCAAGTCGCCTACCATCGCACAACAAAATTCTTTTGTCAAATAATGTTCGACCGACAACAACGATAGACACCCGTCATTTAGTTAGAAAAAGAGCGAGAGAGAGAGCCGAACAGAATAGCATAAATTGATGTATGCGTTTCAACCATACGAACTAAAATAGAATTAAGACATAGCACATACTGCCTTCCTAATGGAATCAAGACGACATGGATAGAAATGAAACGAATGATCGAAAAAGAAAACTTCTCTGTCACTTTATGCGTGATCAAGTAGTTACATTTTGCACGAATGGAATCGAGTCAAAATTTTCGCTGCCTCTTTAGCTACTCAATTTCTCCGCAATCAATCAGACACAATACGCACATGTTCATACTAAAAATGAAACAAAAAAGAAAAAAAGAAAAGAAAAGAAAGTACAAAATCCAATGCCGCATTCGTTTGATTAATAGCCAGAAGACAAATGGGTCTCTTGAGACAGGACGCTGAACATAGAGACACAAAAAAGATCGATTTTTGACTGTGTTTTTCTCTCTTTTTCTTATCCATAGACAAATACTAATGATGCTCATTGTTTCTTCACATATATTCTCATTAGTACTATGCTCAGCTAGTATTACAATCACATTCTACGTAGCATATTTCAGGAA